GGTTATGTGCGAGAGGATTGCTGGACTCCTCGCCGTCGTTGGGTGGTTCACGTAACCGCTGGTCGGTTACGGCTTCCTCCACCACCAAGTCCATGCTTCCGAAAACAAACAATATAACTAATCCCATACCCGACTTGGAATGGTAACCGGACGAGAGGCCGTGGTTTGCCATATGGATAAGCCGTCTTATCAGCTTTCCTCTCCCCCGGGATAAATATGTAAATCCTATCCTATCTAGTGAGAATAATTCAATGAGAAATGAGGAAATACAAACGTAGAAGTGAGCGAGGTCGAACTTCAAAAACAGAAATGCTGCATGCGGTAAAAGAAGTTGTAGAAAGCCAAAAAACCATCATACAAGTCGGCAAAGAATTTGGTATTCCCCATGTGACCCTCACTAGGTATGTTAAAAAGTATAGGATAGATTCTGATGTTGGACACGTAGGCTACAAGCAAAGCAGACTCGTCTTCACCGCAGGAGAGGAAACAGAATTAGCAAAGTATGCAATCAGAGCAGCCAAATTGTTCTTCGGTCTTACACCCTTGGAACTTCGAAGAGTAGCGTATGATTTTGCGAACTCAGAACACCAGAATCAACTTCTGTCTGTCTTCAACGAACACAGTGTAGGCATATTTTTTGACAACTTGTATGAAATCATGAACGAGTATCATTTTAAGCCCTCTGAGGTATGGAATGTCGATGAAACCGGATGTTTCACAGTGCAACGTCCAAACTTAGTTTTGGCAGAGAAGGGCACTTGTCATGTAGGAACTGCCACTTCCGCTGAAAGGGGAACCATGATAACGGTTTGTTGTGCTGGGAATGCTATTGGAAACACTGTACCTCTAATGTTCCTACTTCCGAGGGTTAATTTTCGTTCATATTTCCGCAATGGATGCCCAGCAGGCTCTGTCGAAGAGGCAAACGGTTCGGGGTGGATGAAGATGAAAAATTTTGTTCAATATTTGGCACATTCCCAGGCGCACGTACGCTGCTCCATTCAGCACCCGATACTACTTCTTCTAGGACAATCATGAATCCCATGTTGGCTATCCAGTTATCGAATGTGCCAGATCTCATGGGATTGTTCTTCTGTCGTTCCTGTCGCACTGCTCACACAAGCTTCAACCCTTGAATGTATCAGTCTTTTGTGCTTTCAAAAAGTATTACACTAGTGCGATAGAAAGTCGACTTATGTCGAACAAGGGAGAACGCATCACAATATACGACATTCCACAACTGGCGTCCCAGAGATTTTATAGGTCGTTTTCAAAATCAAATATAATCAGCGGTTTTTTCAAAACAGGTATCTACCCTTTGGATAGGAATATTTTTGTCGAAGATGACTTCTCTCCAACTTTGGTCACTGAACGTCCACCCCCTGAAGAAGTTGCCGTAGAAAACAGGGAACCATCGCAGGTCGAGTCTGGAAGCGGCGTGACACCAGAAATGGTCCGACCAATCACGAAACCCAAGCTACAGGCGCGAAAGATTGGTGTGATAAGAAAACAGAAAATATCCTGTATCTTAACTCGAACTCCTGAAAAAGACTTGGCTTTAGCTAGATATATATCTGAAAAAGGGCGCATCTAATACCAAAACTATGCAACGCAAGATCCCCAGAAAAAGTTCGAGGATCAATGATGAATCCACATCAGATGAGGAAGATGTTATGTCTATTCATGACACCACTGATGAAAGCGAGGAAGACATAGACGAAAAGTTCGAATCATTCGAGCAGGGTGATTTTGTTGTGGTGAGATTTCGAGGCTTTCGATCCATCGCGCACCATATCTGAAAAATTCTAGAAGTTTCTGGTACGAGCGACGCAGAAACCGTAGAGAAGCTTTAATGGTGTCGCTGACACGATGACTTGATAGTCTTTCGCGGCTCCTCGTTAATTGCAGTCGAAACATTATGTGTCTGTTGTTTTCTTTTGCCTTGATTTACTATGCTTGTGTTGTTCATAATGTTTCTTGCACGACGAAAATAAATTATCTGAATCTGAATCTGATGAAAACAAGATTTTTGAGACGAGTGGATATGAGAAGAACCGAGGCCATGGCATTTTCCTACCCGTGTGAAGAAGACGTCGCTTTGCATCAAAAAGATGACACGATGACATAGCAATGAAGCTTCCTGTGCCGGTGTGCATAGGTGGCACTGTCAGGTGTGCAGAAAAACTAACTTTTGCAATGGACCTATCCTCTGTGAACTCCAGTGGTTGAATTTGAGAAAATTCTTTGGGTTTGTTAACTTGTTCGTCATTTTTTCTTTTACCCCTCAACTTGCCCCATGAGTGGTTCAAGTCACCCCGTCCTCGCGGCATGTTGAAACGAATTACATGCGCACATTCGAAGTCCAATTTCTTGCAGACGCAATGCGTTGAGGGGCACTATTTGTTACTGTTAGGTGGGGCAAAACATAGGTACGTGGGCGCCCAAGATGTTGTAAAGTGGTATATGACTGCAAAAATAATTACGAATAAGTAATCAGATGTTCCAACTAACCCCGGTCTCCCCTACGTGACGCCAAAGAGAGATTATTTATATTCGTGATTTTCCAGATTTTTGTAATGTCCAATGACATAGTCCCCGTAAAATTGTCCAAATCATTCCTATCGTAGGCTTGTTTGTGATCAACAATAACATGTAGTTTTGTTCTACTTAGTTATTTTCCGAAAGATCTTTCATTCGGCGAGGCAATGGAGGTAGTCAAATAAAATAACGCCGATGGAGCCGTTACGAATAAAAAAAAAAGCATTCGAAAATAATGGGCTACTAAGTTTCTTACGGGTCACGTAACTGACCCGCGGGCCGTATGTTCCACCCCTGGCTTAGAATTCAATGACTTCTGAAAGTGGGGTCCGCGGTAGCTTAATATGGTACCGCGAAGCAAGTTTGATTGTAATACAGAAACAATGCTGAGATGGCTCTCAAAAGTGAACGTGATGAAACAGTTTCAGTATCTAGCGAGAAGTAAAGCATGAACTACTCCAATGCTTATTTCTGGTGCGCATGTCTTTGATGTTCTAATCGCTATTAAAACAAAATTCCGGAACACAAAGAAATGAGACATCATATGAGTGTTGTAATGTCCCAAACAGAACCTAAAATAGATGAACTGATGAAAGACGAGCAATGGCACCCACCTTATTGAACTGTACCAATGACATACAATAAATGAATGATTGATGCAACGCGTTGCTATTTGATTTCAATTCTGTAGTGGACCACGAGTCATCAGAAAAATTGTAAAGGGGCCGTTATGCAGAATTCTTCAAAACATTCGAGATTCACTAGTTAAATAAAGTTTAACCCACGAGGAAGCTTATTGACAGGAATTTTCCTGCCACTGCGATTATTAGAATGCAGTCTCGTCTGCACGAAGCAATCACAAAGTTTTGTATCCGCCGCTATTAGTTGGTCGGGATAGAAACAGGTTGTAGCTTGCTAGTAGCACGACGAGCCCCTGGCCTAAACTGATCCTATGTCTCCTGTTGCTCAGTCCGACTGATAGGAGCGGTCAAAATATTTGATAGAAATCTCGTGCGCACCCGATTGTAGTCGGGTTATATTCTGGTGCTTCACAGAACGTGTGGGACAGCCTGGAAACAATTCTAGCGTTCCAAACAGATATCAGATATATTTCTGAGATGTATATATTGCAATGATAAGGTCGTGTTACGGTTACACCAACGCACAGGTTCAAATTTAATAGACTGCACGTTTCATTATATTTGCACCCACGGACATCTATATTTAGGGCAGGTACAGATTTTAGCACCCGCGTGCAGATTGCACATCGGATGGGACATCAGAACGTATTCTTAAAACGCACCGCTGTAAGTTCGATACTTCGAAAACAACACTGAATTGTAAACACTGCAAGAAAATAATTTAATAGAAATATATATTAAACTCAGATGACGAAATCGTACATAAATATATGCGTCTTTTTGTGGTTTTGGCGATATCGAGTACAAGAAATATGACGACTGGGCGAAGGACGCGGAAGAAACAAGATGGCGGCGATTTGAAAAATTAACACGATCAGACGCGGAATAGATCAGAGATTTGAAGAATCCAGCTCAAACCACATTGCGGAAGGCCAATCGCTTTGTACAGATGCAACATTGTAGAAAATAAAGCAAATGTGTACTAGTACAGATATTTAGAGTAGTCCTGTTAAAAAGGTGGGTGGGGAACTACAGCCGCGTCGGTCGAAATGCACTGTGCTTTAATTTGAAAATGCGCAATAAAAAGGCAAAGACGTTGTTTTGGAGGCGTCTCGTATTCATCCCAAGCCAGGCTCTAGACAAACAGTCTCTTATATTAGTATATGTAATGAGGTACTATCGTGTTTTCCCGATAATAAGACCTAGCCTGAATTTTAAAAATGATTTAATATATATACGGTAAGCCCTCCCCTTAAAATAAGACCTAGTCAATTACGCGAATTTTAGTCGATAGCAAGAAATCTGCCCTACATGTTTTAAATGATTAATAATCTATGTTTTGTAGTTATTTTGAATAAAAACTGTTACTTGTAAATAAAGGGATATCCTTTTTCATATTTTGTATATTTGAAAATCTCGTAATTCTCTACTTTGTAATTTTGTTTTTCATAAATGGCAATATAAGACATCCCCCGAAAGTAAGCCCTAGTGTTATTTTTCAGAAGAAAATTGAAATAAGACCCAGTCTTATTTTCGGGGGAACATGATAGGTATTATTGAAAGAGTGGGAATTTCCTGGTTACATGGTTAAGAATTCTTGAACTGCTTTCACAATTCGGAAATTTGTTGTCTTGCTGTCCCCAGGTGTTCTTTAGTTCCTTCACCTTGATGCCAAGGCGTTCAAAGTGGATTTTCTATCTTGCTTAACACTGTAACATCTGAACATGATATTCACACTTGACTGTCATTAGTTGAAATTCTTTGAAGAACATGTTTCTGTATTTGAAGTGGTTATTTTTGAATTTACTCTTTATTTTTTAAAAAGTATCACAGATATGGTATTACTAGATATATCTCGCATGGCCATAATAGATGGCTTCTGCCATTGAAAGCAGCTATGATGAACATGACCGAGGTGATCTAGAAACTTCAAACAAGTCTGAAACATTAGAACAACAAGCAGAGCTTGAACAAGGGAGAGTATGGAGGAGAGGAGGTACAGGTGTTCAGTCTGACAAAAAGAATTCTGGACCCGTTTTGAGAACGACCGTGAAGCCAGTTAAAAGATTCAGGCCTGAGTCAAATACAGGTACAGCCTTTATATTTCTGAAAAAGCCTATATATTGAATATTCTGAAAATTTTATGTTTGTTTTCTTACAATATTGTTCTATACACATTTACTTCAACAGATCGTTCGAATCCATCACCAAGTCGTAAAAAACGAATAAAAACTTCAGCACAAACTGCTGTTGCAAGATTAAACGAATGTACTGCATTAATTACTGAAGGTTTGTATTAATTGCTTCAAATTTGATTTTTGGATTTTTTCTATATTTTTCATTTAAATTTATGGGTTCTGTTTTTAGGGTCCCCCTGTAAAATCTTAGGTCATATAGGCTACTGAGGAATTTTTTAAAAGTTCATTTTTCTTTATATCATAGGGACATCAAAAGAAAAGCTCAACAATGCAAATTTTTCTCCAGACAGCAAAGGGGGATGTGAGGTATGGAGGGATGTATTCTGCAAGTGGTTGTATATTGTCTTTTGATCAAAGTAACGTGTGCTTTGTTATATAAGTGTTTACTCATAAAAATTTTCAGAAAATTATGAAATAGTATCCCACTTGAAAATATTCACGTTTAATTGACGAATTTGACACTCAATCAAAACAATCACTTTCACTGAAGATTGAACCATTAACGACTTCAAATTTTATTTGGTGGCCAATAGTTATATTGTAGGATGAATATGCTTATATAGCCTAATACAAAAAAGTGTTCTAATTATTTCATATTAGATATATTCAAGTTTGTTTTTATTTTCTCAGAAAGCTTCGACTCCTGACAAGCTAGCTTCAGATGAAACAGTTATTCCAGTAAAAAAGAAAAGAGTTTGGGAGCAGTGGACTGTGGATGACAAAAATTATTTCTTTGAAGCTGTTGCTGTGGTTTGTATAAATGCTTAAAAAATAGAACTTTTCCATATTTTTTATTAGTAATTTTACCCCGCTCCACCATGATATTTCTAAATGAAAAATGTTGACCCTGACTCAAGCTTGATAAAAATTTCGACTCCAACTCAATCTCTGAAATCTCGAAAAAATCCAATTTTCACCCCAAAAAACATCGGCGTATGTCAGTCTCCTTTAATTAACAGACTGTTAAGAATGCCAAGTGAACTTAATTTTGTTTTCGAGTTTCTGTGTAGAATTTTGACTTCGGTTTTCTGCCAACGAAAGTCTGAAATTCCAACCAGTTGAAATGACTCCAAAACGACTCCAAATTCAATGAAAACAGACAAAACTTCAATTCCGGGTTGGAGTATTTTATCAGTTGAAGAACTCATTTTTATTACATCCTATTGTTGCAGTATGGTAAAGACTTTGAAGCAATCAGGACTGCGATAGCACAAAAACATCGCAAAAAAGGTGAAGAATGTGTTGCCAAAACTAAAGATCAAGTTCGGCATTTATACTATCGTACTTGGACCATGATAAGCAAGATCATAGATGTAGATGGTAAGTTGTTATTTTGATGACAATTTTCTGCAGTATAAAACAAATTTTTTTTTGATAAATCACAACTAGTATTGACTGTGCGTATTTCAACTGTTGGATTCGGTATTTTTTCTATCGTTTCAATTCCCAACTTCTAATTCTTAGCATATCCACTGACCATCAACAAAGCATTCCAAGAATTGTATGCTGTTATTAATTATGGAGAAATCAGGAAAAAACTTGGAGGAAGTAAGCTGATTATGTATTTTTTAACTTCCTTTAGTATGTGCTAATTTTATCTGGTCCACATGGTGTTATTGCTTGTAAAGTATTATTCTCCAGTAAATAACCACTAAAGTAAACCTAACAAAGCCTGATACATATACAAGACCTTTCTGTCCTAAGTCACAGATGTGTAATAGAGTCATGATTAGATTTCAGAATATGATATGAATGTTCACAACCTGTATTGCCCATTTCTTTACGATCTTACAGCATGCCAGTGTAAAATAGTTCCTTAGTCATGGATCTTACTCGGATTAAAAATATCACATTATTGGTATTATTTGGATGTTTATTGGCTTCCTGTGATTTAGATTTGAAGAAAAAGGGAATTGAAAAGTTGAATGAATTGATTCGAGATGGAACAACAAGTGTAAAAATTAAAGGAAAGAATTTCCGCATTAAAACTCCATCATGTAAAGCTTTGAAAAAGATGAATCCAGAATATCAAGGAAAAGAGGGTATGTTTTAATGTTCTCTTAGTTGAGTGCTGATTGGGAAAAAGATTTTTCATATTTATGCCGACGAAAAAGGAATGCAGTTATAGGCTAACATTGGTAGTCTTTAATTTGGGGGTTGACTTCATTACTTCTTTTTGACTAGAAGAAACGAGTCAAATTTTTTGTTTATTTTTCAGGAGTTCATGATCTTCCATTAGTGAGTGATACCCGTCGCATGAAAATTCCTCTTTGTGTAACTCTCGAACTGTGCCCAGCTACGATGTCTTCGTGGAATCAAGTACATTCAATAGCACACAATCCCAGACTAAGGTACTTTATGTTGCAGCAATCAATTCCTAATAATCAATATATTTTCAATCAATATTTAACATAACATGAAGGCATGGGTGCCCAAAATGAGTCTAGTATTTAAAAACATTCGAAATTACTTTTTGGAATGTTTTAACATGGAAATGTATCAATCATTAAAGTGGACTTATCCAAGAGCGTAGCCAGCTCAAAATTCGTTGGGGGGGGGGCAAATATTTGTTTTTGTATAATGACATAATACGGCGCTCGCTTGTGTCTTTTGGTAAAAAGCCAGATAAAATTAGGCACTGATATCTAATAATACCTTGAAGAATTGCTCTACAGACGTACTTCGCTCTCGAAGTTATCCAAGGCAAATAAGCGTGCATTTTCGTCGATCTTGTTTGATTCATTTGTGAAAGGAATATTGATAGCAAGCCAGAAGCTGTCTGGTTTTCAGTAAATCGTTCAAGAATAGAGCAAACGGTGTTGGAATAGGCTATGAATTTATGTCTTATTACAAATGCCGCAAAATTGCATTCAAAAAAAAATGTTTAAAATTTTCGGAATTGAGCCCTTCTGGCTATACCTATGGACTTATGTTACCAATTTGAAGGCATTGGCCAACCAAGATGACACAGTTGTGGAAGTCTCTGTTGTTTGTTGTATTGTATTTAAACCATACATCAGCCACTCATCAAGAGTCTTATTTCCGTTCTATGCAAATTATGGCATGTTGTCTCATTTGATGGATGTGCTGAATTTGAGTCACTTCTGCACCATACACCATATGTATACAAAAGAATACTTAATAGAAAAGATGTTATATTGTTTTATTTTCCTAGTGAACATCATGACTTTCATCCAGAATAACACAAATATTATCTGTCCTTCATTCAGGATTAAATTGTCAATGGAATGCCAACTTTCGACAGTGTTTACCTATTTGGAGAAGAAATGGAAACCTTTGAGTGGGAGACTGCTAAAAGTTGCTGATCAGTGCCAATCGAAAAATAACAATGTTATTGATAAATTACCTAAAATTCACTCAAATGTTCCATCAACTTGGGATAAAACATTAGTGATTCAGACTCCCCCAGATGCATCAGTTAATACGCGGATCATGGTTTTTCAGGTTTTTATCTATGTTATATCATTATCTACTTTTAAAATCAGACTTCATTCAATTATATAGGATAGGATTTTTATATTTATCCTGAGGGGAGGTAAGCAGTATCAAGGCCTAATCATATGCGCACGACCTTTTGGTTACCATTCCTTGTCGGGTATGGGATTAATTATCCAGGTATTTGTTTCAAATCCATGTCGGAGGAAGTCGTACATAATAACCCCAACGGGATTCAAACCTGTGATCCCATGCTGTGTGATAGAGGTGTATTCCTAACACTTAGCATGATGCGCCATTTGCCGGGCTTAGATTAAATATAGAAGATTAAGCTTGAATTTCTTTTACCAGATATCTAACAATAAAACTCACTGTGTTGTATCATATGCGCTTCGTAAATTGTTGCAAAGTTCTGAAAAGACACCTGATAAAATGAAGAATCATGACAAAGTCAATGATAGGAAAGAAGATTTAGAGAATGAGGATGACTCTCTTACTGCATTAAATTCTGAAGTTACAAGCGGTAAGATATTACTATGATAATGCTTTATGTCAGGGGTGGGCAAATTACGACGCTCTGGAAGTATTCGTAATAAGATGATGCACAACCTGAACAACCCTATTGAAGCATTTCATCCGGCCTTTTCAACATTTTTTTATTCATATTGAGTTTGGTTGAAGCCTCCAACCTTATAACCAAGTGGCCCTATGACCAAGTCTATTATCCGTAACTGGCCCACCGCTTTATGTCGTGTTTGGCTAAGGCCTAGATTTACACTGAAATGACATTGAATTTACTGTTTTACTCATTATCTGAATTCTCAGAGAGAATATCCTTCCATGATTATTAGGTGTGAATATGATGTCTTTTTTTAAACAGGTGTCAACTCTGAATCAGAGGTTATCGATTCTTGCTTAAGTTCCGAGGAAGATTGCGATTACGACAGTGCCAATGAGATTTTAAAAGATACCAACATACAAAAGACTGGTAACAATTGTCTATCACCATCAAATAACTTGTCCAATTCACCAAATCGTGACGATGACACCGGTGTACAGAGTTTGGATATTGTTTTCGCTATGAAAGAAGGTGGTGTCGTATCACCTATTGACTCTACTCAAACAAGAGATGTTTTACCTGAGGAGGTTGTGAAATCCTCCTTACAGCCTGTGAGTGATAATTCTGTGCCTGAAATACAATCAATTGAAACAGAATCTAGTAACATAGTTTCTGAGGCATCAGTCTGTAACCAACCTGCATCTTTGTCTGACACAATTAGTCAAACATTGGAAATGGAAACGAATCATTCGTCTAATGAAGAAACAGTCACTGAAACAAATACTGAACTATGTAATGCTCCAAAACAACCCCCTGACATGATTGATAATTCTATTTCAAATCCTTCAAATTCAGTCGATGCTTCTGAAAACAGTAATTTGATTGACCAAGAAGATATCACAGTCGAACCAGTGTCGAATAAAATGACTGATTGTACATCTGAGGACACATTTAATGGATTAATAAAAGAAAATAAAAGCTGTTCAAAAGCTAGAAAAGATAAAAGGCTTGTGCTATCTATCAAACTTTTTGGAAAATCAGGTGAAGTGAAAAAGCGCAAACCAACTAAAAAGTCGAAAACAGGCAAAAAAAATGTTCAAACTTGGACAGCTAAAGATTGCAGAAAAACAACAATTGCTGAGATTTACATGATGCTCGGAAAACCCTCTGTATTTAAATTGTGTTATGATTGGATACAGATGTCTACAGTTCATACTGTGGAAAATGAAGAGCCGACATCAGATTCAAGAGACAATATGTCAAAAGATTCCAATAAAGTTTCATTTTCAACTGGTCTGATGGCACTTATTCAAGCTGCAAAGCTAACACAACTTGTTAGTGCCAATGCTGCGGAAAAGAAAAGTAATGCTGAGAGCTGCAATCAAAATGTTCGACCCAAATCGCCAAAAATAAAAACAAAACATATGGCGTCGCAGTGCGCGATAATAAAGCCTAATCAAAAGGTATGTTTAGTGTTATCAGGTAGCTTCGGAATAGTTTGTTGAAAACTTTTTATACCATTGGTCAACAACGCAATACAAGCAATATTTTGGCAACCACAGCGTCAAAAATTTTAAAAGCTTATTTTCAAAATATAATGTGTTAATAAACCCCGAGTTAACCGTCAAATTTAGTCTATAGATGGGTACATAAAGTCTTGAATTTTTTTTTAAATTGCCAAGTTTATCAATACCATATGTTTTTTGGACCTCAAAGATGTATTATTAAATGAAGTAAAAATATTCAAACAATTTCTGAATAAAAAAAACAACAAACCTGGTTAAGATATATTGAGAATTGATTCCATAACAAAATTGAAACTGTGAAGGGACTCTCTCACTCCTGAGATTTATGGTTTTGATAACTAGTATTTAGTAAAATTTATTTTGACTCCATTATCAGCATAATAGCCTATTAAATAATTGATAAAATCGAACCAGTAGAAATTGAATCAGGAGAGAACGAAACGTACAGAATTAAATTGAAAGATGTTGATAAGAGTAGGGTTACATATTCACTCACCTATTTACTTCTAACATTTATTGATAGTTAAACTTAGTCGTTTGGTATTCTGAAATTCTATACATTTCAATTTCCTGAAATTCTCTCTTCAACTCAATTTTACAGAGTGATGATAAATCTTCTCATCAATCATCCTCAACAAATTCTACCTCATCAAATACTCACAGTCGGAGAGTCGGCAAAATTATTCCGGTGGAAACTTTAATTGTAGATAAATTTCCTGGAAGTGGATTTGCTGTTCCCGCAGCACCTATTACTAGACAACCTAGAAAAATTGCAGGTAGGTTTTGGGTGATTTAACATGATATTTTCGATACAAAATCCCTGAACTCTCACTAAACTTCTGCCATATTTCGTCTATCATTTAATAGGATTTACATATTTATCCCAATGGAGAGGAAAGCCATTAGGCGACTTAATCATATTGTGAACCACGGTCTGGTTACCAGTCCAGGTCGGGTATGGGATTAGTCGGCCAATTATTTGTTCACGGAAGCATGGACTTGATGGTAAAGGAAGTCGTAACCGACCAGCGGTTACGTGAACCACCATATGACATTTTTGTTTAATGAAGGATTAAGCTGCACTTATTTTCTGATTTTAGCAGTGTATGTTATTTTTTGTATTAATTTTTGTTATTGTTTCCAGCCAACCCTAATCAGCCAATGCAAGGAACGAGGGTATCGCAAGAAACATTGAATTGGTTATATCGGGATCGTAGAGCGAATCGACAGGTAGTTGTAAAAAAATATTTAGGTTTACTTATATGAAGGGATTTCTGGAGAATGGGAAGGTTTCAGTTTTTGACGGTTTCAAGTTTACGGCAGCTTGAGGGTTTTGGACCAAAAGGGCCAAACGTGAACAAACAAAGAAAAAATTTTTGAGAAAATGAGGATAACATATATTTTTAAAAACTCATTTAACTTTTGAATTAAAATACTTTGATGAAAATTGCTTCGAGCCTTGATCAAAAAACTCATTTTTTTGTAATTATAGTCATATAATTTTTTTTTTTAAATTTCAACATTTTCTCCTTTTCCGCGAACTCCAATGCTACTTTTTGACAGGTTTTCACTTTACACTTATAAACTGAAAAGTTTGGTGGAATTGTATATCCTTTGTTATGCAGTGTTTTTGGCCTGCTGCCTCAGCAATCTTAGTTTTCAATTTTTTTGTATGGCACATTTGTGGGTCTTACACTATAACAAGGATCTTTACAAACAGCCACTGCTAAGTAAGGAGCTACCATGTTTAGAAGGACTGTAATATTTCCAGTTTGACATTTCCTACCTAATTAATTGCACCCTGGATGAGGTGATGGGCACAGGATTCCAACCTGCGATGCCATCTCAGCTACGATAATCCCAACATTTTACCACCGGCAACTGCATTCTCAAAAATAGTAATAAATAGTTTGTTTATCTTATGGTGTCTAGATTGTCCTGCATCATTTTATCACACTATTGACAGGGTACTCATGATTCCAGTAATAATTGATTGAAATACATGTATATTTTACCTGATTAGGTCAGAAAACCAATTGTTTTGGATCGAAATCTTCAAAATAAGAAAAACAGCTTCAAACAAATGAAAACATTTTCATTTGTACAACGTGGTTCCAACAAGATTGGATTTCTTCCAAGTAAACCAGTTCTGGCTTCAGTACCAACAATGCCAGTCTCTCAGGTGAGCTAAATGGGATAATGGATTCTCGGAAGCATTAGTTTAATTTCAAGATCTGTTTATTTTGATAATATATAAAATTTTACCAAAAGTTTTATTGTGGCTGTGGCTTATGTAAACAAAAAAGCAGATGAGAATTGATAGGGTTTATGAGTGATAAACCCATGCTATGCGAAGAAACTTGAAGTAACAATATTGATATTAGGTTACCCAGCGTTTCTCAAACTTGCCCCGGAACACCTTCACTTTTTATCTCGCCTAACTGAAACCAAGTATTTAGAGGGTAAAATTGATAATAATTAAAAATTGTGTAATGGATTAACTTTGTGCGTCGGCATCTTTTGAGGCTTCCAATTTTGAGCCAACAATCCATTGAGAAGGGGGATAACCAAAAATTTAGCCTATGGAAAATTAAAAAAAATTTTTGTAACTTTGACAATTGAAAAATTAGCCGTTTAACGATATTGAATGGTTGGAGAAAACACCATGACTTCCAGACCGGCATGAGGCCTGCCGACTGTTTGCCGACAGTTGGGAGATAAATTCACAACCCAGAGGAACAGAGGTACGGCCGAGACCGCCATGCGACCAATTTAGTCGCAATGTAGATCCCTGTTCCGTGGAACACTCTGAAAAAGCTCACTGGACAGCAGTGTTCTGCGGAACACAGTTTGGGAAACGCTGGTCTTATTTGCCAGGCAGCTTAGCAGTTCAGCTTGTTTAGATAATTTGTCTTGATTCCTAAATTTTCTAAGCTGTCTGGTGAAGATGTAATCTGTATGTGTATACATGTGTTAATCCGTATTTTTAATAAATTTCAGGACCCACAAAGGTTTTTACCCTCGTCATCCTTGCAAGCGGATACATCATCTGCTCTTAATATTGATAAATTTTTGGGACTCGATATTGACACAAATGTAACACAACCCAACGTCATAAGCTCCTCAAACTTGCTTATTCAAGCTGCCAAAGAAGCTGGAGTCGCACCTCCCACTCCCATAAAAAACTGTGACGCTCCGATATCTTCCAGTGTTGATATATCCACGATCATTTCAAATTCTTCACAAACTCCCATAACACAAAATGTTGTCACAACAACGGATTGCGCAGTTGATGTTAATGAACCGGTTACCGCAGTGAATGAATTTATGCTCATTACTACGCCAATTGTTGCCAACACTAATACAACACTGACGGTGACACAACTCCAGGATCTTCCTGGACTGGATACTGCGTCTGTAACGACCCTAGCAACACCTTCCTTGCCATCTGATGTTGTCACAACAGGCACTGCAAATTTAGCAAATACTTTATCGTCCTCACTAACTCCGGTTTCATCTTCTACTGCCATTGACTCCTTACTTGACATTTCATGGACGGGTCACGAGATGGAATCGAATTCATTTGCAATTGAGTCTATGATGGACAAACTTGTTGGTGGGGAGAAAGACATTGTGTTGACTTCACTCAATAACAAAAGTAAAAAGAGTGACACATTTGCCGCAAGAAATTTAGAAAGTCCTTCACCTCTTCGAGTTCTGGATGAGAATTCGAATGGCCCGTCACTTTCAAGAGACAATTTTGATTTGCACATGACACCAATGAAATCATCAGATATTCCTGTTCATCCTTGGACGATAAACACAAACAGCAGGGACAGCTTAGGATTGAGTGGTGTACTGAATACTCCTCAGAAGATTTTACCCAGTGATACAGAGTAAGTAGAACTGATTTTGAGCATGTAACAAAAACACAAATATTTGATGAGAGTGGAATTGAGTGACATATATAAAGTATCACACAAAATAGCATAAGGCATTTCACTAGATAGGGAAATCCAGGCATGCTATGTTTAACATCTGCTAACAAAAACTTTATTGGTATTTATGATTGATTTTTGTATACCGGAATTCAATTGTCGCAAAAGTAGGTAATTACTCATTGAAATTAATATTCTGAGATTCTTATTTGCACACTTGCACATTAAAGCCTTCTGATCCGAGTCGGTTGATTCTATCAATAATCCTATTTCTTTTGGTTTTAAATTTGGTGAATAGGAACTTTGGTTTTAAAAATTGGTATTTTGCTGAAAATCTACTAAGTTGGTTTTTCATGTTTGACAGGGATTCTTTGGATGGTTTGATGACAAAATCGAATCTTGACAACAGAAAAGATCGACTGAGCATTGCCTCACGTGAAATTTCATTTTCTCCGACTGAAGAAATAAAAAAATCATCACCGACAAAATTGAAACAAAGACTTTCATCTCAGGTAGTGAAGTTGTTGGTGTTCTAAAAAATGTTTTTTCTGCATACCAATTTAACTGTCATGCAGAAACTGCAGCTTCCTTCTATATTGCTAATAACAGACGAATGGTATTTCTAAATGTACCTCTCTGACACAAATTGTAAAAACTACGGTTCCATCGTATAAAATATATTTAGTTAAATAATCAGTAGTTGAACTTCTAATAATCTTGTAGCAAAGGAAAATAACAAAAATGTAAATTCAATTCAATCAAATTTTAGAATCGTATGTGATTTACATTGTGTGACTGTAAGATTTATTTAGCAATTTCGAGTAATGATGGCTACGGTATGGAAATTCAAATATTATAATCAAATTTTTACAACTGTTTTCCATTTGGCTTGTTCAAACAGGATGTTTAATTTAAACGCCAGTATCAGACATTGACTGACAAATTGAGTTATATATTACCCAATATGTTATGTACGCTATTGTTTTAATTTCAACTTGATTATCCTGCTCAATCATAATCAAAGTTTTATTGAACCTTTTATAGGATCAAAGCTCATCTTCCAACTTCCTGTCTGGGACTGATCCAGAACTTGACATCCAACTGCAGTGTATGCTAAACGAAAACAGTGTTGATTATATCTCAAAATTTCAAGATCTTGTTAGACAAACAACAGAATATGAAGAAATGTCTGTAATTGCCAGTGATGAAAATGCAAGAGATGGTCATATCTCAACATCGCCTATGCTTGGAAATATTGACAAATTGAATATGAAAGAGACCAAAGATGACAGTTAATTGTCGCCGATTGGTTACCCGGAACTTCATTTCAGACATTGAAGAAAGTTCTGTGCATTATTTCCCATTGCAGTCCCATTGTGTGAATTCTAACATTCTATTATGGGCAACTATTAAAATTTTCAGCTCATGTCTTGTCTTCTATTAGTAGTTCGTGCTGGGATGCCAAATCCCACTTTTTCAGTATTTTCCTTTAAAAAAGTTTATTTTTTAGTCCAAGCACTGTTTTTACTCATTGCAAATACAAAATTTCTCTGTTCTTACAAATTGTATGGTTGTATGTTTTTGTCCGTTTCAGCAGCCTCATTCTTCAATTGAAAATCTTGTCATGAACTGGAACTAATTTAATCCATGGAGCCAGTTCCCTTTATTGCAATACTATGATACACTGTATCCTACTCGTCATGAATCAAACTTTGATTGACCACATTATCCAAGCATTAAAAGAGATATAAACTTTAAAGCCAATCAATATTTTGCATCAAATGATTTAACATAGCAATTGTTCAAGTTGTGTTACCGGTACCGTTACTGTTCCAATGATACGAGCGTCCAGCACCAAAATTTCTGGATGGCGGAAACCCTTGATGAAGTTTGGGCTCGACGGCGTGGCGCATGGTGCAGATTGTTAGGAATTCCCGCGCACCTACCTCTGATTACCCTGCTTGGGTTCCAATCCCGTGGTGGATAGTTTTGTGAATACCAATAGTCGCGACAGTAAACAGTTACTTGAGACTACTACGCAGATTATATATATAAAACAAAATTATCTCGGAAAAATTCACTGAAAGATAAAAAATGAGAGAAACGCAAAAATAAGGGTATCCGGACCCGGACTTGAACTGGACGATATTCCCTATCCAGCAGTTGTCAAAGGGGGCGCACTAGAGCGTCGACATAGTCACTACCAAAGTGTTATAGTCACTTTGGTCACTACTTGCTGAAATTTTGTGACTGCAATATATTTATCTGCTGAATCGAGTTTAGCGAATGCAGTGATTTATTTTGCATTTTGAAAGAAAATCAAGCAGATATTAGGAGGGAAAATTTGCCTTATTCTTTAACTCCACGTGTTTACAAATTCCAAAAGTCATAAAGTATGCATTAGCGATGACAAAATTGAGTTTTATTGATGAAAGCATCAATTTTTTTTTCGTTGAGTACCAGTACCGGTACCGTATGGTAGGGGTACCGAGAGAGAGTTTATTTCATTTGTCAAACCAAGAAAACAATTTATGCACACATAAACAAATATCAAAAAAAAAAATAGTTTTCGGTATATGACTGGGGGGCAACGATACGACCTTTGGGGGTCATCAGAGTCAGTTGCCACCCAATTATATTAAATAAGCATAAGAATAACAGGTTCGTGTCAATATTTCAATGTCTCTCACGATTTATACTATGTACAATATTTACATGAATTTACTATTCTTAATTATGGAAGCATTCTTTTAAATAATAGGATTTTGCACAAATTGAAATTATATTGCAAAATATAAAATGATCAAAACGAAAAAAAGTGGGAAAGCAGGTCAGACAAGCTACCCCTTATTTGGGTAACTTTGTTTTATTGAATGAATTTAAGTTAAACATAACAAGTGGGATTTTGAACAAGCGAATATGGGTAGAGTTCTATTCTACACACACTAGTGCAATGTAATCAGATGCATGGGTTGAGTCATCAAAACAAATTAGAATTTGGTTTAAACAACAAAAAAATGCATTTCAAAAATGCAATACATTGTAAACTTTGTATAAACAAACAATCGATATTAAAATATCAAGAAAGTTAATGCAAAAACAAAACAGTTGACTTAATGTAGGAATAAATAAGATTCAATATTTCATAACACTATGTGAAATGATTCAGAACACTTTAAAAATAAACATCAAATATTAGTGTTTGTACATAGAAATAGAACAATTCATAAATCAAGGCCATTTATCCAGATTTTTACACTAATTGGTAGTAAATGGATTAATTTATCATAGATTAGCCAGGGATCTCAATAGGAAAGTATTGAGATATCGTTGGTAGGTCAAAGGTTGATGAAAAAGAGCTAATAACTTAGCATATTAACTTCATAAGATAGAAAAATTGAGTGGAACATTTTATTACACAATTAGGGACTCTTTTACATGAGAGCATTTAATAATAGCAATCAAAAAATAAATCAAATAAAGAGCTCATGTCAACAAGGAAATATCATGAATGCATAAAAGCTTGGCATATTAAATTTATAATATAGAAAAAAAGAATGTAACATTTTGTAATATGATTTGGGACACTTCAAATGTGATATTAATAGTAGTTATCAAATATAGAGATAAAGAGCACATGTTAGCGAGGAAGTAACTTGAAGGTAGATATAAGGTTGGCATAACTCTATAAAATGGAAAATGAGAAATGTAACATTTATAACTTGATTTCGAATACTTTGAATATGAACATTAAATAATAGTAATAGAGTATAAGAAAAAATCAAATAAAGAGCTCATGTCAACAAGGAAATATCATGAATGCAATACAAGATTGGCTCATTAACTTTATGATATAGAAAATAAAGAATGGAACATGATTTGGGTCACTATAAATGAAATATTACGGTAGTTATCAAATATATAAATAAAAATAAAGAGCACACGTTGCCGAACAAGTAACATGTATGTAATATAAGCTTGGCTTAACTTTATAAATGGAGAATGAAGAATGTAACCATTTTTTAAACACAATTTTAGACAATTTGGAAATTAACAATTAATAATAGTAATCTAATATAAAAAAAAAAAAATAGCTCATTTTGCCAAGGTATCAATATCCTGAATGAAATTTTGGTTTTAGAGTTTTAAAATAGAACTCGCAATATGTACAATTTGTAGATATAGTGAAGGATTGCAAACATAAAAAAACAGTAGTCTTCAAAATCACAATGAGATATCAACAACAATTCACTGCGAAGACACAAGTCAGATATATTGGAATTGCAAGTGTATATGAACAACAACAATTCACTGTGAATACACAAGTCAGGCATATTGGAATTGCAAGTGTATATGGATTAAAGGATACAGTGTATATTTACCCCTGACTAGGCTAGGACCAAATCGACAAACATCAAACTTCAGCAAGGAATTTAAGTTACATCAAAGATTGTTTTATATATAACTGCCTCAGAATCAACTCTGTTCCAACACATGATCCAACTTTTATTAGATAATTTCATTTAAAATCGATAAAGCAAATACCATTAGGAGCAAACATAATTGGGTCATTTATATATAGAAATATAGAAAGTAAATTAACATGTAATAAGAAGGAATGAAACCCAATATTTAATAACAGTATATTAAGAATACTTTGAAAATGTAGATCAGCACTGATTTGCAATAGAATGCATAGCCAAGGAACTTTTGGGCTTGCATATTAAGAAAGTGACATGAATATTAATTACACATTGCACATAAATAATTCAATGAAGCATGATACTAGTTCACAGTATAATTTGATGTAAAACTTGGAAGTGTTGGATTCAGAGTCATCACTACTGAGTTGCAGAAGATTGTAAGATTGCATATGCATGGAATAGAAGTATAACGGTGGGATGGAAATTGAAATATTTTGCATAGGAAATCAGTGACATGTGTATAGATTACATATTTCTACATGTATAGAGAACACCACTGAATACTATTGTGAAGTACAATACCAAATCATATGTTAATTTAATCAAATGAACCGAATGAACTCTTCAATTTGAAAAATCCACATGACAATAGACAGACAAAAGGATAGAAATGATCTCTTGACTGAACTCATCTGTACAAATAAGTAAATATTTATTTAGCTATGGAAACCTTATCAATTACAATCAATATTTGGATATGATGTGTTTCATAAGTTCATCTTTGAATTTTTTATACGAATATGTCTTGAAAATAGCGGGTATTTCATTCCAAATATTGGGGCCAGCAATGTTTATCAAATTTTGGGTAAATTTGAAATTGGTTCAAGAAATGAAGAATGCTCCTTTAGATGCCGAACGAGTGTTAAATGGATGGACAACATACTTTTTCATGGTAGAATTATATATGCACAGCAATTGACAGCATTATAGAAACAGTAATAAATAATAATTGTGAACAAATTTTGATGTTTCACCAACATATAATATATATGAAAAATGGTTTATGTGCATATTGATACAAATACTGAATTACATAACATAGCGAAAGTTGTAATTAAAGATGATATTTTAGTTAGGTAAGATAGTAGAATCAAAATGTGACAAGGAAATCTGGTCACAGGTCGTTATCTATAATAAGGATTGGTTCACCCTGGTAGATTATGAGCTGATATTCAATTATGATATACCTACAACAAGATAAAATGGATTTCATACTTGAATGACAGTATTACAATTTGGACATGAACCTGGCACAAATATGGGCTTTTGCAGTATAATGCCTTGGTTGCAATCTTAAAAGCATAGCTATATTCAAAAACAGTCAGTAAGATGAACATTGCAATAACAGTATGTATAAATTAAAATAAGCATGCAAATATTGGCAATTAATGAAGGCTATTACCATATGCTACTAGAGTGATTTCAAAATTTTGGGGAAAATCAAAATTTATATACAGCTGCATAGGGTAAAATGCTACTATGGCATTGATTCAAAATTTTTGGGAAAATCAAAAATTATATACAGCTGTATTGGGTATGCATTGCAGGCACATTAATTTAAAAGTCGTTGGACAGTCTATAAATGGATATGAACATGGCACAAATATAGGCATAGTTTGATACTGGTAAATGGTTCATAAGTTGGCATCAATTTGCAGGTACTACTAATTATAGTAGTAGATTACAATACAATAGGCAGAAAACCAGATATAACTAGACTCCTTGACACTTATCTACTGGAGTCATCAGTATCCAGTAAAGTAGAGCTGGCACCTTCATTAATTAATATTTGGATATAATGTGCTTCATGTACTCAAATTTAAATTTTTTATACGAAAGTGCCTTAAGATTATCAGGAATATTATTCCAGATTCTGGGTCCAGTAATTTTGATTGAATTTTGAGCGAATTTTGAATTTGTGCGAGAAATAAAGAATGCACCTTTTGTTGCAGACCGAGTTCCATATGAATGCACAGAACTACAGTCTGTGAAATACGAATTGAATGCTACTGGAAGCATGTCATGCCTAAATTGGAACATTAACTTTGCAACCTCATAAATAAAAACATCATTTAATTTAAGAAGATTCATGCGCCTGTAAACAGGACTCATACTATGCAGCAAAGGAGTACTTGTCATAATGCGAAGAGCTCGATTTTGTAAAACTGATAAAGCGTGGAGTCTACTTTTATCTGCAGAGCCCCATGCCACAATTCCATACTGAAGGTGAGAATAAAATAGAGAGAAGTAAACAGTTCGCATAATTTTTTTAGGAATAAAATGTTTTAGTCTTGACATTATCCCAACAGCCCTAGACAGTTTTAATTTAAGTAAGTTGATGTGGTTATCCCATTTAAGCCTATTATCAATGAGTATCCCAAGATATTTTACAGCGTCGTGTACTTTCAAACTGACATTATTTAGAGACAAATTGAGTATAGGTGAATACTCATTATTTTTATCATAAGGATTATTTATTAGTAGTACTTGGGTTTTTTCAGGATTTATGGTCAATTTGTTGCATTTCATCCATTGGGAAATATTTTCTAAATTTAGTTTAACTTTTCTGGACAAATCAGTGACACTAGAAGATATGGACGTTGTGCTCGTGTCATCAGCAAAAAGTTTGACAATTGCTGGAGTACTGTTTACCACATCATTTATGTATACCAGGAACAGGGTCGGGCCAAGAACCGAGCCCTGTGGCACGCCTACATGAACGCGTTCGCGAGGTGAATTATACGCAGAAAAAGTTACAAATTGCATGCGACCATCCAGGTAATTTGCAAACAATTTACTCACATTTCCACGGACTCCATAATGTTTCAGCTTACTGATAAGTATTTTATGATCGACAGTGTCGAAAGCTTTCTTTAAATCCAGAAATACGCTACATCCACAAATCCCTTATCTATGATTTCATAATATTTGCTAATAATATCTAGAATTGCATGCTTTGTTGAATGATGATTTCGAAAACCGAATTGATCACATTTTATAATTGAATGTTTATGTAAAAAATTTTGTAAGCGAACGAGCATCAGTTTCTCAAAAACAATTGAAAGGCATGAAAGAATGGAAATGGGTCGATAATTTGACACGTCATCATTCTTTCCTGCCTTGTGTACTGGGACAACCCTGGCTACTTTGAGATGATCTGGAAATAGGCCTAAACACACAGATGAATTGAATAGTTTACAAAGTATGGGACTAATAGCACCCCAGAGGAGTTTTAAAAGATAAGCTGGTATATGATCATACCCAGTTGCTTTATTTGTTTTCAAGGAATTAATAATATTTTCAATTTCAGTGACAGAGGAATCCTCCATAAACATGGACAACTTGTTTGGCGAACCCATGAATTGGAGGTGTTCGTTGTCATTCACAGTATGGAAAGCAGAAGACAAATTTAGTCCAATTTGAGAAAAATAACTGTTAAACATATGAGAAATTTTTTCACTGTCACGCACAATCTCTCCAGAGAGTTGATTGACTAGCTTTTGCGGAATGCCTTTATTTGATTTTGAGTTTAATAAAGAATTGATAGTACTCCAAGTCTTTTTTGGGTTGTTTTTATTATTTTCGAAACAGTTAGCGAAATATGTCTCTTTAGCTTTTTGCTTCAGATGACACAATTTGTTGGCATATGTTTTGTAGTAAAGTTTTTGTTCCATGGAGCCCTTAATAAAATGAGATTTATGTAACTTATCCCTGATTTTAGTTGAGCGCAGAATGCCATTTGTTATCCAAGGTTTCCTTTCTAGTCGGCGTTCTTTTCTAGTTAACTTTCTTAGTGGTGCATGTTTATCACATACATTTAAAATTTTGGTAATAAAATTGCTAAAGTATGAATTGAAATTTTCAGCATTAATACTAATAGGGTCATGCGAGTAAAAAAGTTCATGGGCATCTTGAATGAATTTAGCTGAATCAAATTTTGTCATGTCACGTTTAAGCTTATGTTGAACATTGGGGGATGCATGATGCAGTTGAAATTGACAAAGAATGGGATAATGATCAGTCATGCAGTGTTGCCATACAATACACGAGACTGGTTTCTCGGATATATTGGAATAAATATGGTCAATTAGAGTAGTACTAGAGCTGGTCACTCTAGTTGGGTGAGTTATTAATGGAATTGTGGCATGGGACCTCAGCATGTCAAGAAAACTTATTGCAAATGATGTGGAGCTTAATAAATTGATATTAATGTCACCCAATATAATATATTTCTTTTTATCAAGTGCCAGAAGGTGTAGGGTGTTACTAAGAGCGCACATAAAATCAGATTCACTGGATCCAGGGTGTCGATATACAACACCAAGAATAATAGAAGAAGACTTTCCACAATGAATAGGTATTTCAACCCAAAGTTCTTCACAAGAGTTGACATTCAGAATATATTTGTGTACCAATAACGGATTTAAATAAGACTTTACATATAGCCCAACCCCACCAGCATGAGTTTTTGTTGGCGTATGGAGGAATACATAACTTTCAATATCTATATTAACTAAGGGGTCTGTTTTGAGTTTTGTTTCGGATAGCGCTATTACAGTAGGGGATGAATTTAGATCATGTATAATGTTTGACAACTCGTCAATATGCTTTTGTATAGACCGAATATTGAAATGAGCCAAAGTGAACTTATTTTTAGATAAACTGGTACAACCTAGGATGTTACATACACTGTCAGCAGTCTCAAGTGACAGGCATGGACTAACATTTTCAAAATTGAATTCAGAAGTGTCAAGGGGTTCTAGTTTTCTGTCTATTAAATAAGGGCAAGTATGAAATGGAAAAAGAGATTTTAAACAATTTTGGCAAAGACTATTATTACTTGTAGAATGAATATTAGAACAATTAAAGCAAAAAGGCTGAGCAGCCATTTTACTTATCTAATATAGGAATTCAGATTTGTAAATAGTCAATCTAGGATAGTTTTTCTAAATCCGAGAGCTTGGTTATGGGAATCCTAGGACTTTCTTTGGATTTTTTCATGTATATGTTGCCATTGGTAGTCCAAAGCCTCTCATACATCTTGGACTAACATTTTCAAAATTGAATTCAGAAGTGTCAAGGGGTTCTAGTTTTCTGTCTATTAAATAAGGGCAAGTATGAAATGGAAAAAGAGATTTTAAACAATTTTGGCAAAGACTATTATTACTTGTAGAATGAATATTAGAACAATTAAAGCAAAAAGGCTGAGCAGCCATTTTACTTATCTAATATAGGAATTCAGATTTGTAAATAGTCAATCTAGGATAGTTTTTCTAAATCCGAGAGCTTGGTTATGGGAATCCTAGGACTTTTCTTTGGATTTTTTCATGTATATGTTGCCATTGGTAGTCCAAAGCCTCTCATACATCTTAGATTTCTGACTAATCGTGAATTATATAAAAGATTATTACGAAAATTTGTGAGATTCTCATTAATGTAAAGAGTGGACAAACCTGCAATCCCAAAGTCTTTGATTCTAGAAGCTTCAACTTTTTAGCAATGAATTGGTTCCTTTTATTCCTATTCGTAAAACGAACTATGATCGGTCCGATTTTGGTGCTGTCTCTTCTAGGAAGACGGTGAGATACTGAGATATCCAGTCTTTCAACCTCGATTCCTAGTGCTTTGCCAATTTAACAATGATATTATCAGTATTTTCCCCTTCCCTATATGGAATCCCATGAAATTCAAGGTTTTCCCGCCTCACGTACTGAGCCAGGTCTTCAAAATCGTGGTCGAAACGTTGCTGTAGGGTGGTATACATTTTTAACAGTTTAATCATTTTTAGCAGACAGATCCCTAATCACCTGGTCCAGTTTTGAAATATAGTCTTTCTGGATCTCAAACTCTGCACTGATGAAGTTTTGGCTGGCTTGAACAGTACAGAGGTCAGTGTCAAGTTTGGAAGTATTCAGGCGGCAAACACTCTATATCTTTGTTTACTTTAGAAACCTTGTCAACCAGTTGGTCGCACTGATGAAACATTGCTTCCAATTTATCAGCCATTTGTTGGGTGTTGTTCATTACCGATTCGTTGATCTGGGTAGATATTTTCTTATCATGTTCGCTTATGGAGTCTTCGAACAAGTCCCTTATACTTTCCTCTACAATCGCTTTAATTTCGATTTTCAAGTTGTTAGTGATGCGAGTTTCCATCAATTCCAGTTTTGATTTTAATTGGTCAATTTTTCCTTCCATTATGGCCAGATTATTAGTTTATATATTAGTTAATAATTTTTAATATGCACAAGAACCTTAATCAAATAGCGAATAATGAGGTGAGTTTTTTTCCCGATAATTTGGCGCCGCACGAACAAAAAGTTTGGGATTCGTTGCTGAACTAGTAACGGGGCGAGAGGCCGTGGTTCGATTAAACGGCTTTTCTTTCCCCTGGGTCCTGGGATAAACATGTGAATCCTATTCCTGTATTTTTGCTTATATACCGGTACAGTTGCGCAGGGGTTAGAAAAATAAAGTTAGATATTGAACCTCGGGTGTTGCTGCTCGATAACCATTCCCGGTTCCTCGCGGCTTCCCTTCTCCAGTAAAAATGTGTTCTCAGTTTTGTATTTTGTTAATTTTGTATGTTATTTTTTACTGAATGGGAAAAAATAAACTTGACTATGACTATAGAATTGAGGAAGCTGATACTGACGTAAACTATGGTTTCTTGAATAAACACAGAATCAATTATATTTGAATGTAGTTCAGCATTAATACTGTACGACGACATTGGATATTAATGCTGAACTACATTCAAATATAATTGATTCTGTGTTTATTCTTTGGCTTAGACCTGAAACAGGCATTTTTTTGGCAAATGGAGATGTGTAGATTCAAATTTTTTACCACTGGGCCTACCTCAAATAAACTTGAGTAATCTAGTGATGCACAAAATAATAATCTTTAAATGGGTATAATTTTATTGCTCCCAATTACTCAAGTGTGTTTGTGTAATATTTTGTTTCATATTTTAATACCTAATTCATTTCATTAACAGAAATTAATATATTAGTCAAAAAATGGCTGGATCTTTTATACGCGGTGTTTCAAGAACCTGTTGGGCTCTCTCACAACCAAGAACGTGGAACAAACTGCTTGCAGGCACAGCAATACGTGAATTTGAAACAGATGTACATGATGAACTATCAGATGGTAATCCTCGTTCATATGATGACAAGCGAGTTGATAGCAATCCAGATGCAGTTGCTAAACAATTTAACCCTTTGTGTAAGAAACAGTGTCATTTTGAGAGGAAATATAAACAGGATATACAAAATGAAGTCTGGTAATGGAATGCATCTTTTTCTTAATGTTAAACATGAATGCCCTTTCAATGATATTGAAGGAAAAAGCCCAATATCTAGTATTGCTCATAAAATTGATTTTTATGAGCAACATCTGGATTATTTGTTTCAAAATATGCCTTTAGTTGTGGAAGGACATAATGCAACCGTCTACTGTAACATCTACACATTGCCATCGAATGCTCAGCTCATGCTGAAAGGATATTATATTAAATATCACTGATATTTCATTCATTCGAATGCTACATCATGGTCCCAGAATTTCGGGTGTGGAAGGCGAGCACTTATTATGTAGCATCACACTGGAGATAGTTCTACTTCTAATCAAGCCGATCAAAGTCTTGTTTAAAGAAAAACACATGCCTGTCCGTGAACAATTAATTCATGCAGTAAGAATATTCTCGATCTGCGCATTATTTCACTATCTATGACATCATTGATATGAAAGTAAATCTTCAATTGTAATGCATTTTTCCTTTTACTTTGTTATAAAAACCTGTAAAAAAAACAACTGAAGACTCCGGGACCAAGGTGCCTAACTTTGATTGAAGCTTGTGACTATCGAAACTAATAAGCAGGTAAATTTCTGGTACAAGCGTCGAATAGAATGAGTTTTGGGTATTGTATTTAGGAGATTTGACAGGCATGGCAACTGAGTGAAAACTCTTTCATGCAAATAAGACTCCCTCTCATAGAAATCTGCTATGTGCAGATATTGCATAAGTAAACTTGATGGGAATGCTTTCCCAGAAGTAATCAGCTGATTTGGATGCAAATGAAAACAGGTATTGCATTATTTGGAGGATTTAATAAGTAATATCGATAAGATCAAAAAATCACTATCACATACCATAATATAGAATAGAACTTAAAAAAAAGAGCTTCGCAGTGTCTAGACAGAATTTAGACAGTCATTTATTCTGTTTTCCTGAAGGTATGCCAAAATATCATCGAAATGTACATCAAGTCTTTCTAATTTTTCACCATCCTCAACTTTCTGAATTCCATTTAAAATCAAATTCCACTTGGTTATAACATTTTCTCTTTGCGATATAGGTGTTGGTGTTAACACCTCCCGTTTGGAAAATATTGTAATAATATAATCGCCGTCACAGTTATTTACTTTAGATTTAGTATCTGTGTTTTCTAAACAAATATCAGAAAAATTTTCATTCCTCATTAAAAATACTTCATCATCAAGTCGAAAAAATGGACTTTTACTATAAAAGGGACATAGACTGTCCCAGCCATTCCCTTCAAATCTAGTTATCAGCCACAAAATATGTTTTGCAAGGCAATTTATGTTTATTCCAATCTGAACAGCCGCAGTGTGGCAGCGTGTTATCATCTCCTAAAAATACAGAGTGATATTCATGAGACCCAGGTTGGGTTCGAAGCTCAAATTGATTTGGTAATACAGTCTTTATGTCATTCATGCTCAACTGAAGTTCACTGGTAACTCTCTTCATAATATGTTCGATGAGATATCGGGGTCTGTTATGCAAGAATGTAGGTATACTTTCATGATAATTCCTGTATCCTTCACTGCTTCGTAGATTTAGATCAAAGTATCTGAAAAGATATTCAAATCATCTTTATTTAAAATGAAATTTTTTTGGTAAAAATATAGCAAAATCATCACACATGTACTGACACTTTAGGGTACAAACATACACAAACAGAAGTTAAAGTGGTGAATAAATTTACAGGTTCTGTTACGGAAATCTTAACGTTGCTTGGGAACAAATTTACATGGAGCAAACAGTGTTAATTAAACCAACCTGGTATAAGACGCTTCAAGGTGATAATAGAAAAAGATAAACTTCGGACACAAACAATTATATTACTTGGCACTGTATACTCAACGGAGTAAGGAATGTAACCCAGTACCACAACACATACAGATTGTATGATTTATAGCTTAAACACACTATTGAATGCCTTTCAAAGCTATATCTTAAATAAAATTTGCTGTCACTCACTTTTTATAGCTTTTCTGGAAAGAATTCATTCACTAAAACTTCAAACAACCTTATAACAGGCAATTCACAACAATCTGGAAGCTTAGAATTCTTTATCCAATCATTTTCCTTTTCTGAGCCAACTTTACTCAGCACAAGAATATTTTTTGATTCATCACGAAAGCCTTGGACCCATTTCTGAAAGATCATATAGTAAATATAGAAATGCTAATAAACAACGAAAATTGTCTCAAGAGATGAGTACCGTAATAGCTTTGAAAGTATAATAGCAATATTTATGTGATACGAATGGTATAGTAAAGGAAGATGGTAAGCTTCAATATTATGCAGAATTCATTAGCATTATTTCTGCATCAATTGAACCTATTAAAAAGATATTATGAAGGGAATGAGTCAAAAATGATAATCAACATATGTCATAGTCACTCTGGCAAATTGACTCTGATAAGGTTTTAAAAGGTTAATTCGTAGCAGATAAGAGAGCATTTAGAACAGTGGTCGGTGAAGTTTTTTCCCATGGAGAAGGCAGGTTTCAAGGCTAACAATTTCGTTGGAATTTCAAATTTAACCACATGTATTAATTAAGGGACATCCAATTTGTAATTAAAACTAGTGTGAACATGTATACGTGGTAGGGATGGGACGAGTCCGGCATTACAGAGATTCGACGAATCCGAGTAATAGGTCAAGGACTCGAATCGAATCTGCCGAGTCCGTGACGTCATGATAAAAAAGCAGAAAAACACGTTTTTGACCAAGCTACATGAGTACATCGTGCGCTCACAAATATATATACGTCGTAGCTCATATTTTTTCCTAATGGTTCCGCAGATAGCTGTTGAATCATTTTAAAATATATATTTTCCTCTTTTTGGCGGCCGTAATACAAACGTAAACGTGGGTCAATGTGCGCCTTGGCTATGAACTGGATTTCCAGCCCACCACCTTGCGTCAATTCTGGTCGGCTATTCAAATATTCTTACATGTTAATATGAAAAATAAAAAACTTTTAACTACAATGCTTTCCCATAATTCCAGATATTTCTAGTCGTAAATTTACTATGTCACGTGCGCATATGGTAGAGAAATGACACTCGTCGTCAATACATTGTGGTACATCTGCTTGCAATTTAGCAGTTCATGTAAACGTTCTAAAACTCTCCATGATTTCCATTGCCTTTTTAACGAAAGGATTGCACGTAATAAAATCGATTTAAAATTAAAAGAGGTATTGATGAGATTCCCCATTGGGTTGATCCAGGGCATGTTTCATTTTTACGCGAATCAAAAACTCAAAAATATTGCGCTAACACATATTTTATTGTGTGGGCCTATCACATCTATACCGAAAAGGATAGATAGTTTGAAGGCGACTGGCGCAACTTCATTGTTATAAGTGATCAATAGTTTTTAATATCTGGATATCTGCCGTCGTTTTATTAGGAGTGTTCACACGAGGGATCTACAGATCTAACTTTGAATTTTAACTAGTTAAGGTATGTAGTGGGATTTAAAGAGGTAAAAGTACAAACATATGCGTAAATTAGTAAAAACAGAATTGATTATGGACTCGGTAAAAATGACGTGGACTCGAAATCGAATCCGAGTCTAAAAAATGCCTGGATTCGACTCGAATCCGAGTCCGAATCCCGGCCCATCCCTAATACGTGGCGATACAAAGATTGAACAACCGAAAGTAGCAGTACACGCCGTGCGATTAATGCAATGAACATACCACAATAGTTGCAATGAGAGTATAGTTGAAATCAACGTAATGTTTGATACATGAACAAAATCCATTCGGCAAAAAATTTATATGCAATGTTGGATTTATATAACTTTTTTGTGTATTACTGCGCATAACTGAAATTTATTGTGGAAGCCCACTAAAAAATGCTTGGCGGCCATGATTGGGTCAGTTTGCTGACCACTGATCTAGAACATATTTCCAGCTACTGTACTGGTTTCATTAGTAGTAAAATAATTCAATTTTTGATAAAACTCACATCTTCAACAGGTTGCCATACAGTGTTATAATAAGCTTGCAGAACCAAAGATTCAGTCCAGATACTGCTCTGTTGTAACTGCTTCTTTGCAATTTCATAGCTACAGACGCTGGTAGTTCTTGCAATTGCCCGTACCAACTTCAGTATTTCAATACTTGAATCTCTCAGACAATTTTCTTCTTGACAAAGCCATTCAGACCATTCTTTTTCCCGATAATAATCAGATAAATTTACATTGCTTTCTGTAAAGAGGTAACCAAGTATTCTCAAAATCTATAACTCGCACATTATTTCAAACAAACGGAAGGAGATAAAATGTACCGTAATCAATTGTGCACGTCTTATACACGGGCATACCAGAGGATTGGTTTTGCGAGTGAAAAATCTCTATTTTGAAATAGAAATAGAAAAAAATTCTGTATCATACCTACAAATTTTTCGTAGCTCAAAATGCTCTTCGCATAAAAGAAAAATTTTCAAAAAGTTTTTAATAAAGAAGTATGCTATTTTGCTTGGATATGTTCAAAGATTCAATTTTGGCGTGGTTACATTTCGTAAGTCCAATAACATGCTCTCCAGCCCATTAGAATATTTTGTGCAATTTAGATGAATTATAGGACTTACTAGGGAAAACGGACGATATTCCTTGAGATTTTAATGTTGCATAATCCGTTAAAAAATTCTTCGGAGCCCATTTTTCATTCCAACATGATAATTTTGACAAAGCTTCTTTAATTGAAAAATTGTCTTCTTTTTCACAAATAAACAATCCAACAACAATATGACAAACATTGGTTTTGACACGAAGAAAAAATGTTCGGAGTGAAAAGTTACATGTTCTATGGCCAGCATCCACAAAACAAACTTCGTTGCCGTAAAGTGAAAGAAGACGTTTCTGCCAATGACATTGATAAACAAATAAAAAGTTTGTCCCATTTGCATTGTCGTTTTCCTGAAATATTGGATAATATTTATTTAATTAAAATTGACTAAGTAGAAATTTAAATCGTGTTTTTATTAGTAAATACAAGGTGATCAAAACAAGCAGAATCCAAAACTATGGAATAATCAGGGACGAGCAAAAAATCATGAGATCGATAAATTTTCAATTTACAAAATACTCGCAAAACCATTTCAGCTTACTGTTTATATATATATTTACCCTAACAAAATAATTGGCATCTGAAGTCAATTCTTTGCATTTTTCTTCCAATGACATTTCATCGTTCTGAACTTCAAGTAAAACATTGGCCTCTTCAGATTCTACTATCGCACTCTCCAAGGGACCCCCTTTGTGGGGTTGATTTATGTAAGAATTAGTATAATCCTTTGACACAACAATGTTTATATTATTTTCCACTTTCGAATCCTTGAGTAAATGGGATAGATATTTGCAGTCCTGTCAGAGGAAATAAAATGAAATTACGGATAAAACATTATTATTTGGAAACGAATAATCAATGAAATCGTACAACAAATTAGGTTACTCCCGTAGTGTGTGTACCAGGTTAGGGTGAAGCCATAATTTTATTCCAATTTTAGTTCTATTACGAGTTTGGGGACCGTCTGTGTTAGCCAAGTGAATTCCCCCTACCCGTAAGTTTCAATCCCTTTACACATCTTGATGTGAAGTAGGCGAACATTAGTTACATCCATATTGGTACACACACTTCTGAAGCGCCCAAATTAACCCTTTCCATGCGATTTTTATTTTTTATAAAATAATCGTATTTGCTACGACGACTTTATGCATTTGTACCCCCACAACTAATCGATCGACTAACGAAAAAGTAATGATCCTCTGCTGCCCACTGACGGCTCGTTGGAAAGCCTATTTAAAGAGCTTGCAATTGGCGGTTGGAAAAATTTTTTTTTTTCAAAAGGGGTGGTCTGAGTCACAAACCGAATAGAAAAAAAGCATTTTTTTTTCTTGGGTGTTGAAACTTCAAACCGTGATAAAAAATAGAAATATTCGCTAAATCCTTCACTGTTACTGCTTCTTGGTTGGCAAACAATAGCATAATATTGCTGTAGCAATTTCGTTATCTAACTCAAAATACTTTGGTAGATGGAAGGGATAATATGTCTTCTATTACAACCCAAAAATCACCGAAATTTGCATAAATTTCAAAAACACTCCCTCGTTCCGCCGCAAATAAAATTCCCATGGTAAACGAAAGCGAGATTTACCGTCGCTTATGTTAATCTCGAAGAAGACTTCTTATCAATAAACTAAAACCCAGAAAAACTAGACTAACAGTTTGCGACCGATAGCTAAATAAAACAGTGGAGTACATCAACGTACCCGCCGCAATCTAGCTAGTTTTGTCGTGGGTACGTATACGTGCCCACCGCACGGAAAGGGTTAATCTATGGCGCTCAGCCAAATCACCACAATTAGGTGTCCGAGGTGATTTGGATTGAAGTAGAAGTGATTTAAAATTAAATTTTATGAATATAAAAATACTTTACCAAAAATAGGTAATTACGTTTTAATATTCTGCATGGCAATTATTAATAAAATTTTATAATTATTTCTAGTTTGAAATAAAATACCAAGCAAACATATACTACATCAGTATTCACACCTCTTTAATTATTGGATGACCTTTATGCTCCATTTTCGATGGCAGATAAATATGATATTCATGCTTGAAATCCCAGTCATACTTTGTATGAAAATTCTGAGCAGCTAGAGCACGATCCCACCTATTATCTTTCGATATCTGAATGAAAAATGATTTTTATTTATAAATCTTACTAGAATTTGGATAATAAAATAGTTCCATTATACGTCAGAGATCAACATCATAATTCGTTCTAATTGTTAGAATATTTTAGATTTAAATTTTAAACAGATGTAGTGAAGCCATCATGCTATAATTTTTAATTATTCAAAAACAAAGACATTCAGACTTCATTATAATGGAAAAGAACAAAAAATCTGAGTAATAAAATACTGTCAAAAAAAATTATTTTGATCAGACAAAGATGAAGAGAATTTTTTACCTTCAAATTCAAAATTTTAACAATGTATAACATCTCAACAGTCGCTGGACAGTTTTTCTTTTTCGTGGTTTGGAAATTTGTTCTTCTTTTAATTGAATAAGTTGGATCTTGCTGGTAAAAAGAAGTCAGAATTTGTTCACTTTATAATACTGAAATAGTAGTATACCTAAGCACGAGTGTTAATTGAAAACCTGATTATGTTTATATTGATTGGCATAAATTTAACATTTTTAAAAACTGAAAATAATTTTCCAAAAACTTGAATCTGAACTACTTTTTAGTCCAAGAACGATAGAATGTCATATGGTGTACAGTAAACGAAGAATATATTACGTAAAAAGATATATTTTCTAAAATGATTTTATATTTGAATTTTTTCTAATTACTGAAATAGTTATATTAATACCTCTGTATTCAAAATAATATCTTAGAAATACAAAAATATTTGAAAACTTACATTTATTTTAGTTTCTTCCAATTTTCTCTTCTTTGCTTTTTGTAATCTATCGACATCTGGTCCTTGATGACAGGTGAAAAATTCTCTTCCAATGATAACATATGGAATTCCATCAAATTCAAGAGTAACACCTTTTGCTTTTCGGCCTCGAGATGACCAGGATAAATTTCTTTTAGATTTCATCACAATGTGAAATTCTTCTGGCTTTAGATACATTTTCCCTTGATGTTGTGTTTTTCTCCAACGATATGAACAAATGCTATTGAAATATATGAATTTGTTCATCATATCTTCATAACTTTCGAAAGAATGTGGTCCAGATTTAGCATCGTCAACACATTGAACGGATTTTTTCATTGTTCCCATATGCAGATGTAAGAACGGAAGTACCGGTACAGCACTAGCCTATATCAGATAATAAGATAACGTAGTCCGTTAGTAAATATCTTCCTCGTTGTAATAGTATAAGCAAATGTATTTTATCCTTGGACCTCGATTTCAACAGGTCTACTGGCTAAAGTTTATAGTCTCTTTGGCTAAAATGACTACCGGTACGGTACCAAAACAAATTTTGCAAATGAAAAGTATGGGGCCTGCTCCTAGTGAATCGGTGAATTAGCGCAATTTCAGAACCACTGTGAATCCAGCGGAATTTCAGCGGAAAAATATTCTGCAGTTTTCAACCAGTTCCCATGCGGAAAATAATCTCTTATTACAATATTTATAAGGGATAAATGGATCCTATTTGAAATAATATGTTCCGAAGGAAACAACTCAGACCAAAATATAAGTTTAAGCACATTTAGCTGGTAGTGGTAATTACAACATACATAACTGTATATCACATAAAACAGAAAAACTAAAACGTATTAGAATATATTTGCAGAATGAAAAAAAATACAAAATAAAAATAGGCTACATTTGATGAGAACACAAAAATATCGGAAAATATTTTTTTCAATGTTACATGCAAACTCTAGGGTTCGAGACCAAATGCGAATATGATCCGCAAAGTTCCGACAGTTTTTAACAGTAATTTTGAATAGTACCAATAGTGATAAGTGTTATATATAAAAGTTGAAGGGAACAAAGCGGGACTTTATGATTTATGGGGTTTCAAATACAGGCAAAAGACAATATTTTCCGAAATTTGATGCGTACTCGGTATATCGAGGCCGAATTCGAATATGTTGCTTTATATGCCGACAACTTTTGACAACGATTTCGATCACATGTACAAGTCAAGTGTCTAACACCAAAGTATGCTCAACAGCGGAACGAAACTTAACAAATTATGGCCCTTCAAAAATTGACAAAAAATCAGATTTTGCTGTATTTCGTGCGAACTCAATGATTCGATGCCGAATTCGAATATGATCCGCAAAGTGCCGACAACTTTTACCAGTAATTTTGAATAGTACCAATAGTGAAAAGTATTATATATAAAAGTTGAAGGGAACAAAGCTGGACTTTATGATTTATGGGGCTTCAAATACAGGCCAAAAACAAGATTTTCTGAAATTTGATGCGAACTCTATACATCGAGGCCAAATTCGAACATGTTGCTTTATTTGCCGACAACTTTTGACAACGATTTCGATGACATGTACAAGTCAAGTGTCTAACACCAAAGTATGATCAACAGCGGAACAAAACTTAACAAAATATGGGCCTTCAAAATTGACGAAAAATCAGATTTTGCTGTATTTTGTTCGAACTCAATTATTCGATGCCGAATTCTAATATGTTATTTTATTTTCCGACAACTTTTGACAAGATTTCGTTTACACGTATAACCTAAGTATCTAACAACAAAGTATGATCACTAGCGGAATGAAAATTAAAAAAATATTGCCTTTCAAAATTGATAAAAATCAGATTTTGTCATATTTATTGCGATATCAATTATTCGACTCCGAATTCGAATATGTTATTTTATTTTCCGACAATTTTTGACTATGATTTTGTTTACACGTGTAACCTAACTATCCAACAACAAAGTATGATGACCAGCGGAATTAAAATTGAATAATTATGGGCCTTCAAAAATTGATAAAAATCTGATTTTGTCATATTTGGTGCGATAACGATTATTCGACCCCGAATTCGAATATGTGATTCTTTGTTCCGACAACTTTTGACAACGATTTTGTAGACATGCATAACTAAAGTGTTCACTAACAAAGTATGATCACCAGCGGAATGAAAATTAAAAAAATACGGAACTTCAAAAATGGGTAAAAATCAGATTTTGCCATATTTGGTGCGATATCAATTATTCGACGCCAAATTCGAATATGTTAATCTATTTTCCGACAACTTTTGACCACGATTTCGTAAACATGTATAACTAAAGTGTCCACCAACAAAGTATAATCACCAGCGGAATGAAAATCAAAAAAATATGAACCTTCAAAAGTTGTTTGAAAATCAAATTTTGTCATATTTGGTGCGATATCGATTCTTCGACGCCAAGTTCAAATATGTTATTCTATTTCCGAAAACTTTTGACAATGATTATGTTTACACGTATGACTCAAGTGGTCAGCACCAGAGTGTGATCACCAGCGGAAAATATTTTAAATTGACTTGACAAACGTATAGCATGTATATATAATTCTAGAGTGTTAACGGATTAAGCCGTTATTTCAAAATATCAGTCAGCTGTGGGCTCGGTGATGTTCGCCTGGGATCGATTTATAATTGATAATTACACGGAAGCAGAATCTGAATTATTTAAATATGAATGAGTAACTTCTTAGTATATATTTTTTTATATTATATTAGTATATTAGGTAGAAAGAAAGAACATTTGTGGTTTTCAAGCGGATTTTAAAAGCATTCTATGTCGCTATTTGTTCTGCTAATTCTGTTCCGCATTTGTATTAGAAGGTTCATGACGAGTAAAACAACATAAAAATTCAAAGTCGCTGTATGGATCGAATCATTGAGTTCGCACGAAATACAGCAAAATCTGATTTTTCGTCAATTTTTGAAGGGCCATATTTTGTTAAGTTTTGTTCCGCTGTTGATCATACTTTGGTGTTAGACACTTGACTTTTACATGTGATCGAAATCTTTGTCAAAAGTTGTCGGCATATAAAGCAACATATTCGAATTCGGCCTCGATATATCGAGTACGCATCAAATTTCAGAAAATCTTGTTTTTGACTTGTATTTGAAGCCCCATAAATCATAAAGTCCCGCTTTGTTCCCTTCAACTTTTATATATAATACTTTTCACTATTGGAACTATTCAAAATTACTGTTAAAAGCTGTCGGCATTTTGCGGATCATATTTGCATCTGGTCTCGAACCCTAGAGTTTGCATGTAACATTGAAAAAAATATTTTCCGATATTTTTGTGTTCCCATCAAATGTAGCCTATTTTTATTTTGTATTATTTCTCATTCTGCAAATATATTCTGATACGTTTTAGTTTTTCTGTTTTATGTGATATACAGTTATGTATGTTGTAATTACCACTACCATCTAAATGTGCTTAAACTTATATTTTGGTCTGAGTTGTTTCCTCCGGAACATATTATTCCAAATAGGATCCATTTATCCCTTATAAATATTGTAATAAGAGATTATTTTCCGCATGGGAACCGGTTGAAAACTGCAGAATATTTTTGCGCTGAATTCACAGTGGTATATTACTCTAGGTCTAGCCTTCCTTGCGAGTTACCGCACTGTACCTATTTAACAACGTCTTATGAGCTAGTGCTCAACTAAAATTGCTATTTATGGTAAGGATATACAAGTGTTTAATATCTTACTTATACGTTTCAACACCTCCTTAAAATAACTGAACTAATAATTGTTACGTTGTAAACGTACGTTTGTCGTATATTTTGCCACTGTATGCAGTGCATCGTGCTCTGCCTTGCATCCAATCATTGTAGACCCATTATTACCCTTTGTTTGTAGCGTAAATTAGTATTATTATCTATTGTCTGGTTTAGCGTTTTCCTTTCGGGCATTTGCATCACGTATTCGTCGTGTAAAGAGTCGCAGATATTTGTCTGTATTGTGGACTGTTTATTTATCTGTTATATATTTTAATTGTATTATCGGAAAACAAAATCGCTGTTCTTTGCCAAGAATATAAAGAAGTGATTTATGCACGTGTCTTGTTTGTGGACAAAGGGGCTGAGAGTGGCGCGTTCGATACGTTTTCATTGTGTCTCGTCGATATAGATTCCGGGCTATCAAAAGACGTGACATAATAACTGAAAAAAAACTATGGAAAGGCTACCCAACTCAACGCAAAAGCGAGCAGTAATTACATCTGATATTCATCCGACCACGGGGATCCACCTACAGCTGACTAATTTGTTTGTTACGTCATGCAGAAGTCTGCGTTCATTGGCCCATGATACCGGAAAAGCAGAGAAAATAGGACAAATGGTAACACATATTTATTGTAGTGAAAGCGTCTTTTCTGTAAAACGTGCAACTTTTGGAAGTGGGAACAAGGCAATATTTGTTACTAAATTTCTAAGGAACATTTTAAAATCATTTTCAGGTAGTTACCTTATGTGCGCTACGAAACTGAAAGATAAATGGCCTCGGCTCGCGGCCTACTATTCCTGACCTAAGTTAATAATGAATAAAAAATTAATTAACATTTCGACTTAACATGTTACAGACAAAGTTTCTTTGTTTTATTTTGTATATATTTGACCGGATTTATTTCAAGAGATATAGGTCGTTGCGCTTTTGTTAAATGACCGATCATAAATTACTCCCTCCCTACCTGCTCCACCCGGAGTAGCGCATGCGAGGAATTCTAGACGTTTTGCAATGATGTGTGTAAACCATGAGGTCTGAAATGTTTGTTATGGTCTTGCTTGGAAGAAAAGATGATTATCCACGCAGCATTATAAGAAAGAACGATATATGACATTCGGAAGTGATAAAATATCGCTTACTTTTCGAGCGTGTACACCCCGCTGCGATAGAAAAACGTCGCACAACAAGAAAATAATTCAATAAACCTTGGAGTTGCGCGATAACCAATAACATAAGCAAGTCTAATAAGGTCTTATTTTGAATTTCATTTCATATGCTACCAAACATAAAAGAGTTAGCCTTTCACAACATATGAGAAGGTATGAAAATAACGGGTCGTTTGATCGCAGTTGCCCTTACAGAACAAAGTTTACGTAAGCGTTTAATCGCCCAAATTCTGATACAACCGTTCTTCGTCAGTAGCGGTAGCGCAGGGGGTACGTAGAGACTTTGGATTGAACACTAGGCCAGGCATCAGGAGTTCAAACCCCACCGAGTTTTAGGGCAGGATCAGCATACAATATGGTAGTGTTCAGTAGGGAGCCGGTGGCAGGGCGGCAGCCCAGGGAAAAAAAGAGTGAAGATGCTAAGTGGAAACCTGGGTAGAGACAGCAGCAGACAAGCCGCCAGGGAATAGCCAGTGAAGTGTCAAGGAAATAAAAGAGTGTGAAGAGGAAATAGAAATCAGCGAGTGAGAGGGAGAACAATAAAAACGAGCGAGCAACGTCAGTCGATAAATAATATACAAGTAAAATCAAATATGGCGCACTCAGCGGCCAGGCAACCGAGTACATTTGCACCCGCGTAAGTTTACTTTAAATCGACGTGGAATTGCGCCCACGTACATTTTGCACTTATGGACATTTAAACTTTCATAAGTTGAAAAATTACACTCATGAATCTTTCTACCCATGTATATACCCACTTTTAACCATGGAATTCCTAATTATGTACAGGCAAGACATATTTAAAATATATTCTCTTGTTGAAGATGAATTAAAGTAATTACTGACGTGAAATATGACAAAGAGAACTTTGCTAAGTATTTGCGTGGTGCAATATCAAATTATATCAATTGACACGATAGTGCAAGGGTAAAATGGTGCGAAATACTAACGTCCCCGTAGTATTTGTACCTGAAATTATGCCCTACCCCTAAGTGGAACATATACTATGTTCCGCCATCTTGGTACGCATACTTAACAGACATTTTTATCAAGCTATTGAGTTAAACATGTTGGTCTGTTAGTTTACATGGCTGTTTCAAATGTTTTTTTAGACATATCTTCATAAATTCCCTCCAGATGTGTTTCCATGCCAAAACCCCATCTGGTGCCAGCAAATCATTTTTCAAAAGTGAGTTTCGAGACGTCTGCAAAAAATTATATTTTAGTTACGACATTTTGAAATAAATTGCCCACAACGATTGAACCTTGTCTACCATCTAAGCATGTATGTGTTTATATATAAGTATAACAGCCACTTTGACAAAGTATTATTTGAAACAAAAATGTGAATACCCCACAAAACAAATTGGAATTAATAAAATGTAACGTTTTCCGGAGAAATATTAATGCATTCAATAAATGTGATGGATTTTGCAGTAGCAAAAAAGGTATTGCTATTGATTACAAATCAATAATTTAAAAACACTCGACAAAATAATTCGAAACTTTTTGGCACATCTAAAATTATAAATATATATATATATGTTGAAGCCATGTTTAGATAATAGCAATAATAGGTATCCAATTTATGTGAAAAAAGTTATTAGTACCAGCCTGAAATCAAGCAAAATGGATTATCATGGCAAACGTAAAACACCTCTCATGTTGTATTATGCAGCTGGTGACTTCGTATACAATGACAGAATGAGTCTGGGAAAAAATTATCAAGATCAGTAGACCTCCATCATAAAACACTAATTAATTGAAGTTAAAATATGTGTGTTTAAATTATGTTTTCATACAGACGTCACAATTTCACAATTTCAATCACCCATCAGTCAATTTATATTCTTGCTTACTGCTTTGACACACAGCATAAATCATCACACTGCAACTTTTTTGATACATTCCTTGACAAATCATCACTGTATTGAGTACCTATAAAGAACATTTACAACTTACTCTTTTTTATGCCGAACAATCGTAGCACAAAGCGGCTCTCTATTAGACTACATCTACTCATGGGAGCTTTAAAGTGAATTTAAAATCTTACTGTCAATGTGCTTTCGAGTGCTGAACCGGTGCTAGGGCCTTCCCACTCAATTGATTATTCTTCTATTTTGTTTTGTAATCTGCATTCTATCAGTTCTATAGTCAAGTAGACTATATCGTGTAATATTCCATGTGCACAACTAACTTGAATATTTATAAGTCACTCACTTAATCTTGACGCGAGACAGCGCCGTCAGAACACAGAAAACGCAGAAAGTCGCACAATGATTTTGAAGCAATAATAAACTGTCAGCACCAAGTCAAGCGTGACCAAATTTCAACACCGGGATCAAATTTCCGGAGTTACACGGGGTTGGTATAACGCCTCATAAAATGCCATATTAAGCATGTCCCTGTGCATGCAATTATTATATGCGAAAAAGTCTAAGTATTTACCACATAATTTCATAGCTTTTTTTTTTTTCATAGAAATTCATAATCTCATAGCAATCACTCTCCTGAAGCTTCCGTTTCATGGTTTCCGTTGGAACGTTTCGTGGTATTATCTTTTTTATTCAACCATTTATGGGTTTCGTGGTGGAGGTGGAGGCGTTGTAAACCTTGTCGGATTTATGGTCTATTTTGCCACAATATTTTCTTCCAGTCCTGCTAAAGCTCATAGATTTGTTGGTGATCAGTGAACCCATTTATCTGCTGTTGCATTGTTTTTATGTCAAGTTTATTTACGTATCTCTCTTCCTTATCCAGTTTAATTTTGGTCTTGATAATTTCCTATTTTAATATGAATAACATACAGTATTTAGAACGCCCAGTCTGTTTTGACCTTCGCACGTGTCGTCGAGATATGTTTAAGTTTTGGCCTGTCCTTCCTTGCTCGCAGGAATACCCGAAGGGCATTTGGAATTCCAAGGTATGTGGGGCATGATAAAAATATGTGGGTAGTTGTATCTGTGGTTTGCTTACGAAGCTTGCAGTTCAGCTTTAGCGGGTGGAAGTTTTCATTTTCACGTGTTAACCCGTATCTCAATTTTCTACTACCAAAATGATAGAACCTTTAGGGCCGTTGATGGATTGGCCACTTTACATGAATGCATGTAAATTTAACCGGTGTGTTGGTATATACCCTAGCTATGCTAGAAGGATCGCTACGTTTTGTAAAAAAAACTATCTCTCACTATCTCTTAGGATTTTTCAAAGCATGCCTTAATTGCGTAAGAGACGATAAGCTGTTTACAATCGAGTGTGATACATCTAATTTTGGCGCTCCAGAAGTATGTGCACCCAGATGACGCACAACCTGAACCATAACCTGGTACACATACTATGTTCAGGTTGTGCGCTAAGATTTCTGGATGTCCCTAATTTTGCCATATATATAATCTTAATTCAAGAGTAAAAGTTGACGCCCAGTAGTCTTGATGTCAAAAATATCCTCACTCACTTTGCCAAAAAGACATGTTCTGTCACAGAAGCTAAATAGACACAATCTGTTACTTTTAGGTTAAACTTCTAAGAAAAATGGTGAAATAGAAAATTTAACTTTGCTGTCCTGAACTCGGTATTCTTAACTATAAGTCTAATACAGGTTTAGCAAACTATGTGGGCTCAACATATAGTTTATGCATATCTCAGCAGAAGAATGGGAGTAAAAAGTGAAGTCCACAAAATTCTCAAAATATCTCGCTTGGCTCACAAAGCAAAAATCTTCCTTATTTCACGACCGACCTAAAAATGTGTGCAAATTTTGCAAGGTTTGTTCTGAACTAAACCCAAGATAATTCAAGCTTCTGTAAAATTCTTGAAAGTTTTTGAGGCATCACAAAATTTGATATGTATCCCAATGCCACGAATCAAAAGAATCACTCAAACTGCTGTGGTTTGTGGGTTGAAGGTAGGCTAGGCTATATCACATTGTAATTTCTCCAATCGAACACATGGGCAAATTTGTAGAGAACACTTATATCTGGACATTCTTTTATTATTAAATCATTAAGACTCTCTCGGAGATAAATAACACAAAATAAGTTAAAATAAATTACCTTTCAAGATAAGAAATATAGTGATATGATTATATATAACAAAAGTGAATGTTAAAAATATAATAAAATGTCAACAAACAATCTGACTAAATATATATATATATAAAATGTAGAAAAGCAGTCAATTAATTCAATGTTGACAAATGTTTTTCTAGTCGTCTCGCCGATGGCCTTGTCAACTGATTCTCATACACTCTTAAAATATCACAGATCTCTTGTCCCTGTAACATAAAACGACACAAAATTTAAAAACAAAACGTCATTTGTGAATTTTTAAAGTACCCCGACGGGTTTATACTAAAATATGGACAAGAAAAGCAAAAATCTGAACACATGCTCTTGTATATGGTGACTATTGTAAATCTATTAAAATGCATGATCAAGACTCCCGAGTTTAATGAATTCTGTTAGGAATTAATGAGAGCAAATAATAATTGTTTAAGAAAAAAATAACTCACAAATGAAGCTCGCACACACTGTATCTTCTTTGTCATCCACTTTAGATAAAACTATTTTTCTCGACTGATGTTTCAGAAAATAGCCTTGTTTCGTAAATGATTCGAAGGCTGCGTATCCCTGTTTGAAAAACAACGACACAATTATAATCATGGCAAATTTTGTGAAATCTCACGACTCAAGGATATAGGGTTGTGATGGCAAAATGAAATGACTTATATGAAACAATCATTTTTACATAACATTTATTTCCCCAGAAATTACATCAAAGTGAAAAAGCTGCGCTTGTTTGACATCATCGAGTTTGTATAATCTGGTCTATCTTTACTTGAGCAAAATGATACTTCCCACATATGCAATTAGTATTGAGCAACACCTCAATGCCAAATATGAAATAAACAATAAAATATACTGAAAAAATAAATTAGTAACTTTTTTGTTTTTATTAAAAAAACAAGCAACTCAAGAACACCTTGCGCCTCAGGGGATCAAAATTTCTTCATATTTCTCAAATTTAACGCTTAAAGCCTTCCAATATAACACTTCCAACGTAATATTCAAAACAAGTTTTACCCTGAAAAAGTGATTCTCTCGGAGCCAAAAAGTGGCACGATCTTGTTCCAAAGGAGTGTTTTCCAACATATCACCAGTGTACACATGCGTGCCGTTGGATTTGATATATTTGTTTCTATCGCCTTGCACGAGAATGGATACTGTGTTTTTCACGCCGTTAACTCCGGGAGATTTAACATATAGCGCCAAGTAATAATATGATTTCAGTGTCACTTGTTCACCAAAACCGACATGTATGACGTAGTTGGATGGGTCGTAAGAATGTAATAAATATGGTCCATTTTTTCCTTCTCTCAAGATCGGTGCGTCAGCTAAAATATGCAAAAGTGAATTATTCAGTAAATTTCATTTAACTAACCAACTTGAATGTAAAATAACAAGATACACAAAAAACACCTAAGATACACTTAAGCTACACAGAAATATTGTATGACGAACACAAATTTCAGAATAGGTTGAAATGACAGTACACGTATATATCAGCTAAAGTCTATCATAATACTACCGAATTCCTGCATCGATATTAATTCTTTTTCATTTACTACTTCACATGTAAAATTTGAACTGCACTGAAAAATTGACGCAAATAATTTCTGGAATTAGAGGTGCTAAAATTAATTTTGATTAAATTCAACGTATTTGTCAAAGTGTTTTTAATATCCCGAATAATCTTTTATTCCAAAACATTTGAGGCTCACTGTGTGATCTATATATAATTAGCAGAACACTTCAGCCGGATATATTCACATACGCAAAATCTTGATTTTCGTCATTTCAAGAAAACTAATGTGATCGAATTGAAGTCTATTTCCCCGTATTTACTGTACCCATTTCAACGTCCATCAGTTAAAACAAATAAATGAAGTGAATTTATCTATTCTATTGTTTTTCTTAAATTCATTGTCCAATCTTTTAATATATGCTAAGCGAAAATACCGAGAAAACTAATGTATTTCTTAAGGTTAGCAAAGGACATGAATGTGTTGTCGAATAGAACGTGTTTCGTCATACAGATTTCACTTTTTGAACTTGCTTGAATTGTTGTACACTACTTACCTTCGCAGAATCCGATGGTGGCGTTATAATAAGATTTTTGGGTTTCATAGTCAAAAACACATTTTGTAACCGTTGGTCCCCGGAGATGATATCCTGTTGAGGGAACATTCAATTAATTTTTTTGTAATAATAATTATACTAATTACGTCACTCGACCTTTGGCATTTTGGTCAATTGTTTGAAACTAATATGGAACAAATATTGTTTCACAAACAACGGATCGGATGTACTGATAATCTGTTTACTAATGGTTTTTTTTTTCGAGTAAGTGTTTATTGTTCTGAACAAATTTAAATCACGATATCTCAATAAATCTAAAATTCCAATAATTTCGAGGAAAAATCTCTAGACTCTTAGTCAACGGCATTGTTTTCCTTTCTAAATATAAAATTATTGAATTAAATTTTATTGCATATTATTATAAGTAAACATGTTTTGAACGTTTTAACATCCGCGAGTTCATGAGATTAATCCAAAGATAAAACCCACGGAGTTCAAGGTCCATATTGTCATTCACGGATTTTTAAAATGAATGCACAAAAAACTCTCGTCAAATATAGATCATCTCTGTAAATATATACAAAATACCCATTTCCATATTCGGTTACCGATGTTTTATAATTCCTTAGGTGCGGTCGTCGTTAGTCTTCGACGTTTTAACATGAAATTAACTGCCTTCGTGCCACCGCGAAGAAAAGGGGGTGTGGCAAAATATGAGTGTTTGTGGAAATAACAATATAGTAAAATAAGAAAAACATGTTTTATTTATGATATATGATAAGGATATTGTGAGTCATTTAGAGAATAGCTTAATGTTATAATTACAACATTTATAATTGACAATTGTGAAAGTGATCGCGCCTAGAGGTATGTTTTTCCTGTGGTTTTATTTCATCGCACGACTGTTTTGTGGAATTTCTAACGGAAATGTTACGTCATTGATGATTGAAAATGCTGAGAGTGCCAATTTTTTTTCGAGAATACTGTTCACAGCAAGGTCACGCGTACTCACTCAGAAATAAAGGAGATATATCTCCGAGCGAAGTTACGGGCGATCACCGACGTTCGAAGAGAGATAATTATAACGTAGAACTACGTTTTTGGCGTAAGTGAATACCGATGAACAAATAGGATAATAGGATGTAGCATGTAGGAGTTCTCGAGCACTACAATGTGAGCATGTGAGTTTTGTGGAATTTCTAACGGAAATGTTACGTCATTGATGATTGAAAATGCTGAGAGTGCCAATTTTTTTTCGAGAATACTGTTCACAGCAAGGTCACGCGTACTCACTCAGAAATAAAGGAGATAGATCTCCGAGCGAAGTTACGGGCGATCACCGACGTTCGAAGAGAGATAATTATAACGTAGAACTACGTTTTTGGCGTAAGTGAATACCGATGAACAAATAGGATAATAGGATGTAGCATGTAGGAGTTCTCGAGCACTACAATGTGAGCATGGGCGTTAACGATAAGTTGGCGTCTGAATATTTTTACAAGCAAGCATTAAAGCTTGGATGACTATCATGCAGTTCACTACAGTGGTATCACTATACCCAGTGCGGTACTTCGGGTTTCGTTGAAGGTGGGGTCGGGGCATTTAAACTTTGTGACGTCATAGTATGATTTCAAATTTTGTATTGTGTTTTACACCAAGACAAAATGCAGCGTGACATACGTCATACAGTATTAGATTTCCCGAAACAGTCTTCATTACGCTACACGGGAAATTTATGTATGACATAGGATAAGATTTACATAGTTATCCCGGGGGAGAGGAAAGTCGATAATACGCCTTAATCATATGGCGAACCACGGCCTCTCGTTCGATTACCAGTCCATGTCGGGTATGGGATTAGTTATTTGTTTTTAAACGCATGGACTTGATGTAAATAATAAATGAATTTTGAAACTTTAGCTTTGCTACAAAATTGCAGTTGGAAGCAGGCGTTTTTGGTAATGACTTCAATCAAAAAAAATCAATCTGAAAACTTCTACCCCTGAGCATGATATGAACATGTGCAACAAAGTCAAACTTTTATAGTAAAAAAAACACATTCTTTTTCTCACCTTTTACGCACGAAAACCAGCATATACTTCCTATCTCTGCTTGATGTCTTTCGAATAGGCACCATTTTGTTCCGTAAAGGGGTGTTTTCTGTGGTTCACAATTTTCGTTCCCTGTATTAAAATAATTATTTAAGGCACACTCGATTTAAAATGCGCATTATCGTTTCTGATGTAAAAAAAAAATAATGAATGGAACCATGTACGATTTATGGACTCAACCAAAATCCTGAAACAAATGATCTAATCAAATCATTAATATTATATACGTAATATTGGCGCTTTGATGTATAATCAACAAATTTTGAATTTTTCTAGCATTCTGACCCAAATCTTTATTCAAGCAAGCAAAAGGACGTCAGCAGTAAATTCTGATAGAGACATAGGAACATTGTCATTTCGATCTACGATTTCTGTTTCGCAGTTTATTAAAATTCTTAGTGAAATCAGAGGAAAAAATTGAGTTTTTTTGATAACTACTTTTATTCTCAAATAGCATAAAATATTTTTGTATTTTTGACACTTTTTATGCCATTATTCGAGTTTAATTTTCAATTTAAATCCTTCATCATTTGCACCCCAGCAAGAAGATTGTCGAAGCATTTTCTGAATTAAAGTTGATATTGAAAAGTTTACGTCGTTAATTGTTCAAATTGACATAATTTAGTAACAAATCTTAAAAATACTTTAACGTCAAGTTCATCACTTACCTCTATGATGAGATGGAGCAGCGATTGAGCTGGAAAAGCAAAATGTTATCGAGACGAGATGAATAAGGTTCATTATGCTGTTTGCAATACACGGGTTCAATATACGATACAATTTATATTCTTTTCAGCTAAAATCTCTTGAAATGACATGAACTGTATGTTGGACGAAATTGGCAGAATTCCATGAAATTCCATTTATATATGAAGTGCTGAGTAACGTTTGGACCAACATGGAATGTGATGACTGATTGCATCACAAATTGCCCCAAAGGTAAAAGACACTGTTTTGAATTCGTGGTTTGGAGAAAGGTTCTGCGTGGCGATAATTTTTCTTAAAAGCGCCACTTGTATTGCTATATTGGTCATGCTTCGTTCACATTTTTATCCACAGAATTATCAACGTTGTATCATTTAGCTCTCTCGCGTTTTTTCTCATGACTTTTGCTTTGAAATGTTTACTTGCATCTTCTTGTTATTTAATGTTATTCATGACTGAATTTGAGTAAACAGCGAAAAACTACTCATTGGTCGTACGAAAACAGACTGAAATATGATAATATAATATTTTCCGATGATTCAGCCTGTCGACTAAGGATGACGTAAGCTGAAAAAACAAATAATTAGAACCATCAAGAAAATTTTTAAGTACTTTTTTGAGATATTTACTTCTGAAATGTCGCGTGCTCACTTAAATAGTTATTACTTGGTGTCGGAATCGCGATGAAAAATCTATTTTTATTAGTTTTTTATTTTATTAAAATACTCGGCATAAACTGAACATCAATAGGTTTAGAGAGCCTTCAACATTTCAAAACAGAAATCGACCGCAAATTATTAACTTGAGTTGGCGACGCACTACTGTGAGCGATTTCGCATTATAGGCCAGTGCGTTTCATGATCTGCTATTAATTAGATTATATGCCAGCTGTAAGAGGCATCGGAACTGACAAATCGTACAGAAATTTTAAGCACATATCAGTATCTTCGAATACTGTTATGGGGATATTGGTAATTACTTGCCAAGCGAAGGTCATATTATAGCCTATTTTATAATACTACATGGTTTCATCAAGATACATTTCATTACGGCATAGTCAATTTGTTTAATCGGAAAGATGGCCTGTCCTCGCACACATTCCTACAGAAACAATAAGAAGAAATTGTGTATCAAGTTTGTTGCATTGACAATAGTGTTCTAAACAACAACAGCTGATTTGTTATATATTATATCGTGTTCTCATTTTCATTCATCGGTCTGTGATAACTTACCAAGCGAGTCCCTGCATATATTCCGCAGTTTTCCATTTCAATTTTTTTTTTATTAAACGTTATTTTAAGGAAAACTAATGTTTAGATCTCTATTGTTATAAATATGGGTTGTCACTGAAAAGGGTCTTGTACAATGTTGATTGTGATTTAAATCATTTACCTCAATACCCCACAAACCATCGTTATGAGGTGTATTTTTAGAATATAATATAAGTTTAGAATATTTAAAATTTGCCTTTTATTTTGGTTACTTTAATTTTTTTCATACGTTCCTCCCCTTTTCTGCGTTTCTGTGTGCCACTGAGAGATTTTTTTTTGACATCTTTCTGACAGCCTTCGTAATTTTGCCGGTGCGATCAAACAAACAACAAGACGCCGAAAATCGACGACTTCCTGGCATTGTAACGTAACAAAACAATTCGAGCAGAACTAACATCAACGTTATAAGATGTGCATTACGCGGGGGTTGCGGGGGTGGATGCTACGCCACTGCATCAAACTATTTCCTGGTATTACGTTACTGGTTTCACACAGCACTCCGGGGTGAATTTATCAATTTATATATCCCTAGTGCACAAGGTCGTCTTCATAATCACTGTTTTTCAGTTAAGCATCAGGGAACATGCATAATAGACCCTTCGACCGGACTTCCGTCATCGTTACTATGTTCAGATTCGATACCACTCATTGTATTCAGATATGATTGCTGAGGACATAAAATGTCTAAATTAGTCCAGTTCAGCCTTCAGTCTACCCTAGTTGAAATAGCTGAGTACCGTAACTCGAATTTTTTTATACCGCTCGAACTACTACCGTGTTTCCTCGAAAATAAGACATACCCTGAAAATAAGCCCTAGTGGTATTTTTCGGAAGAAAATTGAAATAAGACTCAGTTATATTTTCGAGGAAACACATTAGTATTTCAGAACATTTTAATTTTGGAATACTCTGATGGTATACCGACAAGCGAAACAATTTATTAAGTTGCAACGCTCGAGGAAGCCAGATTCTGGAGAGGAAATAAGGTTAGGCCCAAGATAAAAAACATGAAGTAACAATAGACGATTTAGCAGCCGCTAAGACACTTTTGTCACTCTGACATATTTACAGGCATGGTTGTGTACATTGTTTCGTTTTTTAGTTTAGTTTTGTCAAAGGTCGGGGAAATATTCATCAACCAAGTAGATTACAAATTTTAAAGACTTCTAGACGACATTTTTGTTAGATCCAACTGGGGAGAAGAAATCAAATTACCGGGTTGTGGCAGTAATCACTGGGGAATATTCTAATCCGTATTTTCTTTGAAGATTTGGTATTTACGCCGGTATTGTTAAATACCCTTTCCTTTTATTATGTTATGTTTTAATTGGTAATTAAATTTGTGAAGACGATGAATTTTTTCCACTTTTCCAGCGAAGTCGTCTTAGGGTGTGATAGGGATTAAGCATTGTTACATTATATTGGAATATTAATCAGAAAACACAACATAGTCTTGTGGGATGTCATTCGCATAAATCAGGTTAGATAATTAAGATTCAGCACTCAAAAGAATAGTTTATTGGGATCACTAAAACTATTTTTCATCGCGCATGATAAATATCAGCATTTGATCTCGGGATAATACTACGACCTGGTCATATTTACAGTAATTTACTTTTGCAAAGTAGTCCCAGTCGTCTGTTTTCCGACAAACAACTTTAACTTACGTGTGTATATGCAGCATTGATAAAAGCAAAGGGAATACTCGTATATCAATATAGTCAAATGTTGGAGGGAGCGAATCAAAATGAATTAGATCAGGCTTGCCCAACCTTTTTGTGTCGCGGGCCACTTTCGCACGGCGAAGTTCATTGCGGGCCGCAAACGTATGTACCAAACTCTAATACCAGCTAAGTTTTGATCTACGTTAGCATTTACATAATACATAAAAGACAAGTTTATTAACATAAAATCAATGAAGTTAATAAATAAATAATGATTACGGACTAGGGTTGGGAAAAATATTCGAATATGGTATCGAATATTATAATAGCAGTTTACTATTCACACCAAAATCACGAAACATATCCGAGCCTATATATATATATATAAAATACTAAAAATTTTCAAAAGTCGGTCACAAACTCATATAGAGCGGGCCGCATGGGGCCCCCGGGCTGGGCAGCCTCGAATTAGATTTTTTAAGATATCACAACTTAACTGTTTGATGTTTGTACGACGGCAATTCTACTAATTACTTTGACTGAATACGTTAATAAAAAGAAGTCGCGCAGAAATGTTGCAGTCTTACACTCTCAGACTTTAGAGAGCCAGCGTCATGCTTTGGATGATACCGACAACGCGCTTTTGCCCCAGGCTAAGTATAGTGCAAATGGTTTTGCTCGATAACCTCAAATACTATCCTAACTAAATAATCTTAAATATCAAACGTAAAGTCCAGGTAGTAATTGGAAGAATCAAGGCAATTACCTATATTTAAAGTATAGAATGTCGTATATCATGACAAATGGTGTATAATCCACTATAAAGACAGAGTGTAGGTCAATTTGAATCAGGGTGCAAAAGATAAATTAGATGAGTACAAAATATTCTATTTATTTGCAATGACGTTGATAACCGATTACTATATGTTTTTAGATTCTCAAAAATGAGGTAGATAATAAAAACTGTATATACCGAAATATTTTGGTTTCATCGGTTCCTGCCATGTCACCGTTCGATATATTTCGCTTGATTATACCAAGTAATCCTCTGCTATCTGTGACACTGTTGCTGTGCTTTTTTAATTATTTATTACTTCTGATGAACTATAATTACAAGCAAGGTAAGTCTGAATATTTTTTAAACGAATAAATATAGTTAGGTCGTTTATACTTGTTTAAAAGTATATATGCCCAAAAGGTCTAACATTTGTCGAAATGTGTGTCCAAAAGCAAGAAAAGTTAAAATATCGAAACTGCTGAAAGCATTAACAAAGTAATAAATGATACGAATGTTTGTTACTTTCCAGCTGGTAAATCCTTTTTGTTCTTAGTTTGCTCAGACGAAACGTTTGCGTCTGAAGGGAGGAGCCGTCAAAGGAGAGGAGTAAACGACTTTGATCATTGGAATGTTCAAGAAAAAAATCAATTCTGGGTTGTGGAAATGGCAAAATATTCAAGTAGGTCGAAGGTTTATAGTTGCATATATATATATTAAGTTTAACATACGGTACAGAGTATGGCATGTAATACAACATACTCATACGGTACGACGGAAACTTACGTGAAACTTTTCCTAATTAAACTTCGACAAAGAGTAAAATTTTCAGTATTTTGATATATGCTATCAAAAATAATAGCTTGAGAAATTGAATACAAATATTTCACATGTAGCTTTCAACTGGGAATCTGAGATGGAACGGCTTTTCGAAATTATACCAGTGATGGAAATGAGAACAGATAGCGTGACTCCAGATGATGCCGAAAGACAAATCCCTATTGATCCCAATGAGCCAACGCAATGGGGCCAAAATCTTTCAAAAAGTCACAAGTTGCCGCTTGTTACAGAATATACTAACGAAGAGCTTATTGCTCTTGAAATGAAAAGAATTAATAGTAACTTTACAAATATATATCAAAATCTTAATAAACAGAGCAATTCAAAATGGCATTTGCTAAAAGAAAATGCGTTATTGAATGGTTTACTGAATTGCAGAGAAATTTCGCAGCTAGAGTATAGTCGAAAAGACCCGCGGATTAAATACAATTTCCGTAGTTTGTCAAAATGGAAAGGTGACATCAAAATTTCATCCACTGTAAGCGTTCCAATACTTCTAAGAAATTTCGTCAAAAAGAAAACTCCACCAGAATCATCTATAGAAAAGATGAATTATCCCACGATTGCAAGAAAAAGCGATAAACAGTATTTTGACAAAAGCTTTGAGCGTGCTAAAACTAAACTTCTTAATCTGTTGAAAATGCAAGGATGGTATGGAATACCACGTTTGTATGGATTGTGTATCACGTCATCAAGTGGAGATGACGTTACAGACGCAATATTAAATCCAACTAAAGGAACGCCGATGAAGGTCTCGGATAAAATCAGGTATATTATGAGCAAGCTTGCACAATGTATCATAATAAAAAAAAAATCCAGACATTCATATATATTGCACCATCACGATTATTTTTGTGTGTTTACATCACCGATATGCATAAAAATCAGAATGATGATAAAAACCTAATTCCCATCAGATATTTACTTATTCACTGGAATCCCTTGAGAAACTTTTGATAGACTAGAAAGATCAATTTAATAAACGATTTTATCTTAAATAAAGTATTATAAATTGTATCCAAAATCGACGACAGTGTGTAAATAAAACGAGTCACGTCTGAATTTCAATTCCGAGTAGGAATTTCCCTCCTCTTTGATGATGTATATACAAAACTCTACTTGAATCCACATCTTGCATTGGAGTTAGGCACTTATAATTCTTTATCTCTTTCAGATACATAGTTGCAAGACACGATGAAGGAACTACACTTTGTGATTCCTATTATGCATCGTTTGAATGTCAGCGACTTCACCCAGTTATGAGGTTGACGAATACAATGGATAAACCGCCTCTGGCGGCAATAACTATAATGTACAATACCGCAAAGCTTTTTGAGCAATTTTGGAAACACGGGTAGGTCCAATATAAAGAATACTTTTATTTTGTCCATGGCAGCACTGAAAACAGTGAAATTTAATATTTTAAGGCATAGAAACTTATACGATTTCCGTATTCCGACTATTCAACAATTTATAGAAAAGAGAATGTAACACAGAATGTCCTATTTGATGTAGAACGCTGCAACAAATAAATATAAGTATTCTACCTGGTTTATGTAATAAATTATATCAATTTTTTTGTTGTAAATAACCATCATTAAGATTTATACAGTAACTTTACTAAAAATATTTGCAGTGAACAACGTGGTACTTGTCTTCCACTACCATCTCTAAAATTTAAGTAGTTTACAGAGAAAGTCCTACATTTAATGTGTCTATATCGACTATTTCAACAATTGTTTACCCAATAGCATATGAATGTTTCTTTATAATTATACTTCACCATCGTTTTCAGTGCTGTATTATATGATCTGCTCGGAACAGATTTCAAAATTGACTCGAATTTAGATGTCATGATAACGGATACTAGTTCAGTAAAATTTCTACCAAGAAATGAATGCTCAGAAAGTTCACATATACAGAGGTAAAGTATTTTTTCGAAATTAAATAGAGCGCGATGCCAGAGCAAAATAAATTAGACAGACTTGACAATTAATCATCTTGGGAGGACCCGCTTGCTCGTGGAAAGGCATGACACGCTTGGTTCACAATTATATATATATTGGAGGTCATGTTTCCATTTATATATTTTTTCAATTATTCGACCTTTTTTATTTATCAGGTTGCTCTCGGATACAATATGTACTGAATCAACACAATGTGAACTAGTTTCTTGGCAAACAAACTCTATTTCTCTGAAACTCGGTATGCACTGTGGAGAAGTGAGAGGTTATTGTAAAAAGAACCGATGTTGGGGAATCGATTCACACGTGCATGCCTGTATATTATCAAGATGGTTTTTTACCAAACTTCATGCTGTAATTCCTACCTCTTGGTCACATGATGAGGACCTAAATAATCTTATTCAGTGTGGATCCAGTAACGCGCCAGATGAAAGATGTGATTGGACTCAACTAAAAACGGGCCTAAAACAGATATATGACATTGCAAAGAAAGAATGGGCTCCCAAATAAAGAAATCTGAAACGACGTGACTTCCATATACACGTCTTTTCATTAACACATTAAATGAAATTTCTTTCACGTATACGTAAGTTTTTCTAAAAGAAGATAGAAATGACAAACTCATAACAGAAACCACATACCATATATTTAATTTATATACAAGCAAAATACTTCGTTAATTCGTGACTGTGTATAACATTAGGCGGTGTAACCTAATATTATAATTCAGCGTTATTTCAACGTTATCAAATCTATTGGCAGATAAGTTGATCATTATTGACAACGTATTTTTGGCGATGTATCTTGCTTCAATCACTCTTTCGCCAAATAAATAACTTTTGTCACTGCCGCACACTGTGTTTTAAGCAATTTAGCCATATATGAATGCTTTCTCATTAACTCATTAGTCTCTGATTGTATTCTAATTTATAATATATATTTATGATTTTTTTTTCTTGGAAGAAAAATGGGCGACAGGTACGACACGATTGTGCCATAAGTGCCGCAAGCATAATATAATATTGATAAGACAGACAATGTAAATGAAGTGAAGGTAACGTCTCTAATGAAAAACACCACGAAGACAATATCAACAGTAGTTAGTTTATGTCCCAGGAAGAAGTTGGTGAATTCCATGATTTGGGCCAATGATAGGGTAGTCGACTCTTGTGATAATATTTTACTCTCGAAGGGAACAGAAAATTGCCCGACTTCTGCGGTTGTTAATAACTATAAATATACTTTGAAATTGATTGGGAGTTGGGCAGTGAAAGAAGAATATATCATAGTTCAAATCTGAAAATGAAAAATCCAAACAAAACAATATATACATCAATCAAATAACGAATAATAAATGTTTGATTAAGTTATATATATCTTGTTTTGTCTGAAGGTAGACCATGATATATTACGAACTTATTCTAATTAGACGCTGTAATCTGTTTCAAGCAGTCTTGTTGAAGCTACATACATAAGCAATTCACAATTTCCCAATATTCTCAGTTGCAATTTTTATTTGAGGATTGTTCGTTAAAGATAAGCTTTTACTTTCTACTACATAAGATTCACCGAATGTTAACCATTCAGTAGGGCCTATGAAATGTATTTACGTATTTACGTCCAAATTAGGAATTTCTGAAAGGAGTTTGAAACGTTGAAAATTACATCGTCATTCCCAAAATTCATTCTTTATCGTGGCTTTACATTGTCGTTTCTAGTTTCGATTGAGACAAATTTTTAGTAAGATATTTTTTGGACCAATACGTCAGTTTTTATTACCATCCAAGTATGGTGTGTGGGGACTGGCCGATTTTAATTTGAAGATTCAAATAACAAATTTGCCGGAACAGATTGACATTTTTTGAACAATTTATTGAAGCGAAGTAGCCTATATACAGTTGTCAGCCGAACATACATTCCACCTGACGAAATATTGCAAATGTGACTCATGCGAAAAGTAATGAATTTTCATGTTTGCTCGAAGCAAGCCTTATAGTACTCGCATATAAGTAAAAATAGTTGCTGGCAAATGCTGACCCACCAACAGCTGTGAAGCTTCGTTCAGGCGACAGAGTTGTCAGTTCAAGCGGTAATGCTCCGGCCCTGCTTCTAGACACTTTTGAATCATATTTTGAAGTTTCTTCGCCTTCTAGACATCACTGTATGCATATCGCGAATTCAGGTCTGTGATGTGTTGAAATAATTTTGATATGCCCAAATGACATGACCGCACATATCCAGATCATGGAATTCGCTATACCCTAACCCTATATAGTCCAGCGTTTCCTAAACTTTTTTGGCCACGGAACACTTACACTTTTTATCTCGCCTTGCGGAACACCAAAAAATGAAAGAGTAAAAATGATAAAGAAAACTGGTGTAATGTAAACTGGTTCCCAATGGGTTCTCGTTGCTGAATGCGCCGCGAAAACTAACAGAATTGTGTTGATTAAACATACCTAAAATATGATTGAATATTTTACATAATGCATTTATTATAAATGTTTTTTTATTTTTTATTTAAATGCTGTGTATAAGAATCAATGCGTTTAGTTTACCATCCTATGTCGTTTACTTCCAATACGTAGTGTTTGCCTCTAAAGTTACGTCTAATGGAGATAGAAGTACCCGCCGCAATTTTGCGAGCTGCAGACCTGCCGTTTATTTACCTACTGAATAGAGTTTAGCGAAAATGAGTAATTTTTCAGCATTTCAATGTAAAACCATCAGGCGGAGATGGAGGAAGAAGAGTTGATCTTTTGCCTTAATTCTTTAGAGTTTAGACCTACTTGTTTGCCTATAGCAAAATCAATAGCATTGAAGTAAACTTGATAATGAACTTAACAGTCAACAAGCTAGGCCGATGGTTAACGAAAATACCACTACCCCACCCTAGTTAGTCCATTTTAGGCCGAATGTGACAAGATATCAAACGGTCAATTGGGCGACAACTTCACGTTCCATAGATCGCCATGGCGACCATTTTAGACGTATTTTTGATTCCTTTTCCACGGAACACTTCGAAGATGCTCGCGGAACACAGTTTAGGAAACGCTGCATAGACAAACCAAAAACAGCCTTACATACGATAGATCAGGGTCGTCCAACCTTTTTGGCCGAAGGGCCACATGTAGACTACTAATAACGGCGCAGCCCACTTAACATGGCAGTTATGTTCTAGTTTTGCTACACTAACTACAGGTTAATGAAAAAATAAACAATACCATCAAACCAAATTTTCACAATTGTTAGAACAATAAAACTGTTGTTTCCCAACCATTGATGGGCCGCCATCAGGAGTTATTCCCGAAAGTTTCGCCAAAGACAAGCCGAGACGCTTGATTACTTTTATCACAGCTCCCAACAAATCAATGCCTCTAATGCTAGTCCTACTCCTAATAGGGATAATGGCTGCGAGCTCTTCGGTAATTTCAAATCATCATCAACTCCACGCGAGAAGATCGCCAAGACATTTATACAGTGCGTGCGGGCCACTCGCAATGCTTCCGCGGGTCACATATGGCCCGCGGGTTGGACGACCCTGCGATAGATAGAACCACAGTCGAAACTAAACGCAATAGATGTTATGAAGTTGTTGAAAGCATGTTGCCCCATTTCCATCGAACAACTGAAAAGGGGAATATATGGGTCAACCAACTTCAAGTCTGTGATAAAGTTGTGTACTTGCAAAACAGTGTTCAATGATGGAGGGCACTTCCGAACAATCAGCTACATCTAACGAATCGACCCTAGAAGGCCTTATAATTGTTTAATTAGTTATTTGAACCTTGTCGGTGCCGCTGATTGATCTCCAGCTTTGGTTCCTCACGGCTCCCCTTCATCAATAAAATATGTGGTCAATTTTCTTCTTTCAAATTTTACATGCTAGTTTCTGAATGGAAAAAGTGAATTTGATCATGGCCAGAATCCATTTTGAAGTTGAAGTGATTGGCGATCAAGCAAGCAAGTTGTCTCACTAATCGCTAAGTTTGTTTTTGAAGGAAATTTGAAGCAAAATTGGCCCATAACAGCATTGAGCTGAAGGGTTCAGATTAGATTTGAATACATTTAGTGGTCATTACTTTGTTTCACCCTTGAATGGCACATGGAGGCACTATTTTCGAAATCTTTAAAATCATTAAATTGCCCCAAAATATTCAAGCAGTCGCCAGAACAAAAGGAATTTAATTTTTTATTTATACCTAAATAACTTAACAATCCGTAACTAAAAGACAAATGACAATTAATCTACAAGCAAATCTAAGAGCAATTAATTTACAAAAACTAGTTAATGTTTACAATCATGCTATCTGAGAGAAAGGGTGTATGGCAGACTGCTTAATATGAATTGTTACGTCACTGTTGAATTTTCTTGCTGATTATGCATTGTTACGGAAATAAACAAGGAAGTCTGTGCCCTGGAAATAAATATTGCAAATACAGTCGGTCCACTATTAATATAACGCAGATAAATCTTTATGCTCAAATTGGACAATAGGTGAACAGTTACGGTACCATAGGTATTTCTCGAGGCAGTAAGGTCAGAGGTCGGGGAACTATCGTAGTTTTTTTTATCTGGTGACCTTACGCAGAACAGATCGAACCAGGAAATGAAAAATGGCGACCGAGGAAAGAGACGATCTAGCAGAAATCGAACAGCCCAAAAGCATCGATTTGTTACTGCGAGCAGGTATTTATAGTATAATTTAGGATTCAAACAAAGTTCCTTACTAATAGACGATGCTGTGAATACAGAATTGAAAGGAAATACAAACCCGGAAGCTGTGATTTTTACCGGTTCACGTCAGTTTTTTACCCGGAAAAGTTATGAACTTCCTGGTTTGAGATTGACGAATTACGCATACCGTAGTTGTAATTGGGTTCGTCTTGATCATTCATATGCACGATTTCATGTCCAAATTACAGAATTATTCTATATTCTGAAAGCACGGTACCGGTGCTACATATTTTGCACAAAATTTGGAACAACAGAACTACCCATATTCTGATATTGCTGTACTGATGTACCGGTACCGGTACGGTACCTTACTGCTGTACTGTACTTCCATATATAATCACAGTACGGTATTCCATAAAATGTGAAGTACTTGAAAGTTGTGAATACGGCAGAAGAGTGCTGAAATTAGTTTTTGTTGGTATTATGATCAAAATGTTGAATTCTTCCCTGTCATGAATTAAAATAGCTTCTGGGCTTTGCAACTGAATTAATGCTCTTTACATCCAAACCTAACAATGCAGTCTAAATCTTCAATAAATATTTTGTTAACCATTCAGTTAATTTTACATTTTCTATTTAGTTCAAGTGAGCGCTGTCGATACAGGAAAAAGCAAGAACAGCAGGGAAAATCCAGTTTTAGCTAATGGAAGTAGGCCTACTTCTGCTGGTTATGGATTGATCACTACAGAAGAGTCTCATAATATAGAATTCCAAAACCTCACGGTATGAGTTTTTGATGAATGAATTGCTTATTTATAGAGCTTGATAATTAATCTTCAGAATGTCAAGACATTTCCAAATGATTGTAAAAGCTATGACATACTTTTCTATGTAGTGATAAAACATTGGTTGAATGTAGTCGACTCATTTTGCTGTCTTGGGATTATTACATGCATATTCAATAATGAACCATTTCATTTTTTTTCACGTAGACATATAAACACATACAAATTTCACATTTCAGGTGAATGTAGAAGACTTCGCAGATGGCAATGCAACAGATGCCTTGTCATGCATTGGTCTTAGCGAAGATGTTGTCACAGATATCACCGAGTGTTCGGAATCAGAACTTGTACATCATGCTACCAATGTATTATGAAATTTGTATTTCAATAATAGGCTATCTCATTTATTTATGTCCAATGCATTTGGTTGTAAAATGCGACAGAACACCAAAAATGCCTACCATAATTTTGAGAATTTGAAATCTTTAATGTGGCCTTTTGTAAGCTAAGTCACTTCATATAGTGGTAGGTGCTTGTATTATAATAATTTTTAAACTAAATTCCATTTCATTTTTAAAATTATTATTCATAAGTTATTTCACTTTTATTCAGGCATTTGAAACTTCTGGAAATGTTGAAGTAGTTGTTGATGAGAATCCTGCTGGCCAATATTCGGGCCGTTCTGCATCAGCTATTTTGGATGTTGATCCATTATCATGGTCCGAAGACGACGTTTATATCTGGATGCTTCTTGTTGCACAACTCTTTCATTTGGATAAAGCAAAGGTTGGATGAGTTCTTTGATGGTGTTATCAGATGAAGCTTGAGTAAATGATAAATGAATTAATTAATAAAGTACATTGATTTACAATGTTCCTCATCCTGATATATTCCATCACATGAGGAGGTATATATTAAAAATTTAATCGTGAACACAAAATGAATTATTAGAATACTACGCTCACTTCATTGGCTAAAGGTTTTTTCTTTATAATTTTAGGTAAAGAATCTTCACATAAATGGCAGAGAACTTGCAATGATAAGCAAACAGGAATTTATTGAACGTTTGCCTCATGGTGATGTATTGTGGGCTCACCTTGAATATTTGAGATTGCAACATGGTATGTCACTGCTCTAAACTCAATCTGTTACTTTTTGCATCTTTAATTCATAAAGACTAAGAGGATTTGGACACAAGTAGCCACTGATATATAATTAGCTATTGCAAATTTTAATAGGACGGGGATCTTTACAGCTAGGAATAGCCTACTCAGTGAAGTGGTGGTCATAAGGGTTGCAAGCCAACGCATGGTACTCATAGACCAGGCCATTACATCAAACGATAGTCGGTGGTATTTTGAATTTTTCACTTTACTTGTGCAAAATCATGCTATCTAGAGTAGGCCATATTGCTTTTTAGCTGTAGGTTCTGCCCAGATGTGGTGTCATTAATAAAATTTTGAGTTGATGAAAAAAACTATTACAGAGTCAAGTTAAGAATACTTTTTTGTTGTCAAAGAATTGTCTATTTCCAACAAGTATGGTTGTAGAATAGACTACAACACTCACTTTAAGATATTTAATGATAAAATTTTTCACCCACAAATAGATGATTGCTGGACTCCTCGCCGCCTTAGGGAGGTTCACGTATCCGCTGGCCGGGTATGGCTCCATGCCCCATCAAGTCCATGCATCTGAAACAAATTACTGGCTAATTAATCTCATATCTGACATGGACCGATAACCGGACCAGAGACCGTGGTTCACCATATGATAAAGCAGTCCTATTGGTTTTCCTCTCCCCCGGGATAAATATGTAAATCCTATCCTATTTTAGCGCCAGAAAGCACATCAGACAATGGCAGAGCGAGAAATCGACAGAACATGAAGAGGTCTAATAAAAATAGTAAATCAAACACAGGTGAATCTTTAATTTATCTTTAAACAGATTTGTTATTTCAACCTATAATTAAGGATCTTGATATTTTTGGAAAGCATGATTGCCAGAAGTTGTTATTTACTGCTTAGTGTTAGTTAGTTTACTGTTAGTTACTGATTTTCAACATGTTACCTTTGTGAAAGAATTGTGACATATACTTTATTTAAGGCACAAAAATGCATGTTTCACTAATAAAACAGTATGGTATTAACGAAACAGTATACAGGATTTTCAAATTGAGCTCATCTTCTTTAATATCTCTAATTATCAGCTCCAAAAACTAAATATTCAAAACAAGAACAGAAGAGACTTGCATTGGAAACATTGAATGCCATCACCCAAGATAAAATAAGCAAATTTTCCACTGAAGATTCAAAACTGAGTTTTGCTGACGATGGCATAACAGATGCAAAAAAGAGAAAAACGTCTGGAAATAAGATAAAAACAACAATGAGACATAAAAGTATGTTCACCCTCTTATTTTACAGCTTTTTGTTGCAACAAGTGTTGCAACTAAGAATTCAGTTGTGTCATTCTTCTGATTTCTCCAAATCTTTTAAAATAGCTCATTTAATTAGACTAGGCCACTCACTCAGGTCTCAGATAGGTCAATATTTTCTCAATTAAATACAGCAATCCCTTCCCCCCCCCTCCCTGGCTATTCTCCTTCCTTTATTCATTTTGACTGTTTTTATTCAAATCAACAGCACATGATTCTTAATTCAATTCAACTTCCTGCTGTAAGGTAACATGCCTAAAAATGTAGTAGTATTTTACATGTTTGCAAATTAGAGAGTGGAGTAGAACCATGGATAACACATTTAAAGGACTGTTGCAGAGGGATATTTAGAGAGCAGAGGAATTATTACTGATTGAATATTTATGATAAAGCAAAATGGGAATATCCCCCTCCATTACGCATTAACAAGTTTCATTGAGCAAAAGCAAATTTGCCAAGAGCCAAATTAACGACTATTTGAAGATTTTTGAATATTATTCTGTAAGTTAAGAGTTGTTTTGTAAATTTTTATTGCCAGTTTAAGATTGTCATCAAATTATTATTTTTAGGCTCAAGCTATTTTCTATGGCAATTTATGTTGGCTCTTCTTCAAGACCCGATCACTTGTCCTAGATTCATCAGGTAAGAAAATTTGATTATATTCATGATTTTCCGTGTAATATGGGGTTGGAACATCAAAGCAGAGTGGAAACTCTACCTATGAGAGGCTATACAAACATTCTTTCCGCAAAATATTGCGCGAACAAAATAAAAATTAAAACCCAAGGTAGCTGCCCTGCGAGACACCCAGCAACTATCTGCCATCCCATTGGCTCGTTTGTTTCCTGGGAAACAATTTATACAAATATTATGCTGGAGTTTTCTGCGGACTTAGAACAGATTCGGGCATTTACAGATAAAATGTGTCCCGATGTACAGGATTATCAACTTACGAAGGGGCTTCCGGAACGAATTAATTTCGTAAATAGAGTTTCTACTGTATTTGCTAAATTAGAGTTTGCATTGTTTATTCAGCACTACTGTACCATTCTTTTAAATCTTGATTTGTTATTTTCAAGATGGATGGATGTATCGAAGGGAGTTTTCAAACTTGTTGATACAAAATCTGTTTCGTATTTGTGGGGAAAACTTAAAAATAAACCAAGCATGAATTACGAGTCACTGGGAAGGGCATTGAGGTAAATAAACATAATTATTATGGTATTTTGTTCATATTTTTATGTTAAATATTAAAAAATAATTTTGTCTTAAAATTCTTGACAAAGTAGTCACTCGTGTTCAGAGCCTTGATTGGAACTATCCATGTAAATAGATCTGATTCTAATGATAATTTGAATTCCTGTTTTAAGGTACTATTATCAGAAAGGTATTATGAGAAAGGTTGATGGAATTCGGCTTGTTTATCAGTTTCGTTTTCTACCTAAAGTTTTGCAACTTGTTCCTGATGACATCGAACAACAATCACCAGAAACTGTTGATTTATCAAGTGAGGCCAATATACTATTTCGGCAACACACAACCGCATCAAAGTTTACACTATATCGTACACTTAATATTAATAGAGGGGGTATTAGTTGCAACTTATGCTTTTAACAGTAATCTAATGTTGTATTCAACTATAGAATGCTGATTTTCATTCAGTTCTAGGCATCATAGGTATGTCTACAAATTTCTTTTTACAGGATGACCCAAATAAACAAGAGCCCATCATTTCGAGCATATTCTAGGAAAGGGGTGGGCAAATTATGGACCATGGGCCGGGTTTGGCAAATAAGAGTTGAATAAATTTTCACAAAAGTAAATAAGAAATCTTTTTTGGGGTTGCCTAAACCTTGCTGTATTCAGTTGGAGTTCCTAATTTATGTTTCTAATCACTTTTCTTTTCTTTTTATGTTGGTGTTAGTTTTAGTGAATATCAATAAAAAATTGATGCAATGATTTTTTAACAGGGGTGACAGATTGGCCAGAAGCAGAAAAAGAATATGTCAAACATTTACTTGTCGATTACATCGTCCTACCCTTATCTGATGGAGCACCAGAATTATTGTCATATATTAGAATGCCCAGAATTCGACCACATGTTCAAAATGTATGTTGATTTAGGAATATTTGTAAATATTTTATGAAAATACCCCAAATACATGAAGTTTTGTTCATGAGTTTTCTATGAAGAAGAAATTTTTTTTACCTGGAACTAGCTTACAAATTAAACAATTATTTTTTGAGGATAGTTGTGAAAAGTATAAATTTATTTGTACAATATCTTCTTTTTTTTAGCTTTCATCAAAACGTTCTTTCTGTACTGGAAATAATGCTGCAAATCTGCAACCCATCGCAAGTTCTGGAATGTTTTTGCAACCGAAAAACCAGTGGTATAAATTGGAAATTGATCCTACAAGTTCAATTAGTCAGGGTAATTATATTTACTTTACTAAACAGTTGTTGAATCTGAATCAAGACTTATTTTATTCTAAACACAAAATGCAATAGAGAGTATGACTTTTTGTGTTTTGCCAACCAGAAGCTGATCATTCTGACAACAAAAACATAAAACACATATTTTTTGATAATGACAACATTAATGGTTCCCAAAGGTGATTGATCAGGGACCAAAGTTAGAAACGAAAGGACATTTGCGGGCCAGCAGTGGGGTCACCTACAAGGCCTCACCTCTCATGTAATCCCCATACCGGTGCATATAATTAAGATATCAATATAATTGAATTGTTACGATTATATACACATGCTTAAACTTTGTCAATGATGTGACAATCGGCAGTATCGAGAAATAGAAAGTGTTGAACTATTTCTTCTACTCAAGTTCAGCGAGCCGTATTAAATCGATTGAGTGGGCCATAATTGGCCCACGACCGCAGTTTAGGAACCACTGGACTAGAAAGAGTTATACTATACAACCATATATAGTCATGAGATCAACTCCATCTACAAGTGTTGCTTTCACGAGTTTGTAAAGTTGGATTCATAAATGTGATTCCATTTTTATTTCAATATGTTTATCATAAGGCAGTGTGACAAGGTTTATTATAAATAGGGAATTATGAAAATTCCATTAATCTGTGAAATTTCTTTTATCTTTTCGATAAATATAATTCTTTATTTAGATCAAGGGCGACAGGTTTTTTTGTGTCAGCCGGGTGGAGCTGGCATAAATGCATCTGCTGGAGCAAAGAAGGATAGTTTAGACCAAAGTACCATACCACCTCAGGTTCACATTCAAACTTCAACCTCCAGTCACCTTTGTCATATATCACTTGATAGTCAAGATAATAAAGTGACAGAATCATCAGTCAAGACTGCAGATGGGAAAAGGAAAGTTCATTCTGGATCAATCTGGGTTTGTCTTTTACTTTATCTTTTTATCTGGTAAATTTACTAACTAATCTGATCCTTAAGAAGTAGATTCAATGGGTGGAAAACTAGAGAGTAAGAGTTTCAGTATGGGAAATTGTGTTCTGGTATAAAATATCTTATGTTAAATTTATATTTCAAAAGGGTTCACAGAAAATTCTAATTAATTTGATGTTTTTGTGTAATTTTGAACTGAATTGAATTATGAAAAACTCAAACTCTGTGCGGTTAATTCCATGAACAAGATGTTGTCATTATAGGAATGGGTTGAGAATTTATCAATCTACCCACAGTTAAAATTTTATGGCCGTGAGTTTCTGAATTGACTTCCAAGTTTTTGTGTCTATATTAGGACACGTCCCTTTCAATGGCTATGTTGTAAAATCTCCGAAAAACTCTTGCTCAACTTGCTTAGCTGTACATGCTCTTCATATATTTATATCATAAAATATAATATTCTCTTCTTGTATCATCTTCAATTTTGAAAAATTGCATTGTACCAAAAATTTGTTACCTTGTGCCTTGTTTTCAATGTTCTAATTTTATACCTGTAGAGGTGTACGTAAACGGTGTTGGTTATTCTCTGATGAAATCAGTTTTTTTTTCATTCTATGCAATTTGCCTAGTTATTATTGTATTGATGATCAGGTGCCTGGAACTTGCATTATGAGAGAAATTGAATGGACAGACAAGACAAAGGAGCAGAATGCTGCATCTTTCTTGTTATTACAAACATCGTTAAAAGCAAAGAAGGATGTCAAATCTGACAATAAACCTCTGCAGGTATGAAAATATTAAGTTTTCTCTTGGTAATCGATCCGATGTGTCATTGATAAATAGCCTACTAATTTATTTGCTCGCAATCCTCCAGAAGAAAGTTGTTTTTCGAAATAGTATTTACCATTCGATTTTATCATTTACATTCAAAATGTTGCCTTTGGTGCTTGCCTATGTCACTTGTCACCTGTGTTTAATTTTTAAGTGCATTAAAAATGTGAAAATGCTTAATTTTGTGGATACAGTTTATTAAATTGTGAACTATGAATAATCTCGTTTCCCATTCTTTATTTCTAACTTTTCTATATTACTCAACCAGGTTGAAGTTCTTACTACATCAGCAGAAACTGATAGCAGCTCTGAAGAGACTAGTTCAAAGGTATGCACCATTTTTGAAATTTAAAGTTCATATGATTGCCTAGCTCCTGGTACAAACCCTATGCTAAAGATAAAGTGTCGCAATATATTTACAAAATATTTGAAATATGATTTACATGGAATCTGCTCTCGAGCTATATACTTGACTGTTAGGGCACTGTCTAGCGTCGGGTTGGTTTCATTCATATTTTTTACATATATACAATAGTTAAATGGCCAATATCAATTTTTGCAGGGGAAAATGAATTCAGCACCAACAACGAGTGCAACCAATTTACCCAAGTTTGTAGGGGTTGTCAAACCAATTCCGGTTGTAGGAAAAGCAATTCCGATTGGCACAAAACCTTTAATCATAAATTCGATAGCTGGTACAAATGGTATATTACCAGAGAAGAAGCAAAATGTTCTATCAAAGGCAAATACAAGTTCATCAATTAATAGTGGTAAGGCTGCTAAGACTATGCATGGATCTCAGTCTTGCAATGCAAGGCGAAGGCAACTATCTTCAGTTTTGCGGTTACCTGCAGCAGAGAAAAAAACAATTCACAAAACCGAGGACCGGGCGAAAGCTGTCACAAAGAATGGAACTCTTGCCAACGCCATCCGTACTATTAAAAGTTCAGAATCAAACAATTTGGCAGGAGCGAGTAACAAAACATCTAATGCAGCATCGCCTAGACCGCCTTTACCCCTTTCCTTGGTGAATAAACTTAAATCTGCTGATTCCGTTGTGACGTTGCCACTGTCAACAACTGAAAGTGGAAAACATATTTTGACTCTTCCTGTGTCAGCTGCAGATGGTGAAGAATTGGGTGACAAGTCTGGTACTAAAAGCATTTCTTATCAGGTTACTATGTCTGATGATCAGATTATATTGACGTTAGATAACAGTGCTGAAAGCAGTGGGGAGTGGTGATAACTATTTGGGTTATTTATATGGATGTTCGTACTCTAGTTTTTTTTTGTTTGATATTATTCTTTCATGTTATAAACACTGTTGGAGTTTATAACTCAATTGAGTCTTGTCTGTGATGGTATGGGTTTGGGGCTATAGATCGGTGCATGGTTTATTTTGAGGGTAATTTATGTTAGCCCCTTGGCTTGTGGTGTGAGCTGAAGTCTACAGCGGATGGTCGGGTTTTCTCGCAGCGATTGAATGCTATTAAACTAGCTTGTTAAAAACACTCGCTTCATTATGAAAGTTGGCGGTAGTGTTGGGCAGTAGCGCTGAACGTTTCTCCTACTCAACTTGTGTTGGTAGCCTGGAGTTTGCCTGGCCTTTAGTATTAATGCCGCGCGTCATCGACTATTAAAAAAATCATATAATGTTCACAGACAATATGAATATATATGCTCTTACAAAATTGCCTTTTGGAAAACAGCGTATCCGCGCGTGTGATTTTACGGCAGCTACAGACTACTTGCGGCGTTCAATATTTTGAACCTTTACATTTGAATGCATACTTTTGGAATGTAGCCTACCTTGTATTCGTTTGGGCGCTATATCTTGCTCACAAGCAAACGTGCAATAATCTGAGGCACTACACAGTTTTTTAGATTTTCCGATTTCGTATTATATATATTCTACTTTTAATTTGTTTATCTACCGTAGTCGTTGAGTATAAATCCATAACATGCCTTCAGGGCTGCCTGCAGGCAAGCCAGTAAATCAACATCTTCATTTACAAATCGACGTCTAAACGATTTGAAACAAATATGTAGTATACTTTTGTCCAGATTTCACATTTTTGACATTGCGACATTGATTGAAAAAATAGCGAATAAATTGGATTGATGAATTCCTATGAAAAGATGGCATTTCCCTCAATATTGTACAAAATACCAAATTGGCGACAACAGACTACTAACTTGACATCATTGTAAAGCGTAAAAAAGACTGGACTGTAACTGAGCGAAAGTCCGTGGCTTTCCACTAGTTCGGACCACCTCACCGGTCATCCCAATGAAATAAATTAAAATCCTATCCTACCCGACCTGCAGATATGTGCTAACTGAAAGAGGAATTGCTACAACGTGAGATCTTAATAATTGACGAGGTATGTTTACTGGGAGTTCATGACAACTGAATTGAAACACACAATCATAAAGAGGTTTGGGGCCATAAACAAAAGAACATGTTTAGAAAGGTTTCTGTAGTTTACTATTCTTCGATGTTTGGTTTTTAAAAACTAAAAATGATGACTAAATATGTATTTATATACGTACATACAAGATTTACTTCGTAAACTTTATTGACTCAGTTAATTTCATAATTTAAAATGTACGATTGTGAAACAACTCAAAACATAGTGATCGTAAAAATACAAAGGGTCGAAACGAAAATAAATTTACCAACTGATATCAAAATAGGGATGTATTATTGTTCACATATATACTCCACAATATATATATATATATTTAGTTTGCGTTGAAAACGAACCATTACAATCTATAATTGATTTCAGGCAGTATATATATTTATGTAAGGGAGTAAGACAAACTATGTAAGGAAATAGATACGCGTTTCTATCGTTTCCCAGTATATATTACAAATACAGACAATATTAAAACTTGCTACGGGCCTCGGGACGCTGAAACTGATAAAATATTATATCCATTACTTTTCGTTTTACTAATATTACACATTTATCAATAAACACCATTCGTAGGACTCTATTTCCTGGATTTACAAAATGAAATGAAAAATATTGTTTAGAAGGCACGTTATCCAATAAATCTATTGGAAAAATTCATCAGTCTAGCTCTAGCAATACGAGATAAATTTTGCGGAAACCTTGACCTAAACGCAAACATTATGCAAGTTACCACAATTTTAAACAATGTGAAGGATAAATTATTAATATTCAACAATGAAGCCATCAATTATACAACCAAGAAATAAAAACTCGACACGCAAAATAGTTCAGCTTATCACACAGTCAGCCATGCTGTCTTTGGCACTTTTCTTTTTCGATGAGTGAGCGGCTTGGTCTTTGGGAAGATATCGAGTTCCAACACGACGTTTCTCCATTTCAGCGAGGCGGTGAGCAATAATTAGATGTTGCTCTTTGTAATCTGACATGCTGCAATAAAAACGAAATGTCAGTTATTACCAAATTTCCGGTTCCACGCAGAGTAGAAAAACTGATATTCTTTACGTGTTTCTCGAAACAAGACCATACATATTTCGCGAACTCGACGGTAGTAGAGTTAGACCATGTTACGTCAAAGAGAAATTACTGGAATTTGCAGTCCGAAGTTAATGTCAACTTATTTCAAATAAGTTCTTAGAAATCCATAATAGTAAAAGGAGCATAATCACTAAGCTGTTCGGAAGTATACCTAAAATCACGACAAAGAAATTTATCTGTTAGGGCCTACTCTACAAAGTTGCTGATATATTCATTTATATCTTGTCAGACAAATGTTTGTTGAATCTATTCGTGTTTCACTTACTATTTGAATTACTGGTTTTACAGAAACGCTTGTCAATTTAAGAATCACTAAAATATAAATTACGGGATAAGAAGATATGAGTATGAACAACTGAACATTCGGGGTTGATAAAAATATATAGTGTATAACTTATATAATATAACTTACGTTGTTGGTACATTTTTCTGCTTTCTTTTCTGCTGTCGAACATATCTGTAATCTTCGATGGGCATAGTTTCTTTCCATGCTACCAGTGTTCTCGATCGTGGATTTGTGTGGTGGGGTGAAGCACCCATACGCATCTTGAACATTCTAAAAACAAGTCAAATATTTTTTGCTTGCAGATTTAAGATATGAAATGTACGTTGAATCAAAATGTAACATTTGTTGGAATCCAGCCGGTTCGCATCGGTTCTATAGAACCGTCTCACGGAATATTATGAAATCAGCGAACCGGTTAGCATTACTGTCAATAATCTTTTGTAACAGAACCAGGTGAAAAATATGACTTTGTGATGAACCCGGCTGACAAAAAAATTGAATCCCACCACTGAAAATGTTGTACCGCGATACATATTTTGTATGACGATTGGTGAGTATATTGATGATTAATATTCTACAAAATAATATTTGTTTTTCAAATTTTCGATATTGAATTGATTCGATATTGTTCAATTATACGGTTATTTTGGTACGACTTACTCTTCTGTTGCTGGATCTTCATCTTGATCATCAGGATGCAGGGAGAGAGGTGGGGATGGAGATTTCTCTCGGATTGACATTGTTGTTTTAATTGTATTTAGCTTTATTCTATAATGAAATAAAAAAGGATATTACAGTAATCCACATTGATAAGAGCTAGCTTATGACATGATCTGGGAATACTCAAGAAATGAACAATGTGGACAAATCTCGGAGATTGAGCTCAGGCTGATTCATTAATTTAGTAGACTGATCACGCAAATATCATTCGAATCTGCGTACTAAAATGTCGGAAATAAAAAGATATTGAAATATTAAGAGCAGACTATGTTTTAATTTGCATAATTCCACGTACATATAGGGCCAAAAATAATGTCAAAATGGCTTATAAAGGTTCGATATACTCTTTCCCTTATATACAATTAGTTGATATTTACGGCGAAAATTAAAAAGATGGGTTTGTGGACGCCAAACACCGCTTCAAGACTTAATGTATACAGTATTTCCGACGTATATATACTTAGTATTTTGCGTAATACAAGTTTTCAATATTTTTCATATTGTAAAATTGTGGTATATACCGATATCAAATTCTTGACATCTTTTATTTGAAATAGGCTACGTGCTGTCTTTTTCTCACTGAAAACTGATCTTCTATCATTGGCATTTTCGTTTCTAAATTAAATATACAGGTATTCTCGCCTGAATGAAAACTAAATCATTCGTCTTGTGTCTCTAAGTTCAAACACCAAAAAGAGCTTCTTCTTTACAACAATCAACTCATAATGTAATAAGTATTCAGTGACGGCGTCATCGCAACACCGATAAATTTTATCACCAACCCCTGAGGCATTTTAACGCAAAGTTACGACTGGTCTTGCTAGTTTATCACGCGAGAAGTCGCGTGTCTTGTTATGCTGTTATTTCATTGGTTACAACATGATAAAGTTCCTAAATCACAATCACTGAACTGCTTTATTCTCGGTGGTTCCTGGTTAATTTGGATTATGGAGCATAATGACAATGTTTGGTTATTCCAATGCGAGAGTTTGGTGTGTGACAAAATTTTATCTCTATTATAATTTTTAAAATCATATATATATATATATATAATAATTTTATTTGGCCTAATTATGTAATATCCGCGATTCAATCATACCGCATTCTTTTGTGTAAATATATATATAAAAGGCCATAAAAATCTCATATCCGGTCGCGTTGAAACTAATTGAATATTCAGTATTGAATTAATTTATGAAAAGTAGTAACCACATCATACAGTTTGCAACTGAATATCGGGCCATTTTGTTCTACCAATAGTAATATATCTAGAGTAGACACATGAAAAAATATCTATTAAATACCATTTGTAAGTTGTAGGCTACTTGAAATTTTCCCTATGAGAAACCAAAGAACGTTCACACAGTGATACCTGAAAACAACATAGTCACTGTAATACCATGATGCAATTTACAGCGGAGATAAAGATTGTCGCATACAAAACTCAAATCATGCGATCATTTTTTTTAAAGCCAGATAAAGTCAAGTATTTTGATTCTTCTTTGATCAAGATTCTTTAAAAACATTTGTGTAAATGCCAAGACATAGGTAATATAATATACTTGACAAGAAACCAACAACATAATGTTTCTTTTTTTAGAGATGAAGGGTAAAAGTCCAGCCGGTTTTTGGAGTTTTGTGGAGCTACCGAAGTCGGCATCAGATATTCAAACACTCTTAGCTCGAACAAGTCTGTAGATGAGCGGTCGGGCCATACTCGATGGCCTTCAGAAAGCCGAAACAAGCCTTGGATTCAAACAGCAATTTAACAGTCAAACACCATCTTGCTAGCGGTGATGTTTGGCCAAATCTTCTTGACGACGAAGTTATGAAACGGTTGTTATCGGTCGTGTTGATATTTCTTTGATCACTCTTGTCAAGCTTGATTACGGCCAATATGCCGAAGAAGCAATACCTTGAACCTAAATGATCATATTAGACATCATCGACATAAAATATGTAAAAATTAATGACAGGCAAAGTACAATAAGCACACTAAAATTGTACCCAATTTCAAACAGTCAGTTATTTTATATTTGCCATTACAAAAAAACAAGTACACAATTGGCACAAAAACGTACCACTTCTTTTGACACCACCTCTCGATCTAAAACCTTACTTAGGGTTTTGTTTGCTCTCCCGATTCTATTATCAGTTTTATTCATTTTGTTTTTATCTGATATTTTATCGTCTATTATGCTGATTATGGAGTCGAAATAAGCTTGTATTTTATACCAGCAGTCCATGTCGGGCGTGGAATTAGTTAACCAGTTATTTGTTTCAGGTGCATGATCTTTATGGCGCGAGAAAGCCGTACCAAACCGACGGTTACATGAAACACCCTACGGCGGTGAAGGGTACAGCAATCCTCTCGTACATAATTACCCCCCCCCCCCACGGCATTCGACCCCACGCAGGGTAATCAGGGGAGCGATTACTGAGCGTATTCCTAATTCTTTGCACGATGCACCACCACACATGAGCAAATCGAGAGAGAGAGATTTATTTTCAATCGACCAGAAAAAAATAGCAACAATAAAAAGATATATATATTGAACAATAACATATGCAAAGTTTTTTGATATAGACTAGGATGAGCGATGCGACCATACGGTCATTAGAGTCAGCAATCCCCATATTCACTATTTTAAATATGTATATAAGACTTATTAGGTTAGTGCATGGTGTAAAAGTAGGCTGACCATATTTCCAAATCCTAAAAGGAGGACACATCGTTTGGTAGAACCATATTCCAGTCCACATGTGCACGAGATATATAGCCTACATTATATATCTACTAAATTCTCTACGATTAAAAATAAAAGCGACAATAGACGATGTGACGACAATGCAATAATGCATTCTTGTCTTGTCAACGAGCAACTGTAGCCGCGAGTAATGCACTCCGCTTCGCTATCAGTTTTATCTTTTTTAAATTTAGAGCATGAATACTTGACGTAAAACATTTTGGTGTAAACTATTTATAATATGACGTAAAAGATAATTGCAGAAACTATTTTTAAGTGATAAAGTATGCATTTAACCGAGAACAGTGGTTCTTAACTTTTGCAGGTCTGCCAAACCCCGAGCGCTATTGTGCAAGCTCCGTTTTAACCCCATTCAACGATTGAAATCAGGAGCGCAATTAGAACTTCACAATAGAGAAGCTACCGTAATCTTGTGCATGGTTATAGAAATGAACATTGTGGTGTAACCTTAGATACCAATATGTAGCGTGGAAATAGTCATTGTTGTGTCACTTTGTTCCTACAATCAATCTGTTCATAAAACTGAGCTACAATTTATTAGTAGATTAAGATAAGGTGTTGCACACGCAATGACTTAAAATCAGTGATGGGATTCAGCCGCTTCGCACCGGTTCTTTAGAATTAGAACCGTTTAGTAGAATTTTATGAGATCAGCAAACCGGTTAGCAATTACTGGTTACTGTCAATGTTCTGTTTTTCTAACAGAACCGGCTGAAAAATATGACTTTTGTGAAGGAATCGGCTGACAAAAAATTTGAATCTCACCGCAGCTTAAAACCCCAAGGATTGTCACAACAACCCAAGGTATTTTCAACCTATTTTGTATTCTGGGTTTATTAAAGTATTTATCAACCTATATAGTATCCCAACGCAATGTATTGCTTGTCCTATGTGAATTCATAATTACAAGTTGCTACTTACGTTAAATTTTTTTTAACTTATCACAAAATGTAGATTATGACATAAGAGAATTTCAAATATTTAATACCTTGAAAAAGGAGGACATTTTGACCTTTTAGAGCATAGGTTCTCAAAGTGCTCCGTACGGAGCCCCAGGGCTCCGCGAGAGAAACCCAGGGGCTCCGCGAGGTATTCGATTACTCTTCAAAATACTGACTCAAAATTTTGTAACTGTTCAAAGAAGCAATAACAGCTTTGATAAAATCTGACAACAATATTGCCTCGAAATATGGCAAAGAGGCGGAATTAAAAAATGACATTATTTATAAGCAGGAGCGCAGCCAGGATTCTTAGGAGGGAGGTGGTTCAAAATTGGGATTGGAAATTTCCGCGCAACATTCTTCGCGATTAAAAAAACGGATAACGAGATTTCTGTTGCGTAAAATATTCAATCCATGGCCGATGCGAGCATTTAACGTGTCTCTTCGTTATAATGTAATTGTGCTCATCGTTACTCACGTTTGATTCGAGATTACTATTAGGATTACTAAAATGAAAGAATACTATTCTAAAATAACATAAAATATGTGATAAACTGCCAACTAGAAATAAATTGGAGTCGTATTTTTGCGATCTTGGGATTTGTCAAACTTGATTTGTTCTTTCGCACACTCACAATGTCTGGGCAAAATACGAACAATTGAATATTATTTTATTGCATTAGGCTCCGTCGGTAGTTTCAGAATGAAAAAAAGGTACATAGCGGATCGCGCGCACAATTGATTGCGTGTGGGTCCGTCGGTAGTTTCAGAATGGGAAAAGAGGTACATCGCGCGCACAATTGACTGTGTTTCGATTTCGCAGTCACTACGACGAAAACCTAACATAACACCAAATTTTGTGATTTAAAATGTCTATAAAAGCGTTTTCAATCTGAGGTGAGTCTGCTGAAACCAAACGAGTGGTCTTCCATTTTAAGTTTCTGTTTTAAATTTTAGAATGCCGTTTTTCAATCAAGGAATTTGAGTTGCGGATTTACCTCTTTATTAATTATTATTTTTAGCATTTCGTCGCCGATGACTATAATATGGTAACATGTTTTTCACATTGAACTCATAATTCCCCACGAGAACAAAAAAGCAATTCACGTCGTCATTGTGTAACATTACGTGTATATGCCGGGGGAAATTTTTGAATTAGGGAGAATAAACACCGGTGTATAGATGATTGTTTTTAACACGCCATGCTGACAAAAAATATCGGCGATTGTAACAAAATGAAATTGCGCACGTTATTAGCGGCCTTTTAAGTCTTCCAAAAATGTCAAAAGAGAAAAGATTCGACCCCTAATTTATTAATATGTTCGTCAAGTGTCAAATTTACAGCTTTAGTATAAAATTTAGATTTATTTATGGCTTGTGTTAACCCTATCAAAAAAGGTTCAGCATTTAAAATAAGTAAAGTACTTTTAACTTGCTCAGGAATATTAATCTAAAAAGGACAATTTTAACATTTATTTTGGGGCTCCGCGAATAATATTCAACCTTTCAAAGGCTCCGCAACACCAAAAGTTTGAGAACCCCTGTTTTAGAGCGTCCTCGGAGGACATAAAAATTTTAACAAAAAATGAGGACAAATCCTCCAAAAGGAGGACGTATGGGCACCCTAGTAAAAGGGAATAATTGTTGTAAAGTTGCCTGGTTTTCTACAAGATATATATATTCAGGTTTGGCTGTATAATTGTTTGAGCTTTGTACCCAAATCGGTACCGTGTTATATGATACAGATCTGGGGTTCAAATCCCCACAAGGTCCACAGAGTTTTTTTTTCTATTACAGAAGACTATCTACCAAATACAGAAATTCTGACATCTTAAATCGACATCTAATATTTGAGTTAATTGGTAACGAGGAAAACAGATAGGGCAAATTTAGAAAAATATATATAAAAAATTATCAGGAAGCAAACAACAAACACGGAAAAAGGTGTACAACAAGACAATTTGGTAAAATCATATACAAAATAGAAAATACAAAGCGGGAAATAAATAAACTATCTTCACAGAAGTGAATCAGATAGCATTGTATCTCCCCAACAATTCCAGTGACAACGTCTGAAACATTTGGTCAGGCCACATCCTATTAACTGTAAAAGTAAATACTAATATCGCACAGTGGACATAGACTTGCTACCGGGCTGGCAGGCCACGCAGGCGCAGGACCTTGGTCTTGTTCGTCAGAAATGTTTTGTTGCGATGTATTTATACTCATTACTAGGTGTCGCTAATGGGAAACCTCATAATTATTGTGCCTCTCCACATTCCTTTGATTTAATATGTTATTGTTCTAATAATAGCTTTTTACTTCCAGGTTATTTTTATATTGAATTGTTACTTTGCTATTTTACAGCTAAAATTCAGTATCAAGAATTCGCTAGATGGATGGATGGAGATACCGATATTTAAAAGAATTTATGGATACCTACTGGAAATGTTATTTAGTATCCAATGAGTATTTGCACAATCGAATTCAGGTGCAACTTTGCTTGAATGCGTTTATTATATTAACCATTCTTATACCCAACCTGTATTATTTAGGCTACGTAATTCTACCAGAGCTATTATATAATGGCTCTAATTATACTGCCAGCATAATTTTCTTTGCCCAAAAAGTTGATGCCTAATCGAGCGTGGCAAGGCGTTACGTTATATCAAGCGGTTCAGCGAACACAACAACATTGTACTTCCAGATTTTTGGTATATCAGTAAAGGGTCGGATAATACATTAAGATGGAAGAGTTTACCCGGAAGGTATTATTTTCCACTGTCAACTCTTCGATATATATTTGCTCTGTTTATTTGAACAGAGTCATGGTTGGTTAGGACGAGTAGGCTGATTCTAATATCGGTTTTTATTTAACATATTTCGTTTTATTTATGACCTTATTATTTAGTTATAATTATTATTTTATTCGTTTTTTATCAATTATGAAAGAAAATGAGCTCGTGATGAACTTCTACTTAAATGAAATAAAAAAAAATTCTGACATTGACCACCACTCTCAGAGTTCAGAAGTCTGTATGTGGTAGGTAGCATAAAGTGTTAATGTAGGTAGGGTACCCACTTCTGCACCTTCTCAGCTACTGCTGTACTGACAGACAGAGCAACTTTTCAATAGGCAGACAAGACTATTCATTTTTATACTGTTTCAGTGTTTTCACTTTTCAAAATTAGTGAGATTTACAGAAAACTTTGTTCAGCAACTCTAATTATGTTTTTTCTGATGAACTTGTGATTAATTCAGTAATTGAAGTTTAGCTTCGGCCATATCAATCTCTAAATCCTCAGATTTTTTAATGGTCAGTGAGACTGAGAGTACCGGTATATCTCTGGAAGGAAGTAGTAATGTCGTGCAACTAGACTTCTCAATTATCTGATTATTCTAGAAAATAAACTATTATTATGTTAGGATAGGATAGGATTTACATATTTATCCCGGGGGAGAGGAAAGCCGATAAGACGGCTTATCCATATGGCGAACCACGGCCTCTCGTCCGGTTACCATTCCAAGTCGGGTATGGGATTAGATTTACTGTATTGTTTGTATTCGGAAGCATGGACTTGGTGGTGGAGGAAGCCGTAACCGACCAGCGGTTACGTGAACCACCCAACGACGGCGAGGAATCCAGCAATCCTCTCGCACATAACCATCCCTGCATGGAATTCGAACCTGCGAACCCACGCAGAGTAGTTAGAGGTGCGGTGGCGAGCGTATTCCTAACGCTTAGCCCGTTGAGCCACACGGCCGCGCCAAACTGATTTAACTGATCATTGTTTTTTTTATCAAGCAGTGACAATTGTTAATACAACATTTCGAAGATAATGTTCAGTTTTTTCATCTATTCGATTTTTCTTCTGTATATCCAATTTCAATGTGTGAGATGTCAACAGTTTGGATTCATTTCCGTGCAACCATCAGCTTGCTCTACTGAACAATATTACAATTTTGGAATTTTACAATGTGGAAATTGCCAAGATCCAGTGGGGATGCTGCCAGATTCTTCAGGTGAATGCAAATAATCTTAAAAAGTATTTTCTTAGTTTTTTGCAAATCTCGATATCTCGGCGGTGTTGCGCTTTGTGCTAAGCATTACGAATATGCTTGCCACCGCACCTCTGTTTACCCTGTGTTGGTTCATAGGTACGAATTCTGTGGGGTAAAATTGCGATAGGACTGCTGGGCTCCACGCTGTAGTAGGGCTCTTCAAGTAACCGCTCGGTTACGTCTTTCTCTACCATCAGATTCATGCATCTGAAAAATTTAATTGACTAACCCATACCAGGCATGGACTAGTAGCCGAATGGGAATCCGTAGTTTCCCATATGATATACCTGCTTATTAACTTTCCTTTCCTCTGGAATAAATACGTAAATCTTATATTATTGTCTTAAGACTTTAAATATTTTTCAGGTTACTCATGCACATGCAGACCAGGTTATAAAGCAGACATCAACAATGTCAGAGTTTTGTCTTGTCAAGCATGTTCAAGTGTAAGTTATTTTTTGTCTTCCTACTAATATGTTTATTCAACTATTTTTTTTTACATTTACAGCTTTTTCTAGCAAGTTATATCAATGCTAGATTTGTTAACTTTCTTATATAATATTGATTTCATATAATGATAAATCATACTCCATCCGAAATTTCCGAGTCATTTGTTTTAATGGTTTTATAGTTTTTCATCGGTTAGTTGTGAGTAGTCGAACATGAAATAATCCTTAATAATGTTGTAAACAGGGAATAACAACTCCAGATGGATATTTCTGTTCATCATGTTCAAATGGAACGGATGTAAATGGACAATGTACATGTGCAGTGGATCAACAATTGATTAGTAAGAAAAATGATTTTTATTTATTTACTTACATACAGTAGTACTTGGCACTTATTGAATAAAACAAAGGTCTTTAGCTTAAGTTTTCATATTGTTTTTTCCATAACTTTTCTGTAAAATGATTTTCATGTACTTTGGCCAAATCATACATATATGGGGTTTGCGGAATATTTTGAAACAACTCACACTTCACTGCATACAATAATTTCTTCTCAAGTAGGGCTGATTGTTTTAAGAAAGTATTTCAAAGAATTGATAATGAACTACCGGTAATAGAGTTTTGAATTCAGTTTGACATTGTAATAGGCAGTTTGACACCACAAACTAACGAACGAACTAAACGACACTTTGTGTATTTCTGTTGTTATCATTGATATTCATTTATGTAATATGTTTATATATGATCTACTTCATATGCTTCATTTCAATATTTGAGAATCTTTTAGACTTATTGTGGCTTTTAAAATTGGTCATACATAGCGACCCCCCTGTTTTGGTATTGCTGGAAAACAACCATTTTTCTCAAAAGTACTGTCATACTTCCAGTATATTATATTCAGGACAAACCAGGAAGCCCCATTTAATATTTTTACAATTATTTTTCTTGTGAAACACCTGATTTCTTGTGAAACACCTGACCGATTTGATAGTATCACACCTATTAGATTACCAAATTTCGTTTCATAATAGGCTCATTGTATCAAGTTTATCAGATCTCAGAAATTAAAGCATGATTCTGAAATATTCAATTAATATCAAATTACTTCTGTGTCAATTATTTAAGATTGTCCATCCATCCATGATCTTGGTGTATGTACAAATAGATAGTGCCATGAGTGTACAATCACTAGTATTGAGTTATGCTTCTTTTATACAAATTTCATATAATAAACACACATATCATGTTAACCACCAGTTTTGTTAATATGTTCTTATTTAAATGCTTATTATAAATCAAAGTTTTCAATTTAGTAAAATGAGAAAAGTAAAATATAAAATTGTTTTCAGTACCTTCATATTCTTCAGTGGTAGATTCTGTTGGAACTTGTTCCTCTTGTTCTTCAACATCTTTGGTGAACACTGGAAATTTGAAGTGAGTTAAAATAAATGAAATATTGGTTTTAATTGTAAAATATATCCATTAACTGTTGCTTTTACTCTCTTTTATTTCAATTAAATTATTACTTTCATAAATTCTCTTACACTTACTTTGTTCTCTCATTTATTCTATGATAAATGGATATGAATGAATATGAAGGTCAGCATTGGTAATGGATTTTATTGAGAGTTTTCCTTTTTTTGAATGCTCTAAGTGGTCATAAGTTTTTTATTTTTTTTGAGATGGTTCAGGACATGTTGAAATGTTTTTGAGATATACAGCCCTGCAAACAACATCTAGGCGAGATCTTGTGACCCTCAACCCTTGTAGCTTTTTCTACTTAGAGGAATAGTTGGCACATTGTTCTAAGTGTTAGCAAAGTCTTTGCAATTCTCATTACATTTTCAATTACTCCGCATGGCTTTGCCCAGATCGTTAATCTGACAATATGCTGCCATAGTATTAAGTCATTTAAACGACTTTCTTTGTTCAAATTTATTCTTTTTAAAAAATTTTGTAGCTGTGTGCCATGTCCGGAATGTTGTTTCAATATTACATCTGCAGCAGTGTTTGGAGGCCTTTGTTTTAATTCAACAACAGCAGGAAATCTCAATGGCATCAGTATACCAACAACAACTTCTGATACTGTAAGTTTTATCATTTTTATTAATTAATATGGCTTGTGTATTGTGAAAAATATTTTGACTTTTTATGAATTATTGTCAAGGTCAGAGTTGTTCAAGTACGGTAGGAAAGGGAACGATAGTTTTTCTTATGAATGTAATTGATGCAGATCTACAAGTTCAGTGAATTTGAGTTTAAGTGGCATAAGAGTAAAGGTTAATGCATAGAGAATTATTTCAATTCTGATCAAACTTTTATTTACATTCCAGTGTTTAGAAAAGTGAAGTTGTTTTAGCTGTTAGACAACAAAAATCAATTCAGCTGTGTGGTATATCATCACGTTGATTGAGATAGCAATAAAATCATTCGAATTGAGAAGGTACAGTAGTAATTCAATAGAATTGTTGTATCATTACTCTCTAATCTTTAGTCTTCCGTGCATGTGAGCATTTTCAAGTGAGCTAAAGGTATTAAGAAAGATAGTAGAAGATTATCAGGTGATTAAGCATTTCATTTTATATTCGAAAAAATTACAATTGATCCATTGTCAGAATGGACCAATTTTATACATGTTAATGTCAAAGAATAGCCTACCCTTTTTTTTGTCAAATTAAAAAGGTGTTTATAGGCATAATACATTATATTCTGAGGGTCTTCATTCATTTTGAACTATTTATAAAACAAACATGCACCAAAGAATATAAAAAAATACATCTTCTCACCTCCCAGTTGAATAGTTTGTAGCGGAATATGAGTGTTTTTTGCATAATCCATCTTTTTGAATTCATATCATATTCTTCCACACAATTTACTAGTCTATTCGATCTTCTAATTTGTGAAAAAAAAATTTTTTTCAGTCACCGTTCATTACATTGAATGTCAGAGCTGCATATGGAGCATGTGTTGCGGAGGTGAATATATCTATTGAAGTTTAAATTTTTCATTATTCAATTGTTTCTATCAAAATAAATAAAGATGAAAAGTAAAGAGTAAGTGCATATTGTGCAATGGATATCACAGTGTGTATCATCAAGTGTTTTATTATCATAACCCAATATATGTGTGGTGACCCAGTGCGCAAAGTAGTTGCATCAGGGTATACCCGATAACTAACTGAATTTAATACAAAAACTAATATTTCGAGTCTATGAAGTAAGGCATGAATTTTGGGAAACATTACACAAAAATCTATCTTTTGTAATGACTCTGACAGTCTGACCGCTTGACTTAATATTGGACCACCTTTTAAAACATTTTGTATGTGTTAAATTTACTTGAATGTGCCATTTCAGACCATTTGTTTCTAATATTTCCATTGTCACTTTCTACAATGAAATATTTTGGACTGGTATCAACAATAAAAGATGATCTTTTCGTTTCTAGCTTTTTTATTATGGTATATTACCGTATGTTTCAGAGACACTGTTGTATTATTTTGCCGATACAAATTCTGAAAAGTAGCAGAATAATAATTTTTTTTTATCTGATATTTTCCTTTTTCATTGACAACTATTTCAAGTTTTGATTATTGAATATATTTCAGCCGTCTATGCGTAATCAAACAGCATGTGAACAATTATCAAATATGTGTGTCATGGAACATTATTCACCTACTGCAGTTTCATGTACACAGTATTTTGAAGCTAATGGTCAATCCTTTGAAATAACTGATGGAGAAGCATGGTAAATATTATTTATCTTATAATTTTGAGTTGAATTATGTTTTAAATCTAGATTCTTTTCTAAATGAAGGTTTCAAAAGATGAAGCAATGGTAATATAATAATTCCAGGGTTTAACAATTCAAAGCAAAATGGCACAACAAAAAAATTATTTGAAAATATTACTAAGAAAAATGTGCTATTTAAGCTGAATATTCGTTTTAGCCCACTTAGTTTTCAAGATAAGTTTGGGAATGGTAGCGACACCTTGCTGCAGAATAAAGGCACAAAAGGAGCTTTAAAACATTGCACATCTAATGCTCTGTGCATCTGACTACTACCGAAATAGAATAACCCTCCTTTTTTCATTTCTAGGCGGGCAAGTGGAATTCCGTGGCTTTACTATTCCCAAGATTTCAACACTCAAATTCAAGAGGATACTGAAATAACCACAGGATTCTCTTATAATGGAGTGAGTTATAAATACAAGAAGGCCATATTTAATTTATGAAACCATTACAATACTTCCCACAGACTTTTTGCATTTCTTTGCAATCCCTAAGTAGTACATCCTATTATTACACCATGATATTAGTATCTATGCTTGCATTTGACAACATGCTATACTTTGACAATACAGTATTTTTGTAACATTGTTAAGGTTTCATATTGTAATTCTTTATATAAGATTATTTTTCAAATCAGAATGCAAGTAGATGCCAAATTAGGGTCCACTTTTTAGTATTTTTCCAATTTTGTGTACATTTATAGCATGATAGTGTCATAGTAAATTACTCTGATAATAGATAAAATATACCAGTAAACAGAGTAACAGTTACTGGCAGACGAAATGTGCAAATGTTTACAAGTACCATGTCACATAATTTATATCAGGGTGGTCCAAGGTTGACGGCCTCGCGGGCCACGATATTGCCAAGAGTTTGTAAACAGTGCAATACAAAACAAAACCTTTTATTATCCAAACACATTAATCATTATTTGTCATTTATCAAGCTAAAACTTGCAAAAACCTCCAAAAAAACTCACTGAAACGTGCAAATTTAGTGTAAGATTTTAAACTCGAAAAGGAGAAAATGTCGTTTTAGATTGTCACCGACACAACTTGTAGATACCCCGCGGGCCTGGGTTGGACTACCCCGATTTATATCACCATTTTTCCTCACCTCATAAATCAGAATCACTTAAAATTTAGCCCTCTACAGCCAATGTTGAATTTAGGCATATTTTGCGCTTGAATTATAAAGTCTGATATACCTTAATATCATTTTCTAGCAAAGTCTTTAGCTAAGAATTAGTTTCAAATTAAGATTAAATTGTACATTCCATTTCAGAATTCGAGGTTAGAATTATTTGTTGCACAATATAGAGCAAATGGTACGTTTCTTGGTATATCAAGTGTTGAAGATGGTTTGATACAGGTGTGTACTTCATTTTTACATTAATTTTACGATTGATGTTATTGGCATACTGCTACATTTGGATATAAAAGATTGTACTATCTATTGCGAGCTCCTATTATCAAGGTTTCAACAGCATGGACAATCTTTGTCATTTTGTTTTTCTGTTATTCAGATTAAGGTTGAAATCTCATGGCTTGAATTTCAGATAAATTTTTCGCATACCTCAAAATATTTGGCAATCGTGAATATATGGATATGGATGGGGCTCGTAGCGGTTCCTTAAACATGATTGTGTTTTTAACTTATATGTAGAAATTGAAAGCTGTGAATAATTATTTTATAACTTGACAAAATAGAAAAATATCCGTTTCTAACTATTTTCAATAATCGATTAATTTTTTTGGCATTATTTGTCTTCACTACTTGTTCAGCGAGCAAAATTCCTCGATCAACTTTGATCTGTTGTGTCAACACGATGTTTATTGTCATTTTTCTCATATCAACTTAATGAAATCAAATCAACTAATAAATGATATGTTTTCTAGCTTTGCAAGGACAAACCAACAGCGATGAATACTGCTTATATATTTGGTACAACATTTCTGTCTTCGGTTAGTAAATCTTTAAATCATTCAAATTTACATTTCACAACTCTCACATTCTCTCCTTAAAAATTTATCCTTAATTCTATATAATTGTTACAAATTTTTGACTTATATCGTTTTCGCAGAATCGATTTATCTTGACATAAAATGAATTTAAACATAATTTAAATAGTATCTCTTATGGCAAAATTTATGATGAGTTATTTATACAATACCATTATCTTTCTACTTGGTTGTTGTTGTTTAGTTCTTGTAATGGTGATGTAACAATTGTCTGTTTCAGTGTACCCTCGATGCAAAATCATTATTTCTTGATGAAAATAATGCCAATGTTTATTATGATATGTTTCTACAATATACATCAAATGCAGGAGAAATAATGTATTATCCTATACCGGTACTCGTTGAAAATTACCTTGATGACAGAGACAATGCTGTAAATTCAGGTATGGTATTAATATATATTGATATTAGGATGAGTTTATAAAGCATAATAGTCTAAAACAGAGGTTCTCAAACAATGGGGCATCCCACAAGGGGTAGACAATTTTTTGAGGGGGTGTGAAGCTAATTAAAATAAAAATATTTGTTAGGTGGGCTCGGCGGTGTGGCGCATCGTGCTAAGCGTTAAGGGGAATACGCTTGCCACCGCATCTCTGATTACCCTTCGTGGGATCGCAGGTTTGAATCCCATGCGAGATGATCATGTGCGAGAGGATTGCGGGACTCCTCGCCGTCGTAGGGTGGTTCAGGTAACCGCTGGTCGGTTACGGCATCCTCCACCTTTAAGTCCATGCTTCCGAAAACAAATAACTGGCTAACTAATCCCATACCCGACCTGGACTGCTAACCGGACGAGAGGCCGTGGTTCGTCATATGATTAAGCCATCTTATCGGTTTTCCTCTCCCCCGGGATAAATATGTAAATCCTATCCTATGTTAGATTTGATTTTGGTTCCACCAGTGTTTTTTTTTTGAATAAAACATAGTTTCCCCTTTTTATCTGTTATTTGTAGCTTGGGGTGCAATAAAAAGCGGGTGCGACTTGAAAAGTTTGAGAACAACTGGTCTAGAATATTCTATTGAATAAATTAAAAACAAATAAATTAAATACCGTATTTGCTCGTTTTGTAGCCTGGGCCCATATTTTTTTAACCAAACTCACTAACCGGGCCCTTATTCAAACTGGCCCTTATTCAAGCATGGGCGCTTGTTATTTTTAAAGTAAAATTATACACAAAAATTAGGGTAATTGGACGCCTAAGGGCGTGAGTGTTATCTACCAGCGCTCAAAATTCTACAGCGTTGTGACAAAAGCGCTTCTTATTTCCTATTGTTCTCTACCACTGAAAAATCAGCATTTACATCGGGCGGGTATTCAAGCACCGGCCCTTATTTATTTTTATGTTCTGTTCACACGGGCGGCTATTCAAACAGGCCCCTTAATCAAGATCGGGCGGTAAAACGAGCATATACGGTAAATTGAAAATATTTAGTGAATGCACAATACGGTATGTTGAAAGCAAACATGTATAAATTTTCAAATGTCTTTTCAAACACGCTTACTCAAGGCAATGGTTATGTCAAATGGTTGGCAAAATTAATTATTTGCTTTGTATTCCTATATTCTGTATATGAATAAGCCTGGAAAGGGAAGAATTTGCATTTGTACTTGTTTCTGCCATGATTTAATTATTGAATAAAATACTTTAGTTAACATCAGTAATTCACTGTTTTCATATAGAAGTTTCAAATAGAGCATTATTTAGAGCAGTGCATTCTCTTTTAACCTTATAATAAATTTATTTCTGCTTATTGTTATATTTATGAATGTATATACTGTGTACATCTAGGAACTGGGACTGGACAATTTACCAGAAGATTTTTCTTGATTGATAATGTGTACAGTGCAAATGCTCGTTATGCAAGCTCTATGCAGTTATTGTAAGTAAAACTAATACCTATGTAGGCCAAATAGTAATCATTCTTATGATGAATTGGCAAATTTATCTAGTACACAAATATCCATATTAGAAGAAGTTATGGGTTATAGATGATATGTTATATCCTACTATGCTACTTACTGTATTAAACACTGTATATGTGATCTCTCACTCATTCACTCATACCTGCCAGAAAATAAATATTATGCCTAATTTTTTTCCAAGATCTTGATTATGGAATTGATTATGAAATCCACTACTTCATAAGTTGTTTTCTTTATGATATTGACACAAACTGCTTTCTACACTATATTATAATGCTGTATAGCAATAGGTCTTGACACTTAGTGGTCACTTGCATGTAACCTTGCTCAAAGATCAATCTACATTTCCGAGTACACATGGCTTTGCTTTGAGCAAATTTGTTATAAAATAGAGCTCTATAGTTGGGTGTCATTACATATTACATTATATAGAATACAACTGATACATCCTAGGTCAGGGATGGCGAACCTTTTTCAATGGATGGGTCAAAAATTATATTTTTATCGCGAAACAGAAGAGAGTGGGTCACAGATATTTAATCAATGTTTGTATCTATAGGAAACTTCTAAAACAAATCTTATTACCGTAGCTTCTGTTGGTGTTGGTGTAGTTTTGGGCTTTATTATGCAGCACTTCTATATTATGGAACTCGATTTTCTGACATTAGAGTACGAAAACACACATATGAATTACCAAAAACGTTTAGGTTGATGCGGCAAATTATTTTGCGGTTCCAAAGAGTTCGGAAGGAATTCCACTTTGATAGTGTTATATTTTTCTAACAGCTTTCAACAACATCAAGGCACTTTTACACTGCCCCATTGTTATTTCTGATTTCTAGGTTTTTATTTCAAGTCTGAAAGATTTTGTTTTCTCAATGGCATTGTAGGCGAGAAACTAATAAAATGCAAAGTAGCATCTAGCTCTCGTATAACTCCTAAAACAGTTTGCAGATGCACCTCCGAAAAAGACAAGACGTCATGAACGATGTCAGCGCTAATAGCTGAATAACGCTACCCAGCGGTGCAGACATGGTCCAAGAATAGGGGTTTTGAAAATTACTATACCGGCCCTAAAAATTAACAATTTGAATATGAGCGATCGCGGCCCTGACTGCCCAACTGACGGAACATTATAATTGTTTAGGTATTGTTAAATTAAGGCTGGTTTTATCAATTTTTATCACTGATATGTTAGCATCTTTTTATTTCGTTCGTGCCTTGGCGGGCCACGAATAAAACGCAGTGGGTCACTTTGTGACCCACGGGTCAGTGGTTCGCCATCCCTGTCCTAGGTTGTGCAGTAAAATTTGACAATGAATAGATTTTGTTTTTTTATCAGGCTTGCACAAATATAATATTAAAACAGCATCTAAATGTCTTTAAAAAAAATACTGTTGAAGAAATATTGGATAAACTAATTTGCTAACTAATTGAACATTGCTATTCTCATCACACACAATTTAGGTTTGTTTTTAAAAGAAACTGACTAAATATCCTACTTCTAGCGTACTCGAAAAGCTTTACTGATTAGGTTTTTTCGTTGTTAACAGTGATAACTATTATTTCTTTTTTCATACCATAAAACTGTTTTTTTCACATTTATTTTTTTACCTTACCCGTTAAGCTTCAATATTTGGTTAAGTTTGAATTCTTTATTTCTTCTTAGCAAATGATTGGTTATTTGGTCATCATAGATATCTCGAGATTAATTGCTCTCTTTATTTATCTTTGTGCTTTTATGTTTTGGTAGTAAAACCTTTAATGACATCTTCAAAATTTATCTTTCTGGAAGACTATTCCTTTATTTTTGTCGGTCATACATGTTTTTTTTTTAAAAGTAAGCCGTATGCTTTGATCATGCAAAGCGGAATGTAATGTTTAATCTCCTGTAATTACCATTATTCCATGTTATGGTGCAAAAGATGAATTTAAATTTATCCCATGGTTAATAATTGATGAATTTGAAACCTAGAAAATGTTTCTGTTTATTCATCCGACTAAATATGTAAGGTGACCAGTTACTTGAATGGAAATTGGCGTAGGTAGAAAGAGTTAAATTTGGTTTCACATTCATTTGAAAAGAATTTAAAATTATTGGAAGGAAAGTATGATAGCAGAATGTTCAATAGTCTTCTGCATATTATGGTCATGGCCTATCATGACAAGTATGCTGCGCTTCAATAAAAATAGTTTTGCTTTTAATGTTTTCTATCAGTTCATTTTATTTGCCATGTTTATAAATAAAAAGGGTACTCCTGAAGTATGCGCACCAAGATGTCGCATAACCTGAACCCTAACCTGGTACACAACCTAAGTTCAGGTTGTGCGCCATCTTGGTGCGCATACTTCAGGCGTTCCATAAAAAGTCAGCAAATGAAAGCAATAAATGCATTACAGTCAAAGTATTAAACAAATTAGGGTCTATTTACTTTAAATTAATGTAGTCAGAAAAGGCTTTTGCTCATGGCCTCCTTTGGCCTAGTTTGTAGAACTCTGGTTTACCCTTATGTAAAACTTTTCAATTTATTTGTAAGTTCAATTGCATTTTTTTGAAGAAGACAGACAGTTTATTTTGAAAACTCCATAATATACACTAATTAAAACAAGGAATTCTGGAGGGCGAGCAAAACCTTTGAAAAAGTTTAAAACAGGCTGATTTAATAATGTTTTGTAATTATATTCAAATGGCATTATGTGAAAGTGTACCAAATCTTGAAGTATGGTTGACAATTGACATGCTACAGAATTTGCATATTTTGGAAAATCAATCAATTTTTCAAACAACTTATCAGTGTTGTAAATTGTATAAAACCTGAGGAATGTTCCATGGCTATCCCAAATGTATTATGTGTGATGTCATAATATACTATAAAATGTGAGATAACAATTGTGCAGTAACATTAATTTCACACTTGAATGATTACAATGCTTGAAATTGAAATAATTTTACAGGATCAGGATAAGGCCTAATTCACCTGCTGGACTGATATATCCACCAATATTAAGAATGTCATATTCAACTGTTGATGCAAGTGTACTGACTGATAGTACAAACCCTACAGTGCCTGTAAGTCACATTTACTTTTTGATCGATAACCAGTGCAAGTAATGATCAACAGTGCTAAACCAGCACAATCTTATACTTGTTACCGGTAGTGCCAATAATCACAGGGGTTCAATTAGTGGCGTCTAAAGGGGGCCAAAGGGGCAGCTGCCCGGGCAGCATATTATAGGGGTGAGTTAAATACCAATATTTAAATAATAATATTACAAACATTTTACTCTTACCTGTCCTTAAAATTATTTATTCTTGTGTACAACAAGTTAACAACAGCTATAATTTATTATAAAATTATTTTTGAAGTTAGGTATAAGGGGCATCATTTTCAGAAATTTGTTCCCGGCAGCAGAAAAGTTTGACACGCCACTGGGTTCAATACAATCGCTTTCAGTGTCATTAGAATCAATGTGATTAGGGGATGCGTGTTTGGTTGAAATAACCTTGGCCCAATATAGAACTTAGTTGATCTGTTTGACTGCTACTAATACTAGCTTTCCTACTGAGTTTGAGCACTTTCCGTTCGCCTTTCATTGTGCCTTACTCCTTTTGTGCATTGAATATTGTTTGTAAAATTAGCCAGTTTTTGATTGATTTTTCAAAACATTGTGTTTTATGCGAACATTTTTTGCGTCACCCTTTTATTTCATAGTTTATAAATAATTATATATTACATATAAATTGCAGGCATCATTCACTGTAACATACAGTTCAAGTGTAGCTGATCAGAATGAAGCAATCAAGGTGAATTTTTTGATAAAGTTTTATTGTTGTGAATATTGCGAATTTGTGATATTGCATGTTTAATTAAGTCAATGGCATAAATACTTTTAAAATGGAAGATCGACTAGTGGTTAATATATATTAATCTTCACTGTTTTGTCATATAATGACAATTTTGCTTAGTTTTATCATGGATACAAGTTTTCAATTTCTATTACCGGTACTTATAATGTGTGGTAAGCATTATTGTGATAACATAATGCATAATGCTAACTTCTAATCAGAACTACTTTCATCTCAAGTCCATAAAACAAATAACTAACTAATCCCATACCCGACATCAAATCACATTTTTGTAATAGTATGATTCTAAAATCCAAACCTATAAATGGCCATGAGGCACTAACTAAAATCAAATCTAAAATGGGTACAGCTTTGAAACTCCGACATAAAAGATAGCTCCTGATCCAGAATAAAGAAGATCAAAATAAGTCAATTTTGGAAAAATGGGACATTTGATATGAAACTGTTAGGACACTGATAAACATTTTATATTTTTTATTAATCTCAGATTACATTGTCTGTATTTGGTGTTCTGGCATTCTTATATGCAGCAGTTGAAACTAGTGGATGGAGAAGAAGACAAGGATTGCCTTATGTTGAATTGACGGTATGTGAAAAAAGTACCTTTTACCTAAGAAAATTATTTATAGTTTAAAGGATTTTACTCAAAATTGCGAAATGAGGAAAATATTCATTCTCGGCTTTAAACATCAAAATTTTTTATTGAAGTCTTTGGTGAGTATTTCTCATAATCATGATCAGACAGCTTCAAGAGCATTCATTTTTATGCAATTGCTTCAGAAGAATTTATTTTTCGAAATTTCAAAATTTGTCTTTTCGTGGTAAAACCCTTGATTTTAAAATTCCTTTCATTTTTTTAAAAGGATTTTTGGAAGATATTAAAAAATTCATGTTTTGGGTGGGTTAAGTATAAAAAGATTAAAATAAAAATAAATGCTAAGATTACATTTATTTTTATGTATATACATGCTAAACTAACTGCGAAAAATTTAATCCTGAAAAGCTAAGATTCGGTTTAATTTAGCATTTGATAAATGAAAATTTTAATATGAAAATCAACAGTTAGCTGTATTATTTTAGCAATGAATCTAGAATTGTCAGAAAATGCATAAAATGAATATTTAATAGTAAATGAAATAGAAATATTAAAAATCCTCTCAATGTGTTTCTTTCAGACACTGATTCAATTCATGCTGATATTCATGGGAAATTTGGCAAATGTATTTTTCGTGTTTGAACTCGGATACACAACTGTTTTGTTGATATTTTTCAAGGTATTTTATTTATATTATCGTAATATTTTTGACCAATAAAATATCTCCGCAAAAATTACGTGAAACATGTTTGGAACCAGATTCTTCTCCATACATATTGTATATTGAAACAATGAAAGAATGTTCAATTATTAATTCATCATAACACAAAGTAACATGTTTTCGAGATTGTCATCGCCACATGAATAACTTCGTTACTAAATGGTCTTATTTTTGTTGAACGTATTGTTTCATAATTATGATTTTCAAGTATTTATGCATAAATTTTTGGTGCATTTTTTCCCAAATTTATTTCTATTTCCTATTTTATTTGACACTAATGCCGATGATGATAAGTTTAAATGGAATGTCTGCCTGTTGTAAAGTTTCAAATTATTACTGTTTTTTTTTAATTGTTGTTTTTTGTCACCTTTTTCATGTTGAGTTGAACAGAATTCATTTCTTCAAGAAATTTATCTGATTTTCAGGGTCAAGATTCTGCAACGTCATATGTGCCATCTAATGATAGTTATCAGAATTATTTGTTCATCATTTTTATATCAGTTGCGTTTGCTTGCAAGGTAACAGTTTTATTTTTTTGATTAGATTTTTGACAAAATTATGATTCATACTGAATTATTTTATTTAGTTTCTTCAAGTTTTTGTCATGATATTCCAACAATCATCTGTTGATATATTTCTCATTGATTGGGAACGACCTCGTGCAAAAAGTGCGGACGATGGATCAAATAAAGTCAGCATATGGAGAACTTATTTTATTGCAAATGAATGGAATGAAATTCAGGTAGCAAGACATTTTTTATTTCCTCAAATTTTCTGTGTCAATTCATGCCATAGCTTGTCTATATCATTGTATTGCTATTGGATAGTTTTGGCTAATGAGGTGAAGTATTGAATTACCAAGTGGCAAATACTCAAAAGTCTATTTGATCCTAAAAGCTGCGATCTCCTCTTATTTGCGACTAATCTTTTGACTTTACAATTTTACTGATCTGTTTTTTCATCAATTTTCAGACATTCAGAAAAATCAACACATCGTTCCAGCTTTTATGTGTTTTGCTCTTCTTAGAGGTAAGATCATTCTAATCCTACAGTACGTGTATCAGTTATCATCAGATTTTTAATTCCATGAGTGCTATCTGCTGTCAGAGTTCCTTTTACTCAGAATTTACTTCCAAACCGACCTATTTGAAAAATGTACGTTTGTTTGATCTATGTATATGTCCCAGAACTTTTGCACTTGCCCGTATGCACTTGCCTGTATTATTGTTTCTTAAAACTAATGAATACTTTTTGATGGAAGAGTTATGAAGTCGAACGTATTTTAATCTCAAGAAGTTTATTTGGACTTCGTTATTGGTATAATAGACAATAAAATAATTGATAAAAACCATTAAAGAAAACTGATTATAGAATCAGGAGAGCAAACTAACCTAAGTATGGTTTACAGAATTTGAATTTAAAAAGTGTTGCCAAACGAATGCTAACCTTATTAAGTATTACTTCAATTCACACACATACAACTACAACATTTTTAATATTTGTTATTTTTATAATTAAGGTTGTTGGTTTTAAAAATCTGGCAACATTGGATTCCAGCAATGGTTTGAATCCACCATCAAATGGTTATGAAGCTCCAACTAGTAACTTGCTGAGGTTTGCTGTAGGAGGTCTAGTGTATGTTATCGTCGCATTAGTACAGGTAATTTTTTTTTTAAATGTATACTGGTGGCTTGGAACATACATGCATCTATAATATAATTGTTTTGCACATCTCTCAAGTTGCATAATAGGCATATTGGTAAAATTTTAAAGAAGTTGGACATTGCTTAAAGCAGGGCTTCCCAAAATTTTAAGCTCGCTACCTCTTCCAATATATTAAAATTTTCCGTGACCCCTCTTAAGTCGGCATTGTCCGTTTCTCTGATCTCATGTATTCTTGCACTAGTTTTAATAGTTGTGTTCCCAAAGTCTAAAATAGTATTTTGCGCGAAATTGATAAATTCTTCGCAACCCCTAAAATTCGTTAGGGGCCCTCTGTGGGGTCGCAGTACCCAGTTTGGGAAGCTCTGGCTGATAGTCATGCACTAGGGCTAGGAATAGTTTACCGGTTAATCGGCTAACTGTTTTTGGATGGTTAACAGTTACAATTTATTTTACCATTAACTTTCTTCCAAGGTAGAACACCATTTTCTGCGTAAATTCCCGCTATAATTTTGCACATAATTCTTTATTTTGCGACTTCAAAATTGACTTATGCCAGAAATACAGCAAATACCTTCGAAAAATATCCCTGTCAGCAATAGAATCGTGTCAATACGAAAGCTGCATCTTTGACATCAACAGCGAGTGGTTAACCGGTCAGATTTGACTTGTCACTGTAATTCCCAGTCCTAGTAAAAACACATTATCTGGGTTTCGTCAGAAAATAGATCAATTCAACATATTCACGTAATGATAAAATAGTATCATTTTTCATAGTTATGTGTACAGACGTGCTTGAAACAAATGTTCACCTGAATCTGATTAAATTTCCTACTGAATAAAGTTTCTTCGTTATACAGGTTATCTATTTCAAATTGATCCATGAAAGATTCATCAGTGATAAAACTCGAGATTTTGTCGATCTTTGTTCTCTATCTAATGTAAGTTTGTATTTTATAAGTGTTTAAATGATGTTACGAATGACTAGTGTCTTTATTTCTGTAATTCAAAACGCATCTTTAATTTAAATTCAAAATTATTTGTTTAAATAGATAGTAAATAAAGGAATTGAAGTAGTAGAATTGAAGTGAGTTAGAAGAAGTTATTACAAGTATTATTAGGAAAATAAAGTCATGAACATATTACTTATTCATGTTCTCATAGAGGGTACCTTTTGGTAATATTGCTATTTGCCTTGGTTTTACAGGGGTCCCCTCAAAAGACCCCCTAAGTTTCTACCCCTTAATCTGGGTTGGGATCACCCTGTCTCGTGATGTATATCATGATTAGTGGAATGTGAAGAAATGAATTGATATAGATAGAAAAAATATTTGTCAAAAAATTATAAACATAATCATAATATCTAAAATTAATTTATTTATAATTGTCAACTACTAAAACAGATCAGTGTATTTGTGTTGGCGCAACAAACATTTGGTTATTATATTCATGGAAGATCCGTGCATGGACGAGCTGACACTGACATGGCTGAAATGAATCAAATGCTAAAACGAGAAGAGGTTTGTAGTCAAAATAAAAACTTATTTTTTTTTATGATTTTATTCAAATTTACTGTGAATGGTTGGACTGTATTTTTCATTGTATTTCCATTCGTGTGAAAGCCTTGAGACTGTTGCGAGTCAGCTGTACATTTAGGTTTTCAAATTTCACTCTTGTTTGTAGAATTGGATTATATGACCATAGCACTGGGGTCAAATGATCAGAATTTTTTTATCGAAAATGTTGTGTAGATGTAACTTTTATTTTTTATTATTTTTGCAGGAAAATTTGGTCAGTACCAGAGGTTTACTTGCAGGTAGTGAAGATCAAGTGTTCGAAATAATGATTCCATTGAAAATGAGACAGCAATATGATAAAATATATCAGCCACTGCAATTGGTGAGTATTATTTACTGTGATCATGCTTTAATCTGTAATCTGTAGTACCGTAATAGGCAATAGGGGATTCATCTGAACTTACGGACAAAATATTGGCTTTAATATTAACACTCAATATTAATATTTAATGAAAATAATTCACTCCAATGAAGAACAGTCACACTAGTTACGGGGTTGGGAACTTTGTGTTAGTACAAGCCTTCAAATGTCGACTCGTAGATGAAGGCTCTGCACTATGATCTAAGGATGGGAAGAACTACATTTGGGCAAAAGTATTCAGTGACATGTAGAGTGGCATGTTTGATAATTTCAGTTAAAAAAGAACTGGATGCTAATTTTAAGATTTAAAAAATTGTGACACTGAAGCCTATATGTCACAATTGTCAGTTCATGAACATAATGTATTCAACCTTCGGCCTGAAAAACTATTTTCACAAAAACAATCATGCATTTTTAACAATTTCCAGCTTTTTTACAGTGAAGTTCTTTTTGTTAATTAGTTTGACAATAGTTCAGTCAAAGTATTATTTATTTTTACATAGGTATTTGTCTGTTCATTTTATTATATATTCTGATGGCTTTTTCATATGTTTATTTTTGGTATTCATTTATTTACAGATGAAATCACAACCTGCTGCAAGAGGTAAATATTTGTGACTGAAATGTTTATATCACTTAATTTTAATTGTTAGTAAAAATAAGAATTATATTAATATCATATATTATAACTATCCGCAAGGGTTACACGAGACTAACTCCCAATCCTTCCTCAATGCCTTTGAGCTAGTAGATCCGTATGCATATAATGCAAGGATGCTGTAGCAGGAATAAACATAATATACTATGCAATTCAAGTCCTGCTGCACTAATATTATAATAGAATAATAATTATGAGTATTAGTCGAGTAATAAAAAATTTAAATTTATTGGGTCATTTCATATATTAAAGGTTTACCACTCCAATGCAAAATCCTGTTACGATTATATTTTATACATAATATATTATCACATTATTACTATGCTTCAAATGTATTGAAAAAAAGACAAACATTAGACACTGAGACTAAGTTTTACACTTGTTCCTTGTATGCTGAATGTCTAGTCTAATTGTCCTATTCTAGGTGGTGGACAGAGCACAGGTGGCATTACTTCGGAAAGTATGAAAGCTTACAGCACTATGAGGACATTTTTGACATCGTTCATTAATCATGTAAGAATATTTTGTTAGAAATCATCAGTGAACTTTTCAACATGAAAATTCATAAAAACACTTCCTGCTTTATTGACAAATTAAATTTGGCCCTTGGTCACAGATGTATTCAATTAGTTGTCACTGTTTATTTATGTCGGTTAAACTTTGAAATTTGTGTATAATTTTTTACTGCTAATAACAGTGTTTCTGGAAAAACCTTTAAAGCTTGACATTCATGGATTTCTGGGGTTAATGATATGAAACTTTGTTTCATTAGTCGCTACGTGATTTGGATTACAATGTCAGAGACAAGTTATTTCTGGAAAAACTTCTCAACATTGAGTTTCAAGAACCTATTGATAAAGCTTTTTTCACGATTGGTAAGTTTAATTGGCCAGAAGTACTGATATTCTTTGTGAAAAGCAGCAGATCATTCTATATCTGATATTCTTCAGTGACGCTAGTTCCAGCAATATCTCATTGCTTCCCTTTGCTCGACAGCAGCAAAAGATTGATCAGATACAGTGACCAAAAAACAGAACCCTAGTCATCTGGAACGAATGTTTGAGCTGTAGTTCCCAACCTTTTATGACTCTTGGCCCCCTCCTGGAGGCTTTTATCACTATTGGCCCCTGTTTATCACTCCAGTGGTATTTTGATTGGTAGATTCCAAATCCCATTATGTTCCAACAATAGTGAAGAAATTTATGAGTTTGTATTTAAAATCGAACATATGATACAGGTACATAACCTTCTTACTCTTGTGTTTTTTTACCAGATGATGCTTACTCATTTGCTGATATTCTATTTTATGGACATGAGTTTGCGTTACTTGTGTTTGATATTCTCCTATTTTCTCTGGTTGATTATGGATCTAAGAACTTTGTTCTTGCTGCTGTCATCACATACATTGTTGGTGGGGTGAGTTTACTTAAGCTTTATTGTTTATAATCAAAATTACTCTTTGATTCTCTTGAATGCAGATTAAATTTTACAATATATCACTATATTCATCTTTAGGTGTTCAAATCTCTTCGTGGAATACTTGGCAGATACAACTTAGCAAGAAAAACCTTGATTGACAAGAGGCTCCTGATTTAAAATCAAATTCTGAGTCAAATCGAATTTATATTTTTTGATTAATTCATTGAATCTAGATTATTAGAGGCCAAAAACAGATTGGAAAGGGCAAAATGCAGCATGGGTATTGATTGTTGTTTTCCAATATTTAGTAATGATTAGTATTACTTACAACACAATGAAGCAGGTTATAGTTCACTCAACATTTACTAATCTTATTGGCCTTACTGCCAAAAACATTTAAAATTTGAGCATGAGGAGCAATAGTATAATAGCAGAAGATGCATTAGAAGTCAATCAACTCTAACTTCTTATTTTCGACTATCCATGTAAATTAGGTCACATGCTTGGTAAACATGTTTTCTCCACAACACATGTCTTGGCTATTAAAAATAATAAAAAAAGTATTGCTTATATTGCTTCTGCTTATCAGCAAAAATGAGTTAATGATTTTGTTCGGAACTTTGATTTTATATTAAGGTAGATGTTGTGTTTGGCCAGCGGAGTGCAAAATCCAAAAATTTGATTTTGTTATTGGGGAACATGTTGTGAATTTTGTATTTTATGTAGTTGATGAACAACATTCCTATTAATAAGAGTATTATCTGTTATTTTATTGTAGTGAGGCTATTTAGAAACCTTTGTGGTATAAAGTCTATTTTTTCAAAAAATCTTCTTGTTTGTGTGAGTAATTGTTGTCTCACTAGTTCGTTCATTTGGGTTGGGTCAGGCAAGGTATTTAAAACATAACCACCTTACGGCGGCACTCGAATTTCGCCGTGCTTGTATATAATTTAAAAAACTTTATGCAATGTGTTTAAAGTGGTAATTGTCCCATTATCTTTACACCCACGTACATATACACACGTGAAATGCACCCGTACATTAACACCCGATAACATGGCTTATTTGTTTTCGGAAGCATGGACTTGGTGGTGGAGGAATCTTCTCGCACATAACTATCCCCGCATGGGATTCGAACCTGCGAACCCACACTGAGTAATCATAGGTGCGGTGGCGAGCGTATTCCTAAAGCTTAGCACGATGAGCCACACCGCCGCATATAGCGACAAACATTTATAATGTTAAACGCAGGACAATAGATGGTGCGATGAAACTCTAAGTCTAGAATAACGAAAAGTGTACATTTCGACTCCATAATCAGCATGACGGGCGATAAAATAATTGATAAAATTAAATTAAAAAAAAAGCTGATTATAGAATCAGGCGAGGAAATAGGGCAAGATTTTTTTTTATCCAAGTCTATTTTTGCATCTCTGCATAGTTTATCAGTAACAAACCCCCTTTTCCAACTCAAAGATCACATCTTATCGGCTTCCTCTATCCCGGGATAAAAATGATAACTACTTGCAGAAAACCTAACAGTAACAATTTTGCGACCCCGTCACAATTGCGCTTGCCAACCTTTGATACGTTACAGTGATATTTAGGATACGTGCGGAATTCAGATTTGCGAGTGCTTTTTGAGGCACATGGAGACGTCAATTGGTCGATGATATAAAATACAGCAGTGGTTCTCCTTCTCAACTTTTCTGCACCACAGACAGGCGAGATTAAATAAAGAGGAACCTAACAGCTAGCTACCGAAATATTGAAATGAATAGAACGGAAATAACATCGTATGCCATTGAAAAAACTATTTGGCGACTGCGGGCCCAATGGACCCTTCTCGATTAGGATAGGATTTACAAGACAACTTGAAAATGACACTCCATATACCTGGAAGCCGATAAAAAATTATAATCACTAAAAATGTAGTTTAGTATTCTACTTCAAAAGCAGGTAACTTTACTAGCTTTTCTAACAGTCCACGGGATATTTTTTGTTCTCCTACTCAGATGGTGACATAAATATAAAGAAACAAGCTTCACAATATTGTTTCCCAAATTTTAATTTTCCTAATTGAATGTATATGGCAATGCCGAGGTACTTGTATTGAAGACAATGCAATACATGATTCACACAAACATATGAATGATTATAACTATTCCACAGTGCTTAAACAGGCCAACTACTTCTGTTGGTTGTTAAATAATGCAATTGCAAAAATTTCTTCAAAACAACCATACAATTCAATCTTGATTCATCAATTCGGCAATGATAGCGGCCATTCCAGGTTTACGGAAACCACATCTAGTGAAAGAATGTCAGTGTCAGCACCAATCAAAATTCCAACATGTGGTATTGTTCGGCCGAAATCTCCATGCACAAATTCCTTCACATAGGTTCCAGCTTGTGTTGTCATACATAGTTTGAAAAATATATACTCTTTTGGAATGAACTTTGGCATTTTAACAATTTTTGCGGCATCGGTTACATCAATCATCTCAACATCAAGTTCAAAAATAGTTCGAGAACGAACAGCAAGATTTCTTCTATGTAATACTCTCAGAGGAGTCTTTTGCTCAATTTTAATATTTTTCAATTCAGACAATTTAAGTATGTTACTTTTCAATGTTAGCTTGTTAACTTTTGGGCGTGAATGACTAATCTTAGTGTAGCACACAGCAGAGTATGATTTGGTTTTTCCCTCCTCTCCATCTTTCAAGTTTTTCGTTTCATTTTTACTTACGATTTGAAGATCTCTTACTTTTATTATATCAGTGACCTCATTAATCTCAGTTTGCAATTTTTTAACTCTGTTTTTTTCTTCAATACATAATCGTGGATTCACTAATTCAAGCAAAAACGGTCTTCCATTACCCAACATTCGAACATCAATATCTTCTCGTCCAGAAGATGAAAAATTATAAGAATCTGCTTTGAATAATAGTTTAATCGGATCTGCAATATATTCTTGAACTGACATTTCGGATATTCTTTTACCAGATATTACCCATGGTGTTTGCGAAAGTTCACGTGAATATTTGCAATACCTCCCGGCCACATAAATGGGTGTCCGCAAGATTTTAATTTGGTCCAAAAACACAGAATTTTGAAAATAACTTTGTTCAATCAAGTCGTCTAAAACCTTGGGACTCAATTTTGATGAAGCTTGACATACCGCAGATAACGTAAATATTGTCAGATCATTTCTTGGTCTCTTCCTAGTCATCCCTTCCAATACTTTTTTAGATTGCTTGAAGCATTCAGGTAAACATTTTTCAATTTTCGGGAGCAAGTGAGATTCTGTAATACTATGTTTTATTACCACAGTAACTTCAAGTTCAGCATCATCATTATATACTGCTTTTGAACAAAGAGCTTTTTCCAATTTCGGTTCAAGAACAATTTTGAAAATGTCTTTAACATCTAATCCATTTCCATTTCGCTTGTGATCCGAAATAACACTCTTATAATGATGTTGAACGAAAGCTCGAAAAAGAATAAATTGGACTGGTTGCGATATCATCAATCTGAAATTTCTAAACATATATTGTTCACTTTGTATCTTTTGTGCTATATTTTCAACTGAAGAATGAAGAAACTGATCTTGCAGCATGCCAAGACATGAATGACAAAAATGTTTTATTTCGCTACATTCACTGGAATCTAGTATTTGTTCTTTGGAGAATATACTGGGCCATCTTGACATGAGGTTTTCCTCAATTTCTTTCTCTGATTTCCTCAATATTTCATCATCTTTAACATTAAGAAACATAAAAATGCATCGTGGGCATAGATTTTTACCCATCATGATGCCATGTGACAAATGATTATCTATTAAAAAAAACAATAAATTAGGAAATGGCAGTGATATGCTAAAAAAACGTATACTCTTAAAAAAACGCATGGTAGTATGGTAGATTTATAGAAATGTTGATTGCAAATATGTTAATACATTTTAGAATAGCTTAATATGAGCATTCAACAAGCTTTATGACAAGTCCATGTGGTGAATATGCAAAGCTCATATGTTGATTCTATCCAACATTCTCAAAGATTTGATGCAAAATATTTACTAAGTAGGAAGGTAAATATATGATTGAAACATGGTTTGCACAGAGTCTTTTATTTCTGGGAGAATCCACCAATACACAAAATTGAAGAAAACATGTATTTACATCCGGGCAATGCCCGATTGACATTGATTTCTATTCAAGTGAAAACAGCAACACTTCCATAAAAAAATTAACAGGGCAGTCCAAAAATCAATTATTAACAATGCACCTATAACAAAACATTTTCTATATAATAGTGATGCTGAGCAAATTTTTGAAATAACAGTCCATCTTTTCATATCTAAACTATTCAAGAAACTTGAAGGTGTACATAGGGATCACAGGCTGAAGTACCAACTCTATTCCATAAGCTTCCCAAAGGTATCTCCAACTATATTTTTCTATTTTAAGACTATGAATCAGAAATAGCTGTCATGTTTATCACAGAAACTTTAATGTTGAATGTTTTTTGCTAATTCACAACTCTGACCCTGAGTTGAAATGTCAACTCCAATGTAACACCTAAAAACACAAGTATATGACAAAAGTGAATGGCTTTGGTCTGATACCAATTTGTTACATCTTCAAAAGTGCACATTCAGACATTAATGTTCATACTATTTTATGAACTGATCAGCATTTACATTTATGCAATTTCACATGAAAATTATTTATGCATTTCTCATTTTTAAACCAGGGAATAAGTATGGGCATTTGAGTTTACCTCAAAATATATGCAGACATGTGGCGCTACCTGGTAGCAAACAATACCACATGTAAAATATAGGAATCATAGACTAGGTGCATTTGCACCAATTTCACCAAGTTTATCAGAAAATTCTTTATCAACTTGTTTAAACTCAATTTTCTTTTCTTCAAGTTTTATTTGAGCTTGAGCAAGACTTGGTTGCAGATCTTTATATGAATTTAACTGAAGTCTTAACGGCTTCAATTTCATTTCCATTTCGGAAACTTCATTTCCTAAAGATACTAATGTTTCATGTGATATATTGTCTTCATAACCAGCTGATGAAAGTAATTGTTTATTTGACCGTAATTCGGCGTCATATTGTTTGATCTTTTTTGAATGAAATGAAGTTGATTTCTTTGTGTTGCTGCTCTCTTGCTGTTGCTGCTCTTCTAACGATTCAAGTCGTGACAGCTCACGTCGCCAAAACTCCTTTGTATTAAGTATATCAGAAAATTTACTTTTATAATTTTGTATTCTTTTTTGACTTGAATCAAGCGTTATCTCAGATTCCTGCAACTCCTGGCTTAGATCGCTTAAAGCCAAAGTTAAATTCAATTCACAGGGTGTTATAACATCCAATGCATCAGAAGTTGTTTGTAATGACTTTGCCAAGAGTTTTCCTATGTTTGATAACTCTGATGGCAAATGAACCGACGAAAGAATAGAACGAAAACGACTAGAATCAACTTTATATTCCTCGATCTCCATCTTCATTTGATCAATTATTAACCCATAATTGGAAGACGACTCCTCCTGAGTTACAATGGCCATTATTTGTTTCATAACATGACAGTTTCCCAGTCTTACAATCGCTCAACATATAAAACCTCAGCTGAATACGGTAAATTCTGGCAAACCGGCGCAGCTCACGCGGATCCTTGCTGACCTCCTACCAAGACTGTAGGAAGGAAGACAAAATTCATATCTAACAAAATGCTAGTGAAATAGCAGTAGTGGCAAAGATGTCATATTACCGTGTTCCCCAATAAAATTGCCGTTCAGAGCGAAGTTTATTCAGGACAGCCTTGACGTAGGCCGCCACGTGTGATAGAGCAATGACATTAAACAACGTCATCGGACAGGGTAAATAACGAGTTCCAATGAATGCAAATACAACAGCGAAATTTGAGATAACATAGGAAATTCAGGAATTAATGAATATCATGTATACCCCAGGAATGGAAAACTAATTTTTCAAAAACATCACAAGTCAATCCACATCTTATTCTTAGTCTGATCGAAGATATAAATAGCATTGATAAAACCTCTTGATATATTTATGATAAACTTTGTAATAAAAAAATTTTGCCGCCAACTGAAATAATAGGAAAATGGTCAAAAGAATTGTGCAGGAACATAGATAATTTGTTGACATTGTATGAAAAAGTCTTTTATTGCTCTATTGAATCCAGACTTCGTTCATTCCATGTTAAATTTGTTTTGCGAGCAGTGCCCACTAATGACCTGCTATATAGAATTAATAAAACACAAAGTCCAAAATGTAGATTTTGTAATATGCATGTTGAAACTGTGTTACATTTATTTTACCTCTGTGAATTCGTGCAGCAATTTTGGGAAATAGTTAACGCTGAGTATGGATTAAACTTTAATTTGGCTCATATGGAAATGTTATTGGGGGTAGGACGAAACCAGGGTATAAACTGTGAGTTATTATGTTCCAGATATTTTATATACAAATGTAAACTGCGTAATGAAAGAGCTCAATTTTGCCAGTTTTTATATAGGACAAAAAATATTATAAACTGTGAAAAAACTAAAAATGGTGAACTGTCAATCCAAGTGGAGTGGTCAAGAAGAAGTGAAAAACTATTATGTGCTCGGTTTTTGAAATGCAATTGTATTTGTGCTATTGTTTCTATATAATGTGATGTTTTTATTAATAAAAAAAAACACTGAAAAGCGTGCCAGCCAGGTGACTGACGACAAGTGACACGATCGAGTAATATAACACTGACATTGTTCGATGAGTCCAGGCAGAGACAATGCATAACACCTTGTTTTCTTGTAACATCTATGGTCCAGGGATGGGCAAGGTTTTTAAACCAAGGGCCGGAAAGTTTGCCCACCTAGACTGGCGGGCCATGTGATTGTGAAGTGAAAGGTGGGATTTCGAGAAAATGTATTTGACTGTTCGTCAGTGTTCGCAATTTTCCGAAATTCAAAGTGCCTGAAAGAAAGACTTTGTTGCTGGGCCTTTAACTAAATATATGCCAGTACCTCAGCATTGCTATATACATTCAATCAGGAAAACTGAAATAAAATTTGCCTAACAACACATATATATATATATACCACCAATCTGCCTTAATCTGTGAAATATTACATACACGAGTTTTGATCTCAGTTCGTCATCAATTGTAACCTTCAAATATTTATTGATTTTATTCTGTTCAATTCTATTACTGCCAAAGCTTACTACAAAGTTAGTAATATCATGTTTTTTAAATAGCATAATACCGTGTTTCTCCGAAAATAAGACTGGGTCTTAGTTCAATTTTCTTCCGCATAATAACACTAGGGTTTGTTTTCGGGGGATGTCTTATAGTTTCATCTATCAAAAACAAAATTACAAAGTAAAGAATTACGAGAGGGTTGAGCAATACAATAAAATGCAAAAAATAATACCTTAGTTTAGTTTTAGGTAAAATTCAGTTTTATTTACCAAGTATCGTAAAATGACCGAAAAGAGGAGAATGTATGATGACGATTATTTCAAGTATTGCTTTATACATACGACAGTGATTGGCAACGTTGTACTCCGATGCGTTTTATGCCTATAAATATTTGAGCACTTACGCTATGAGACCTACTCGCTTACAGCGCCATCATTAAACAAATTAACCTGCCCATCACGAAGGCATTTCACTTTTTTCCAAGCCAAGGGGGGAGGGGGGGTGAAGTCTGTAAGATTTTCGAAAAGAGGCGCGGCTCAAAAACTTTGAGAACCACGGTATTAGACTATTCATGTTGTAAGCTAAAAAATTATGGATTCGAATTCAGGTTATCTGCATCAATTTTGCAACCTTGTTTCTAATATATATATGAAGATTCCAAAATATCGAATCATCATATTGCATTGAATAAGCGTTAGAAGAAACGAAAATATTCACTATAGATCGCTTATATAAGTAAAATAATTTGATTTTCATTGAGTCACTCTATTTTTTATTTATTCAAAACCTATGGATAAAAAATACATTTATCTTAAAGCAGAACAGCACGTATGTCGTATGCTACTATACTTTCTAATTTGATACACATATTGTCAATTTACAGTTAATGTTCTTCTTTTGTATGCTGTTGTGTCGCGTTTTTGTAATTTGGACTACAAACATTTGCAGTATTTTTTGTAACGTTGATGTGTATATTTTATTTGGTATATGAATGATATTGACGTAATAATTCTCCTTTCTGATATCAGTATAAACTAAAACATTCTCCTCGAATAAATTCCAATCTCATCGCAGCCACGTTATTCCATGTTTGTGGATAGATCCTGATGTATCGACATGTTATTGGAGTCGGAAATATGTTCGTAACCCTTGTGTTATCGTCTGTATTTGCTTTGAATATCTGAATAAAAATATTTTAGATTTGGAGTGGTCGTTAATATTCCAGTTATATATTATAAATTTTCGAATTCCCTATATTTTGTGACACATTGTGAGTTTAGTACAATCTTCTGCTATTCTAGCTTAACTACATTCCGATCGAGCAACTGCTGCACTAGAAATATTCTGAATCCAATGCCATTTTAAAAATATTTTTGTGTCACCTGGCATTTGTGAGGCCAAAAAACAGTATAACTGGTACAGAAATAATTTACTTATAGTTGATATGCCTTTTTGTAAATATAGGGAAGTTTCAATGAACCTGGTCAACATTTTATTACGTTTTCCATGCGAATTCGAATAAAGATAACGTTCACTCTCCCGAAAGTATAATATATCAATCTCAGGACAATGCGAAAACACGAACGGCATTTATATGCCAGAAGATGCTGAAATCGTGAGCGATATCGTGTGGCATTTCACGCCAGTAGTTCATTACCATGGTGTATCACTTCATGTAAATCAAGTTCCAATAGCTGACCTTGTCTGACCCATTCTCAGTGACCGACTGAAACAAATCTGTTGAATTTGCGACTTTTACTTTGTAAGACGTTGTCCATTGATTGCAGCATGGTGGTCGTCCTTGCGAAACAACTCCAGCTACAGATTTTCTGACACCAAAATCAACCTGAAACCATTCGCCAATTTGACCTAAATATTAAATCAAACAGTTAACGGCAGGTTAGGATTAATATATCAGAATAAAACGTTTGCATATGTATACGTAATATCTGATGCGCCTACTACTCGTATACATAGGAATTTGAATGTCAGACTTATTTTTTTTAAATAAACACCAATAGAGATGAAAATACCATGGTTGTATGAATCAACAACAATTCAATCGTGTGTCGCTACCCAATTTAAGTTTGGAAACAAGTTTATATGTTTAGATTCGGTTATGGCGGGCTTCAGTTTTTAAAAACGCCTGATATTAATAGCGTTTCAATGGTTGAGTCCGTTTGGAAAATTGAAACTATGTCATGTGTAACTCACTTGGTTGAGGATGCCATGCCGCATACATTAATCCGCTCGATTGCTGCTCGTCCAATCTACCATGCCTTCCATTGTATTCTGGACTATATTCGGACGATACACTGATAGCAGAGTCGGGTATAGCACGTGATTTCATTCCCATAGCGCAAACATTTTCTGTCAACAATTAAAAACTATTATTCCGTGCTACATGGAGTTCATTCTAATAAGTATATGAGCTCTCAACCGTTTATAGTAATGTCACCTACAAGACGAATAAAATCTAGAGTTTTTTCTAATTACTCCAGATATGTACAATCGACTACTTTATATCTCACTTACCTGGTCGCAGTGACGTGAACTGCTTTAGGTACTCAATATTTATCAACGTACAGAATTACATATACTCTATAATTTTTCATAGTCAATCTCGTATCATTTAAGTATTCACGCGAAACTTCGGTTCAAATTTTGTGTGAGTGCGCGCGCAATTTCCTTAATTAATCCGTTAGTATTTTTCACTTACTAATTTCGCTTGGTATACTTGAAGTTATGATCTTCAGAGCAGCTGAAAAATAAAACAAAATAATCAAACCCTGACATGTATGGTCGGGATCTGATAGCAAAATTTTAAAACAGAACTTTCTAACAAGCTTGTTTTACCACATTGATGTAAACTATTGTAATACTGTTACTTGTAATGAATGCTTTATCTCACGTTTTCGTTCTAATTCATTAACATAAAATACCTTCAACTCGTTTTACTTTTTCTTCAAGCTCTCTTGGGGAACCAGTCGCACCGGTATCGCCTTTTATTCCTCTTGAACCGCTTGGTCCTTTTTGACCTCGTTTACCAGGAATTCCTTGACATGTGCTTTTGTCACAAGATGTTCTCCTGTCGGACATCAACGCAGAGCAAAACTCAAAAACATTGGGAATGTCGCAAGATATCTCAGAAACAATAGCGGCGACAATAGCAAAAGTTAAAAGATATTTCATATTTGCGTTCTTACACCTAAATGCAAATGAAGTCGTAACTGGGCGGTTACAGAAATATATAGGCTCACTGTACAGACTTTGGACATCAACACATTCGCCTAGAACAGTGGTTCTTAAAGTATGGGTCGCGACCCAAACATGGGTCGCGGAAGGTTTAAAAATGGGTCGCGACAAGGTCGTCAATGCAAGGGCAATCTATGAGGTGAAGGAAGAATTTTCAGCTTTCCCAATGTTTCAATTTAGCTTCTAAATTAAATAAAATGAAATATAAAATTTTATTCATGGAAAGAACTGTCTTGAGCTCATTGTTACATCACAATTCTGATATGCCAGTCACGTGTATTATTTTTATGGTATCGGTAACCATGCACGTCGCTTGTCCTTGTGTTGACCGCGTGGAATGTTGTCTTAGTGGATTAAAATAACCAAAAATGGGTGTCTTTTTGGTAATGTAAATTGTAATAGACGACGCAATGAAAAGGCTCGCTTCTTGACATTAGATTATTCAATATCTAGAAAAAATGGGACTTCATCTCGAGGCACCATTTACCGCGAACGAAGCAGTGTGTGCACATTTGATGAGTAAAAAGTTGTATATTGCGAGAGATACCGAAGGCCAGCTAGGATGTCGTGTTTGCGACGGACAGCGGACGCCTTTTCTGCTACAATTCGCGACAAGGCACTTGTGCGAGCGAGGATATTTGGCACTGACGGTTATCAAAACTAAGCTCGCATTCGCCTCGATACCCGTGACAACTTGCGTATTGCGGTAAGTAAAATAGAGCTGTGTATTGAAGATATAATGAAAAGGAAATTCCAGTTTCATCAATCTCACTGAGTCAATGGACTGTTTCTAATAAACAGTTGTCTGTATTTGAGTCAAACTGTACTAACATTAAAAACACATTTTGCGTTATTTAGGATTGGGTCGCGAGTATTCATAAAACTCAGATTTGGGTCGCACTCGAAAAAGTTTAAGAACCACTGGCCTAGAATATACTAAACGAGTCATTTTTATGCCACATTTTGCAATTACATCGGTTCATGCTGAGTTAACGAGGGCGTCCTTAAGTTGGCTACCTAGAATCATACAATAGAATAGTCTATCTGGGTTGAAAGAGGGGTGAAGATTATTATTAAGAGTCACAGGATACCCTATGACGTTATCGAAACAATGATTGAATAGGTGTTTACTGGATTCATTCAGATACGGTAGCTAGTCGTGTCCCTGAATTAATTTTCTTCAATTGGATATTGATGAGGTCAAAAAACATGGATGATAAACAGGAGAAAAGTCACGTTTTGATATGATTCATTTTATCAGCGTTCTTCTTTCCGTGGCCAAAGCGAAATCGTATCAATATTCTTGGTAAAATTCCAATGTTTGGCATGCCTATAGTATAGCCCGGTGGTTCCCAAACTTTAAAAAAAAAATCTTGAGCACTAAAATAAAACATTAAATAACCACAACAAAAAAATAAATGCGCCGTACGGTATAGTAAAAAACATCTCTTCACTTGCACTTATCACGATAAACCCAAACTTTACGTGAAATTCGTCGTATCTCAATTTTAGTTTTAGAAGGCATCTTGAAATTAATATTACAGAGCTGAAAACGTAAAAATATAGGCCTGCAGTTACTGTATAAGTGTATAGTGTGTGTCAAAGGCTAAATTTGATAGCTACAAACTAAAACTTAGTGCCTCTCTGGCTACGCTTTACTTACCTAATGCTATCTACCTTTCATATACTTCATAAAACTGCCTACTGTAACTCCCTCTTATGTCAATAAACGTGCAAAAAGGCAGCTTCAGCTATACCTCTGCAGTTAGTTAACTTGGTAATGGCATCAATTGAACTCTCTCTGTGATATCATAAGCTCACGGCTCTGTGATTGTGGAGCAGCAAAAGGCAATAAATATGTTTTTGCAAATTTGAGCACTTAATATGAGCCATATAACAGATTTCTTTTGTGGACCCTCCGAAAGTGCTTCACGGACCCCAAAAGGTCCGCGGACCCTAGCCTATTTAATTAAACAATTATATATATATTGAATTTATATCATCCTTCCAGCTAATTGTCAACTTCCAGGAGTTTATGATTCAGTACAAAATTTAGGGTTGGGTCGGATACCTATATTTTTTACTATCCGGATAACGGATATATCCGGGTATTCCGTATCAAAAATATCAGGTTAACCGGATAGTTACTGCTAATTTTAAAGACCCGATTTCACAAGATTTTGCAGTTAATTGACCAAAAACCACCACATAGTTTTATTGTAAATACGCACATATGTATTATTTTTCTCGAATAGGAATGATTGTGCATTTTGATGTTGTATATATGCAAATAAAATCCGAAACAGGGCAGAACAGTAATATATATAGACTTTCACGTCAACACATTCGCCTATATAAACTATTAGAAGAAGTTGTACGCCACATTCTGCAATTACATCGGTCATGATGAGTTAACGAAGGAAAAATTAAATCAATACTGTTGTGATATTTCAGTCGAGTTTCGTTACGTGATTTATTTTTTTTCCGTAAAATTACAATGTTTGACATGCCTTACAACAGCGTTTCCCAAATTTTTCGGCCACGGAACTCTTACACTTTTTATCTCGCCTCACGGAACACCAAAAAATGAAAAGGTAAAATTAATAATGAAAAACGGTGTATGGTAGTGCTTCCCAGTGGGTTCGCCGAGGCGAGTTGCCAAATGTGCCGCGAAAACTAACAGATTTGTGTTAAACATACCCAAAATATTATTGAATATTTCACATATTGCATTTATTATAAATGTTTTATTGTTTCTTAACTTGAATGGTGAGTATATCAATCAAAAAATTTATTCAATTTTCCATGTCGTTTACTTTCCATTACGCAGTGTTTGCCTCTAATATTACGTCTACAACGTCTAAGATAGAAGTACTTGCTGCAATTTTGCAAATTGTAGTTTATTTATCTGTCGAATCGAGTTTATCAAACATGTGTAAGTTTTTCAGCATCTCAAAGTAAAACCAGGCTGGGATGGAGAAAGAAGGGTTGACCTTTTGCTTTTATTCTTTAGACCTACGTGTTTGCCTATACCAAAACCAAAAGGATTGCTGTAAATTTTATAATGAACTCAATAGACAAAAAGCTGGACCGACGGTTACCAAAAATGCCACTACCCTACCTTAGTTTGAACGCTTCAGGTCGACGGTGACGCGAGTTGGGCGAGAACCTCACGATTCTCAGATCGCCACGGCGACTAATTTAGACATATTTCTGATTATTTTTTCACGGAACACTCGAAAGACGCTCGCGGAACATTAGTGTTCTGCGGAACACAGTTTGGGAAACGCTGCCTTACAACAATAATAATTCATCAAAAATTTATTGAATCTATTTCATCATTTACGCCAATTGTTAACGTTTTGAAATTCATGATTCACTACAGATCGAAGTTCTTAAGGATCGATATTTGAAATAGGACTTGCAAAATATTCACCATAAACCGCCAGGCACATAAGAGACGGGCTACACGTAACTGTGGAATTTCGCTGTGAACGACGCATTCTTTTCAGTTTATTAAACGCCTCACGTCGTCGTGAATAGCACTTTGGGTGGTCTGTTTTAATATCACCGAAAATTTTGGCTGCACCTATGTTGGTACCCGGCTTTATTCCGGCACCGATAAACCAAGTCATAATTTGTGATCCATGTCATCAATAACCAAAACTTTTGGGCTTGCTATTACCAGAATGCCTATGTTGAATGAAAGTGCGACCTGCAGTTTGACTCAGTTATCTTTATCTGGTCCTCCTGTATTAAAGGTTGCACACCCTTGATTTTAACTACTTAAATTGCTTTGCAACCTAGTTATTCGCTGAATATTTATCATGTTTTTTTCGATTTTCGTCATTTTTTTCTTTAATTTAGAGCAATAAGAGAATAGTTCAGGTAGCTTGTAGACTAATATGATATGTAAAAGTTATTAATCTCTCGAACAGATGTTGACATTATCTATCGAACCAAGAAATTATTGCCCCATCCAACATGAATACTACCATATTATTTTATGATATTTTTATCATTCTATTGCATTTTTCTCTCCGATTTTATATGTAACTGCAATACTTTATATTTTTTTCTGCCAATATGTTTGTTATTTTATTGCAAGCATCAATTGCTTTTACTATTTTATACCATTTTCTTTTTATTTCTATGTTAAGTTCCCAAATTTTTTTTATCTTCAAGTCATTCGTACTTAATGATATTAGCCCGATTGAAAAAATACTACAATCACAATTTCTTAAATCATTGTGATCATATATTTTTGGCGCATTCACTACAAAGAAAATAAAGTCATGTTTTTGATGAAATTAGTCTGCTTTACGAATGCGTCTTTCTAACAAAAATGAACGAATTGCTTCAATTGAGCATTGACTGATTGAGCATATACTATAGGTAAAGATAGTATTATTTATTACGTAATTTGTCTACAAATATCTCATTCATTGGGGGCACGTTTTCCAAACTGGAAAAAAATTCATCCCTGGCGAGTACTTTGTCCTTTTGAGGAGGAATCGGATTTGTATTTGATGTAGCATTACTGATTTCCCAAAGTTCGCTCTGCCTACTATAATACAATGCACACATTCAATTTGAAAATACTGGAACTGTACAAAATCGGTTTTTCAACTAGGGCAATAGACAAAGATCTAAAGAATAAATTATTACAGTTTTTGTGCATAGTGGGGGAAGAATAAAAAGGTTGAAAGATTTGATAAGGGAGAAGTTTAACGGATAAGGTTTGGAATCGCATGATTTTTACACCTACATCTTATTCATCAAATGTTTTGTCCACATGTACAATATGTATTTTGTCCACATGTATCCCATTTATCATACATACCATTTAACACAGGGGTCTCCAACACGCGGCCCGCGGGCCGCATGCGGCCCGCCAGCCAATTTTTTGCGGCCCGCGTCATGGTTGGGATTTTTCCACAAAAAACTAAATTAGTACGATGTCAACTTTTAGTAGGTTTTATCGTGTCATTTATCATCAAGAGTCCGGTCCGACAAACTATAAAAAGTGAAGCAAAATTCCCCCCTGTTGTCCACGTTTTATTATATTGTTATATTGCAATTATAAATGCGATAATTTCATTTCGCATGTTCATTGTGACAAAATAAAAGAGTTTCGGTCAGTCCATTGTGCTCGAAGAAAGGTTTGCAAAGCTAATTGCACATTCACTTTGCATACCTGCGATTTTTGGCAGTTCTTATATTTGCGAGCAGTTTTTTTAGACTATGAAAGTTAGCAAGTCAGCCCTCCGCACACGACTAATGGACGAGCATTTGTATGTTTTCTTGAGACTAGCAAACCAACGCAAAATAAGGCCAAACATCGAGACCAAATAACCAGCACAAGTGAATGAATATATATATATATGTTTCATGTCTCGTTTGCTGTAAGATTCAAGTGTAATTTCAACACGATACCTTCAGATACCCATTTCTGTACCTAATTTATTGGTTTGCGGCCCGCGTAGTCAATAATTTTCAAAAAGTGGCCCGCGACATGTTTTGAGTTGGAGACCCCTGCTCTAACGAGTGGCATATTGAAAATTGAGGAACGCTGTCACTGATAGAGGATACGAATCATATTTATCGCGGTGGAGAGAAAAACTTATAAGACGAATCATTTGGCAAACCACGGCCTCTTGTCCGGTTACTAGTCTATGTCGGGTACCGGTAATGTTAACCAGCTATTTGTTTCAGATGTATGGACTTGGTAGTTGAGGAAGCCCTAACCCTACCATCGGTTTCGTGAACCAGCGATCCCCTCGCATAGGTTTTCCATTATTCAAAAATCGATATTAATAATATTATTCATTTTCTATTTCAGAATCGATCATTTTTGATTGTTCTCGTCATACTTTTAAATCTGAGATTCGCGGCTATTTTTAGTCAATTTTTGTTATGACGGAACATAAGATGAAGAGTCAAATTTGAAAGCAGAATTCAGTATACGAGAAACGCTGCGTGGGTATACTCGATTCAATGATATCTGAATCAGAAAATGTATCAGAAGACATGTATCCTGTGTGAAAATCGGGCCGCATAATTGCATTGGTGAAAATATTGAGAGAATGGAGTTTCTCCACACTTGAAAGACAATTCTTTATAATTTTATTTAATAAAACAACAGCAACGAAGATATGAAAATCCGTTCATATACTTACTCCAGAATTAACTTTCTAAAACGGCAAACAGGTATTCGTTTAAAATATGCCTAATTTGCATGTGTTCACCCAATGTTATACTGATATTTTACTATACATTCATTGATTCAGAAGAATTTATTGTCTACTGGGCTAGAACCTTGTTCGGAGTGTACTGTTAAAATATGAATGAAAAAAACCTGCGAAATTCTGAAACAATATGAAATTTTAGAGAAGTGTTAAATTTACTTATATATGAAATATTATATATTATATTTCATTTCATCGCTTACCCCCATGAAACAGAAGTCAAAGCAGTATAAGCCAGCATAAATCTGGTGAATTATACAGTCAAGTCAGTGACAGTACAGTGAAACGAGTACTGATTCAACGTATAGTCTTTGGGGTGATGTGGGGACCTCGCCTTAAAATGAGACCTAGTTGATAGCGCGAATTTTTTTTTTTTGACGTAGTCGATAGCAAGAAATCTCTCCAACACGTTTTAAATGAATAATCTGAAACGCGTGG